TGCCACTCTTTAGTGCACCGAATCGTCAAAGCAGTGTCATACCTCGTTCGCCCATTACCTGAAATCGCAACCAAAAGCTCGGAATCACAGCATACGTCATTCCGCCGACACCATGTACCGCTGTAACCCGGCCTCCACCAATCGCCATCGTGCCTCGCCCATCATCTTGCTGCTTTTGCTCCGGGCCGGTCGATTGGATCCTCCCAGTCTGGAGCTCTTTTAAGGCAAGTTCTTTTCTCGGGAAGCTCTCTTTAGCTTGCTGGTGTTACCTCACTCTATGTGCTGATTGATGAGGCGGGAAAGGCGTGGCTTGATGCAACATGTGATGCGCTGATTGGCTTCTGCGTTTGGGGTGGGAGGCTGTTTTGGAGATGGGCTTGGCGGCGGAAATGAAAATGGATGACGCGTTGGTTCGAGATGCTGATCTGCGATTGGGACAAACGAAACAGATCGCCGCGGAAATGAAGTCAAATTCAACCTCATTGGGGTGGTGTCTGGACAAGTCTCGGCAGCGGCAAGCTGCACCAGGATATCAATCAATTCGAGCTTGTAACTATCTACCTAGATCTTCTATATCCACCGTTTCGCGTGTATACTTGAGGCAAGCAGAACTCAACGGGATGTTGAAACTGATCTGGCTGCAACTCATTGGTTGCTCAGGCAAAGGAGCACCTCTCTCCAAAGCCCGGAATAGCCATTGGAGGTTCCAGGCCTCAATGCAACGCAGAAAATGTAAACGAAAGGTGGTTGTAAGTACAACGCAAACCGTGTCGAGAGGCGTCCGATTCTTCTCAGAATAACTCATAGGCTATAGAGCTCATAGCTCATACAAAGGCAAAATTCGGGAGGTTTTGTTGGAATGAAAGTAAAGAAAGCAGGAAGAAATGAGAGAGTATTCGAGCCATCTTTCCAAGCTCCTTACTCTGCCCAAGGTGCGATGATGTTGCTGCCTTTGCCACTGGTCACGCTCGGCGCACTCTTGACGCTCGGCAGCGAGGAAAAGCTGCTAGACACCGACGACTGAGGACCATGGCCGTGTCTGCCAAACGACGCCGTTCTATTCTTTGCCTGGCCCTTCTCTTTGAGAGCCTGCTCAGGAGTAGGTCCCGATGTGGACGTGACAGCATCCGTGGGCACCTTTCCCATGGGAGAGTGCATCTTGGCAGCAGCCAGCGGGTCATTGGGATCGATGCCGTGCTTCTTGAAGACATCTTTCTTCTGGTCCTTCATCGCTTGGACGGAAGGCTCGCTGGTCGCCAGCCAGCTTTTGACTTGCGACACCCATCGAGGTCGCTTCTTCTCGCCTCTGCTGGACGGCGCGAATTCGGAACGAGGCTCCTCGCTGCTCAACGAAGCTTCGTACTCAATGCGAGAGAAGTTTGACGTGGTCCTGGACCCCGAACTGGTACCAGCTGATGCCGAAGTAGTCATTTTGGTCGCTGGCTGGGATGAGAAGAGGAAGATGGGATCGTATCTAGAGCTGCGAGAGGCTGAGCTCGTAGCTGCCCAGTTCAAGGGGTTATCTAGGGGGGCGTCTGTAGAGAAAGACACCGGTCGACCATCGACTTGGACCTCCTGGGCGGTCAACGCCTTGTCTTGGTGACGGAGGGAACTGTACTGACCCAAAGACAGTCTTTGAGATGACGAGAATCCCTTGAACTGCCGATCCGAGTTTGGCAGTGTCGCGCCGGATGGCGATGGACCTTGGCTGCCTGTGCTCGGCGATGAGTATGAGTACGCCTGGCCAGGGGTAGGATTGCTCGAGGAGCTCCGTGAAAGAAAGCGATTCAAGAGCGGGCTTCTGTCCACATCAGACAATGCAGGATGCTATCCGCCGTATATCTGAGAGGCCGAGGGTGGGCTTGGAGACGGAAGGGTGCTCTCGACGATGGCTGGACCAAGGTAGTTGGTAGGGGTTGGAGTTGCGTAGTGAGTTCGCGCTGTGTCCGGCGACAGCGAGGTAGACGGGAGAGGAGTCGTCCTTCTGGTGAGATAAAATGGGTATGAGAAGTTGCGAATCCCGGTAGTTCGGGTCAGCGAAGTTGGAGGCAAGGCGAGCTGATTGTTTGAGCAAGGCGGAGAAGCGTCGATGGGTGACGGAGGTGCAGTGTCAGACATAGTCTTTCGATAGCATTCGATAAGCCAGATGAAAGAGAGTATGTCTGGAGTCGATGGAGTATGAAGGAGGTGGTCCAATGTTCAAAACAGATGGTGGCTCAGAAAGACTTCCAAAGTGTGATGGAAGACGACAAGAAGAGTAAGGACAAGACAGTCAGGGTAAGAAGGAAGAGTAGAGATGCGACGAGGTGTTGAGGCTGATCAGGGAATCGATCACTCGTGCGGTGTCGACGAACTGGCGCAGGAGATGTAGAAATGCGCCGGCGATGGTGGAACCTTGAGTGGCTTCTGTGATGAGGAGTAGATAGGAAATGATCCAAGGAAGTCGTTGGGGGAACAAGACAGGGACTCAAAAGAGCTGTGCAGGACGAGGAACCAAAGTGTCGGGATGTGGGAGTGAAGAGGGCTGGCCCAGAGGGGTGGTCAGATTCCGGGACGAAATCGTGGCTCCAAGCCCACGAGGTGGCGAGCGGCAGAGGCTTTGAGCACCTTTGTAGACCGAGGAGGGGGTTTCCACCTCTCCCTCGCTCTTTGGCAGCATGCTGCTATTGATGAGAGCAGACAATCACCATGCTTTGGCTTTCCACTGGTTATGTATTGTCAACAAGGGTCCAAAAGGCTCAGGCATAGGCATTGTTGTAGGCCACCATTGAGCGCCAGGGACAATGGACAGCTCGCTGAAGAATGATATTGACGACTGAACCTTTCTTCATCTCCGTCTTCTTATCTTCTCACCTCACCTCGTCACTTTTCTTTCAGCCCCAGCCCTCTGCAATCAGAAAGCGATCTCTCACATGTCCTCGCACGCACGCACGGCTCCCCAATCGATCTCCTTCGGGATCGATATCCGGCACTAGAGGCGAAGCATTTGATTTAGCATCGCCGCACCGCCTCCTCGGATTGGTCACCGGCCGTGGGATATTGGAACTTGGATCTCACTTGGGGCGGCATGCTGCAGATGGCCGCGCAATAGTCCAGCTCTCTCAACAGCAGGGGGCTGCGCAGTTTTGTCATTTTTCATGCCTTTTTCCCCCCTGCACCAGACCTGATTGTCTTGTTTAGCGAACAGAGAATGCATGCCACTATTGGTTTTGCCTGTGATCCGTGTCCATGTGCCGTGCAACACAGGAAGCCCAGCAGCATCCGCGGCCAGGGCTGAGCATCATGTGGCGTCCACGTTACGATGGGTATTCAGGACAGGAGAATGTCAATGGAACTTTGTTTCCGCAAGCCACAATGACCAGTTTGGGGGTAGAAGCGGCGGCAAGTTTGGAGAAGCAGACATGATCAGCTCCCCGATTGGAACGACGAGACGCATCTCCGCACACCGGCCAGAAGTTCCAAGCTCGCGGTATCGCCAGCCACTTCGTCATGAGATACTGATCTAGCAGTCGGTCCATGTTAGCATACACTGGCATTACCTAGTAACCTCTAAGGAAGAGAGGGGCAACGTAGGACAGAGTATCGTTCATTTTTTTCTTTTTCTCGCTGTGTTTCTAGCTATCAAGTCCATCCAGAGGGTACATCTCCGCTGCTGTCTACGACGGACCTCTTGGAACGCATCCCTTGACAAGGACCAAGCTGAACTACCACATGTTAGATCACGATGAACCAATCAGATACCGTCGACCACGATGTCCCGGTGATTGAAATACCAAATATTACCGAATCGAGTAGCCTGTTGTTGGCTCTGTCTGGAAAGTGTTGCTATGACAAGGGTTGTTTTGGAAAGCTTCTAGCTCAGGTAGCTCTCGAGAGTGGAGCGGTCAATCGAGATGCTGGTCGATCCACGTTGACCAGGTTGGAGAGAAGTCCAGACTCTGGCGAGTGTTGAACTCATGGAGCGAAGTCATCGCTTACTGCCTTGAGCGCTATATTTCCAGTTGTCAACAAGATGGTCGAGCTGAGATGGAACCTTGCAGCATAGAAGAACCCTGGATGGTTGCACAGCCAAGGGCATTCTGCATGTGTGCAACCTCGGTCAGTCTGCACTGATCATAAACGCTCCATTTCCACCTTCAGCCGTTCTCTAATTCTTGCCTTACATTGCAATTACCATCCTAGGGTCAGCTACAAAGTACGACGAGAGTGGTCTAATGTTGCGATATTTCGCATCACAAATAGCACCATGTCTCAGTGAGGCCAGCATCGCTGATGGCTTCACTACATGTTCAGCTACCCTGCAATCAATCAGCTGGGATTCTCTCAAAGGTGATATCTCCACGGTTGAAGGCTCTTCCAGGTCGCTTAGATAGCAATATACTCAATGTAGCTCGTGATCTAAGGTATAAGCCATTATCAGGGATATTTACGACTGCAATAGTCTCGACTTCGTACGGAGCAGTGCTTCGACTACCTTACCTTATTATATGCCATTTGCTACCTCGCTTGCGGCAGCCCAAGCATTGCATCATGAGCTGACTAAGGCAGCAGCTCAACGATGACATCGTCCCATCACCTCCAAATCCTCGACACCAAGCCATCCTCTCCCGCTTCACCCACGATCCCCCTCCATCCCTCAAGCCTCACCGAAAGCGCGCATCCTCTCCGGACCACGCCCCGTGCCTCAAGAAAATTTCCAGAGCAACCCTCTTCTCGCGTCTGGGACCGTCCCTCCCCTCCCCGCCGCTTGGCCTCGGCGCATCCCGCGCTGAACCATGGCCCCGGCACTCACAATCTCGACGACAGCAATGGCTTCCCGATCATCCTCCCCCGTCCCGCCTCCCATGTCGCCCATCACACCGACTCTCCCACCCGCGCAACTCGCCTCGGGCGACATTAGCAAAGCCGCCGCCATCGAGCCTCTCCCTCCCGCGACCGCGGCGCAACAGCAGCAGCAGCAGCAGCAATCACAACAACAACAACAACCCTCAACTAGTAGTAGTAGGCCAACATTTGCGCATTCTCAACAGCCTGACCAAGTCGGCGTCCCACCACCTCCCCCGCGCCCCATCGAGTTCGACACAAACCCCGACGTCATCGCCCTCCGCTCCGCAATCACCGTCCTCCAGATCCAAAAGAACCGCGCGACGGCAGACATACAGACGCTCAGCCAGATCAAGAACGCCGCCATCGAGCACCCCGACGACTTCGTGCGCGACCTCGTCCAGGGCAGAATCGGCCAGGGAGCGCAAGCGCAATCATCGTCGGCTTTGCGCAACAACAACAACAACGTCGACAAGGATGATAACAACAGTGGTGGTAATGAGCCGGCGTGGATCGCGCATCCCATTCCCAAAGCCCAGGACGTCGTCCGCTGTCCGCCCATCAACTGGTCGCAGTACGCAGTCGTCGGGGAGTCCCTCGATAAGCTCCACAACGAACAGGTGAGCCGGCCTACGCAGGGCACGCCGGCTACGCTTGGCGCGGGGGGCATGTATCAGTTCAAGGGTGGAGATGGGAAGCAGGAGGAGTATCCTGGCGTGGCGGCTCCGTATGCGCCTTTGAAGGATAAGATTGAAAAGAAGACGAAAAGCAGGAAGTGAGCGCCGCCGTTTTGGCGGTGGTCTGCCGTTGAGTACAGCTTTATTCTTGATTATTATTTCGCAGCATCATGTTATATGGACGGCAACTGGGACAGACATCATGGGAGATTGCATACAATTACGGCGTTTGGGTATACTAGATGAACGTGCTGGCGCACAAGCCTTTCAGCAAGAAATGACTGGATCAGTCAACTTCAGTATCTAGTTAGGCTTTCTTTTCTTTCCCATAGGAGCTATAATGACGATAACGCATCAATATCAATCAATATGACCCAAGACGATGGTATAGCAAACGTGTCTCGTACTCTTGATCCTCGAGTGTTGGCGGGCAGAGGCATCGTCACCCTCCTGTGCCCGAGCTGTCGTTTAGAGCCAAAATCATCCGCGACGAGCAGCCGTATCAATCTGGTCTCCGCACCGTCTACAACTCTTAAAATGAAGGTTAAACGCCCCATGATCGCCAGGCGCACCGCAATGCCCAACTGTCCGTCCGAAGAATAAGGGAAGAGAAGATAGAATGGACGGGGGAAGCAAGAAAAATGGATGGGATTACTGAAACGCCGCCAACCTATTAAATTATGCACCTGTAAAGAAGAGAGAGAGGACAAAGGCATAAATCATGAAAATTGAGTGGGAAGAAGCCATGCAGATGGAATCAGGGCCGTGCCATCGAGAGATGGTCAAAATCACTCAGGAAAGTCTCTGTTGCCAGGTTAACGAGTCTGTCGGACAAAAAAAAAAAAAAAAAAAAAGGGAAGCAAGGGAAGAAAAGGGCATCTTACTCCATGCTCTGCTGCACTGATCTTCGCAGGCGGCGGTTGTACTGTTTCTTGTCCTCAGGTTTGTTCCCCCAGAACATCTTGGTGGCTTCGGGGTTGACAATCTTTCTCGGATCATATGCTGGCTCCTCTTCCTCAAGCACGCCGAATATGGCGTCAATGTGAGACTTGACATCCTCCAGCCTCATAGGATTGGGGGTGTAGCATGCCGTTCCATCGGATGCAATGTGGTGATGGAAAATCTTGGTCTCAAACTTGACCCGCGGTTGTTCGTCTGGAAATCTCGTGCTAAAGTGCATTCTGATGCGGAAGAGTCCGCCGTCGAGGTTCGTCATGGGCCTTCCAAAGTATGTGATCAACCAGACAAAAGGATTGCCGTTCTCGAGGACCACACTATGGGGCATATCGCCCTGTTTCAGGTAGGCCGACACTTGGTCAAATTGATGCTGCAAATTGACGGCAACTGTCGACTCTCCTGCCTTGGACGCGAGGCCTTCTTCCGCCCAGCGTGCTGTTTCTTGGTCAAGCGCTCCCTTGATGGCCTTTAGTCTACCCTCAAGCTCCGTATAGTTGAAGCGGCCATCCATCGAATTGGAATTTGGAGTTTCAAATGGCATTTTCACAAATGGTGATAGATCTGCCACCTCAGACTTGCCTCGCGCCACAGCAGCCATGTATGAATCGTAGTACCAGAGAAAGCGACGTTTGCAAAGATCCTTGAATGGCTCAAAGGGAACATTGGCTTCGTCCAAGTCTTCCTTGTCCAGTTCGCCGGATCTGAGGGGAGTATAGAGCGTGCTAGGAGCATATGTCTGCAATCCCAAGTAGCCTTCAAGACGCTGGATAACAGAGATTCTTAACGTTTCGTGACGTATCTGCGGGCAAATTAGTCACAGCTCAGCTTCTGCGCGATTTGAAAAGAGAACGTGGTCAAACCTTTTGAATGTAGTGCTGCTGCAATTTCTTATCCGACTCTGAATTTGCGTCTTCAAAACCGGGTTCGTTCTCGTATGGGTTTGCTGACATCAGACTCTGTATTGACAACAGGATTGACTCCAAGCCTTGTGCCGATGACCACTCTTCACCGCGCTCACCTCTCCATGTGCTGTTGTGAAGTCAGCATCTTTCCGCTGCACTCACTGACCCGACCAGACTGAGAAACATTACCCTAAGATTGATCTTTTGTGGTTGTTAGCAGGCAGTCAAGAGGATGAGTAAGTTTTGCGTAAACTTACAGACAAACTTTGCCAGTCGAGTAGATGTTGGGGTTGAACCGGCAACGCCCTCCGTTGGTAGTGAGGCACTGGACGCTGGGTGACTTTGAAGGGTAATCTTGGCACCCGATGTCAGTCATTGGGTATAGTTAAATGAAGAAACGGCAAGAAGCCTAGCAATGCCGGGCCTCACCTCTGTTGAACCTTATTGCGAACTTGAATTGTGTCGTTAGCAAAGGATGCGAGTATACGGGGCCATCGCATGTCTGCCAGACTGCTGGACTGCAATAAGCTTACCTCGAAGAACCCAAATTCATACGGCGTCTCGTGCGGGCCCATGATCAGGGCCCTGACATTGCGGACGTCGACATCACGGCAGGCGACTGCAATGGCTGTGGTGGTGAGCAGATCTCGATTAGCCCCCAGTGATCAGATAGCCGCCATGGCCGTTTTGAGCAAGACGTCACGTACCCAGATCTGAGCCCTTCTGGATGTCGCTGAGTTCCTATTGGGGCGCCGCTGATCAGCCATGTGACAGCCGCGAGACGACCGGTGAAGAGGCCATACCTTGGAGATGCGAATGATGGACTGATCCATGATGCTGACCTCGAAGTCGTTGGGCTTGAAGGCGAGGGGCTGTGACGGAACGTATCAGACTGGGCATCGGCAAGAGGCGACCAGGCGTGAGAATGGTCGCGTGAGACAGCCTCTGACAGCCGATTTCATATGTAGAAGGCTGCGTTATGCCAGGCTGGACGCAGTCGAGGGCACGGGGAATGGTTTTATAACTTTTATGTTATGTCACTGCCCTGCCCGGTCTTTGCGGGTGGCAGAATATGGAGGGCTGTTGAGGCAAGGAGGGGTCGGCCCAACAAGGTGAATCCAAGTTAGCGGGTATCTGCCTTGCCGGTTGGCCTGAGGGGGGCAAGACGGAGCTCTGGATCTTGGGCAGGCAGACAGACAGACAGACGGAACGAGACGATGTGAGATGTGATGAGTGAGAGAGGAGGGAATTGGTTCAGTTGGGCCGGGGATTGATGTGCTGGGAGGGAAGGGAAAATGGAGAGCAGGTTGTCTCCGGTAATAAATTGAAGGTCCCAAGGCAAACGCTGCTGAATGCATCATCAGAGGCCTTGCTAGCGGGTACTTGCATTTACAGGCGGGGGCGCTGTCGGGCCCAGCACGTTCAGCCGCTGGGGCTCAAGGCCTAAAAGCCCAGCAGTTGCAGGGGAGTGACGCCACAGGCGGCTTGGAGCAACATGAGCTCGAGGGCGATTGTACATTTGGGCTCAACTGGTATCAAGCTCTTTCCCAGGCAGAGTAATCGACTTCAAGTTGTCTTTGATACTGCCTGGCAACGTAAAGCTGCAATGGAAGCTCAATCGGGAAACTACCTAGGTACTCAAGCAGCTATACGGAGTAGGGTTGTTATTCGTGCAGCAGCAACAGATGGAAACGCCACCGATAGCATTATCCAGCCTCACCTCGAATCATGAGGTATCCCTTGTCTGCGCCTTGACGGCATACAAACCCTAATGCCGACCTCTTGCTACATGTACCTATTCCTTGTAATACGATGACCAAGGGCATGCATCCCGTTGCCTCTTGTTCCTCTCTTTGTCATCCTTTGGTGAAACCATTGGCAGCCAAACTTGCTCGTCTGTAGGCGAAGCTTCATGTATGGATTGGATGGCACAGTGAGGTGGGGTTGCGCTATGGGGCCCTGGAGCTCGGTGTTTGATGCGCTGAGTCGCGGGGTTCTTCAGCCTTGCAGCGATTTCTGGAGCCACGCGCCGCGCGCCGATCTGCCCGACGCGTTAATGGATTTTGGCCGTTTTCTGTTCACGCACTCCTTGGCACCGGGCATGGACTTTCGGCATTGACCCTTGCGAACTACATCCTGGTGGACTGTGACTATCATTCGTTGTCTTTGTACTTTTTCCCATCATTACTCCTCGTCGATCCATCTATTGCAGGCCTCTTCACCAAGCAGTGGACTCAGCATGGCCAGCTTCTTCGACCTCAAGGCCAGAAAGGCCGCCGCTGCGAACGGAACAGCATCGCAGAAACAGGACAAGCCGGCCGACGTGCGAGCACAGCCCTGGGTTGAGAAATAGTCAGTCGATTCGTCATCAAACAGAACATGAACTGACCTCTTTTGCTGACCATGAGCCCTCAGCCGTCCCAAGAGCTTGGACGACGTCACAGCTCAGGATCACACGGTCACGGTTCTCCAGAGAACACTGCAAGCATCTAATGTTGGTGAAGCTGTTCGCAATGGTATTACATGCTGAATCCAGCTGACGGCCTTCTTTCCTACAGCTTCCGCACATGCTATTCTATGGCCCCCCGGGCACCGGCAAAACCTCGACCATCCTGGCACTTGCCAAGGAGCTCTACGGCCCCGAGATGATCAAGTCCCGAGTTCTCGAACTCAACGCGTCCGACGAGCGTGGCATATCAATTGTCCGACAAAAGGTCAAAGACTTTGCGCGAATGCAATTGACCAACCCGCCGCCCTCATACAAAGACAGATACCCCTGTCCGCCGTTCAAGATCATCATCCTCGACGAGGCCGATTCCATGACACAGGATGCCCAGAGCGCCCTGAGACGGACAATGGAGACGTACAGCAAAATCACACGCTTCTGCCTGATTTGCAACTACGTCACCAGAATCATCGACCCCCTGGCCAGCAGATGTAGCAAGTTTCGCTTCAAGAGCTTGGACCAGGGCAACGCGAAGAAGCGGCTCGAGTCAATAGCTGAGGCAGAAGGCGTGCCGCTCGAAGATGGTGCTGTGGATACACTCATCAAGTGCAGCGAGGGTGATTTGCGAAAGGCCATTACATATCTTCAGAGTGCTGCCCGCTTAGTCGGGGCAAAGCTGCCCGCAAAGGACGGCGATGGCGATGACTCTATGGATGTGGATAAACGGCCGGTGACTGTCAAGATTGTCGAGGACATTGCCGGTGTAATCCCTGACGCCACGATTGGCGATCTCGTCAAGGCTATGCGTCCTCGGACACCAGGCCAGACGTATCAGTCTATATCCAAGGTAGTGGAGGACTTGGTAGCAGACGGCTGGAGCGCCGGCCAGGTCGTGAACCAGGCAAGTATTCCCTTTGGGTGGCATTGGAAGCGTTATTCTGACTTGTGTCTCTCTACAGCTCTATCAGGACCTTGTATTCGACGAGACTATCCCGGACATCCAAAAGAACAAGATCGTTCTCGTCTTTTCTGAGATAGACAAACGACTAGTCGACGGAGCCGACGAGCATCTCTCAATTCTTGATTTGGCAATGAGGATAGCCGCCATCTTGGCTGAAAAATAGACTTCAACTTTTTGAAAAGGGATCTAATGCGTATAGCGGAACAAAATATGGGGAGTTGGGATCACGATGTCTTATTCTGACTAGACGGCGTTTGTACTTTTTAATCACCAGAGATGTGCGACTGCCTCTTTCACTGAGATTTATTCTAAGACATACCTACCAAAAGCCCTTCAAGGTGGTCTCAAGCCGCATCTTTCAGCACACCCAAATTTCCATGTAGCCTGGACCAGACGTCGTACCCGTCATCTGAGACGCTATTCTTTGATGTGTTTTTCCGTGAACCAAGTCTTGCTTGCTGATTATCCTCTCCTTCATCAGGGTAACCCAGCAGAAAGTCAATCTCTCGAAGATTCTCCAAGCAGTTCTCGAGAGCTACCTGCCCAATGTCGACGGTTTCTGCAGCATACTCCAGAAGTGCAATCTTGGCCGCATCAGCGGCGAACACCCATGGCTTGATGCGCTTGGAGATGTCTGGCTGCTCAGATTTCGATGCTATCTCAGTCTGTATGCCAGACCTCCGGCGCAGAGAGTCTTTCATGGGATAAGCCGGCAGCAAATGGCTCTCCTCGCCGAGGCGGCCGAGGACTTGGCAGGCATCCTGGGTCTGCTTGGACAATGCTGACGTGAAGAAGGATTTTTGGCTGATGGCAGACTTTTGACTGACGGAAATAGCGGCCAGGGCTCTCAGATAGGGGGTAAGAAGATGTTCGGTAGGGATCGGAGGCTTGCTGGCGCTGCGATCCAATCCGGCGACAAGCTGTGCAGGCGGAAGTAGTGTTGGGTGGGAGGGTTGAGCCAGCTGAGACTGTTGTGTTTCCAACTCCAAAAGAGTCTTCCTCAAGGACACATATCTGGCGTACTTTTTGCTGATTGCTTCGAGATGGGCGGCGATTGTTGACGGATTGACTCTCGGGTTTTGGCTGCCGCTTTTGCCCGCCCTCGAGCCTCCTCCAGGGGGTGCCTTGCTAAGCTCATTCTCCATCCAAGTGATGAGTTCGTTGCGGGTAGTCGTCAAGGCCTCCAGCCGAGCACCGTTGCTGACCATGTCGAACTGGTTCTTGGATCGAGCTCTCGTCTCACGCAGCGTCTGCTCCTCTTGCTTCAGCAGCAGCTTTGCTCTCAAGACCGTCTTCTCCAGCTCTTGGATTCGGTCATTGAGGCTCACGCCAGGAGGACTCTGGTCAGATGCGAGGCTGTTGATGACATCGTCAGGGGCACTTGGCACGCCGGAGCCGCCCTGGAAAATGTGCCTGGCATCCAGAAACTCGCGTGTGGCAGCGGGTTTTTCCATGAGGAGATCCAGAGACTGACGCACTGCGAGAAGGCTTTCTCTCTTCTGCCGCAGCTTCAAAAGGCATAGTCGTTCCTCCAGGAGGTCGGCGCTGCTTGCCTTTGCCTTTGACGGCTCGCTGTCCTCAGGGGTACTCTTTTCTAAGAGGCTCTCAAACTGTCGGCGTGCTGCCGTATTCACCTGGAGAGCGTCGACATATTCTCTGAACACGCCCGTCAAGTCTGAAGGCGTGGTGACTTCTTTGGAGCTGTCGACAAGAAACAGAGGACTCTGGATGGCGCCATTGCCGGCACAGGAGCCCAGGTGAAGAGCCAATACGCGTCGGATGTAGTTGACCTGTTCTCGAGGCTTGATGTACGGCTCAAGCTGCTTTTGAAACCTCGTCAAGAGCTCCGGCTGCTGGTCAGACATGTTGGGGGCTTGACGCTATTCATGGTCCTTGATGTGCCAGCGTTGGGCTGAACATGCCTTGCCTTATATCGAGCTGGCACATGCGAGTCCGAAGTACAGCTACCCCCAGAAGCTGCATCCAGCCTATCACGATTCACTGGGGCTTCCCAGTACAAATACAGGGGGGGCCACTGAGTGAGTTGGCGGCAGTCAAGAAGGCCCCACATAGTGGCTGAAACGCCACCTCAGGTGTGGCGCAACACACTACGAAGGCAACTTTGCTAGCCTGGCGCGTCCAGGCAGATGCTGGCTCAGGAAATTTATCGCGATCAACCTCCAAGACAAAGCGGCTTCAACCAATTCAGCGACCTCGCAGTGCTGAGACACCTAGGCAGCTGCCCTCCGCTTTCGACTTGGTTGCCTCGATCTGGGCGGCAAGCACATGGTGAAGTAGACGCTGGGCTCATCGAGCTGTTGTCGAGGACATCGACGTTCTCTTTCCACTCTTTTCACCTTCTCCGTCATCCTACTCCCTCGACACAACCGCCACGATGTCCGACCCCCATCGCGATGTGTCTCAGTACAAGTACTCGGCCATGTCCAACCTGGTTCTCCAGGCGGACCGTCGGTTTGTCACACGACGAACGGACGAGGCCACGGGCGACCCAGAGTCTCTTGCTGGGCGCCTGAGTATCAACGACATGGGCTCTCGAGTCGCTCGTGACGAAGCCCCAAAGCCGAAGAAGCAGTCGGGAATGCCCGACATCGAGCGAGGAAGCCTTCAAGAAGGCCAGGATGTCCTGCTGAGAGAGCAGCGAAAGCGAAGGCCCGATGCGCCGCAAACTGGCGTCCTGGGCACAAACGACGTCTTGATCGAAGGCATCACATATCGACCTCGAACTGCTGCGACACGGGCAACCTTTGACCTGATCCTGACGCTTGTGGCAAACAGCCTTGGCGATGTCCCCTACGATGTCGTTCGCAGTGCTGCGGACGCCGTGTTGGAATTTTTAAAGGACGACGACATGAAGGACTTGGATAAGAAGAAGGAAATCGATGAGATTCTCGGCACAACTCTGAGTCCCAAGCAGTTCAACGAACTGGTCAACTTGGGAAAGAAGATTACGGATTACGACGCTCAGGACGACGATGAGGATGTCAACATGGGAGACAACAACGATGATGAGGCCGAAATCGATGAGCGGCAGGGTGTGGCTGTTGCCTTTGACGAGGACGACGAAGAGGACGACATCGTCAATGAAGTTCGGGATGAGTCTTCCGAGGACGAGGACGAAGCGGAGGAGGAAGAAGGGGCGGCCAAGGCAGACGAGGATGCCATAGACGCTGAAGAGGAAATGATTCTTGACGCAGCGCCCTCTGGAGACAAGCAGAAGAAGAGCGACAAGACCACAGTACCCGCACGAGACGTGGATGCTTTTTGGCTACAGCGACAGATTGGCATGTTATACCCAGATGCACACGAGCAAGCAGACAAGACGAAGGAAGCGCTGCGCATACTATCCGGAGAACCGGACGAGGTCGGCGGCGAAGAGAAGTCGCTCCGCGAGATTGAAAACGATTTGATGGAGCTCTTCGATTTCGAGCATCACGAGCTAGTCCAAAAGCTGGTCGAGAACAGGGAAAAGGTGTTTTGGCTCACGAAGCTTGCCAGAGCACCAGACGCGGAGCAGCGTGCCAACGTCGAAAGGGAAATGGCCTCGGAGGGTTTGCAGTGGATTCTCAACGAACTGCGCGGCAAGACCGGGCCCGACGGAGACAAGGCAGGAAAGGGAGCTATCAAGATGGATATCGATGTTCCCGCCTCATTCACCGCAGAAGGCCCCAAGACGGAACGCCCTGAAGGACAGCTGGTGGGCGGCTTGCAGCCAAAGAAGCTCATCAACCTGGAGAACCTAGTTTTTGATCAAGGGAATCACCTGATGACCAACCCCAAGGTCAGGTTGCCAGAGGGATCGACGAAGAGATCTTTCAAGGGCTATGAAGAGATTCACGTGCCCGCTCCGAAGAAACGCAGTGATCCAGATGATATTCTCATACCCATCACAGACATGCCGGAGTGGTCACGGCTGCCCTTCAGCACAGCCAAATCCCTGAACAAGATACAGTCCAGATGCTTTCCAACGGCTTTCGAGGACGATGGCAACATGCTTGTTTGTGCCCCCACTGGTAGTGGTAAAACAAACGTGGCGATGTTGACTATACTGAGGGAAATCGGCAAGAACCGGAACCCTGAGACTGGCGACATCGATCTCGATGCCTTCAAGATAGTCTACATCGCCCCTCTAAAGGCCCTCGTTCAAGAGCAGGTTGGAAACTTCGGAAAACGCCTCGAGCCTTACGGAGTCCGCGTCTCTGAGCTGACTGGTGATCGCCAACTCACCAAGCAGCAGATCGCAGAAACCCAGATCATCGTGACTACACCTGAAAAATGGGACGTCATCACTCGCAAGGCCAACGATCTCTCCTACACCAACCTGGTGCGCTTGATCATCATTGACGAAATCCATCTGCTCCACGATGACCGTGGTCCCGTTCTGGAGAGCATCGTCGCCAGAACCATTCGCAAGACGGAGCAAACAGGAGAGCCGGTGCGAATCGTCGGTCTGTCTGCAACACTTCCCAACTACCGAGATGTGGCTAGCTTCCTCCGCGTCGACACCAAGAAGGCCATGTTCCACTTTGACGGTTCCTTCAGACCGTGTCCCCTGCGACAGGAGTTCATCGGCGTCACTGATCGCAAGGCCATCAAGCAGCTCAAGACGATGAACGATGTCACGTACAACAAGGTCATTGAGCACGTCGGCACTCACCGGAACCAGATGATCATCTTTGTCCACTCTCGTAAAGAGACCGCAAAGACGGCTCGGTATATCCGAGACAAGGCTCTGGAATTGGACACCATCAATCAGATTCTGCGGCACGATGCTGGTAGTCGAGAGGTCTTGGCTGAAGCTGCAAGCCAGGCCACCGATGCAGATCTCAAGGACATCCTGCCCTATGGTTTCGGTATCCACCACGCTGGCATGAATCGTATCGACAGGACGGACGTGGAGGATCTGTTTGCCAGAGGCGCTATTCAAGTTCTCGTGTCCACTGCCACTCTTGCTTGGGGTGTCAACTTGCCCGCTCACACCGTCATCATCAAGGGAACACAGATATACTCTCCCGAAAAGGGTAGCTGGGTTGAACTGAGTCCTCAGGATGTTCTCCAGATGCTGGGCCGTGCGGGTCGACCGCAGTTCGACACTTATGGTGAAGGCATCATTATTACAACGCAGAGCGAGATACAGTACTACCTTTCGCTTCTGAATCAGCAACTTCCCATTGAGAGTCAGTTTGTGAGCAAATTGGTCGATAACCTCAATGCCGAGATAGTACTCGGCAATGTCAGAACACGAGATGAAGGTGTCGAGTGGCTTGGGTACACATACCTCTTTGTTCGAATGCTCCGGTCTCCCGGACTGTACCAGGTCGGTCCAGAATATGAGGACGATGAGGCGCTAGAACAGAAGCGTGTCGACCTGATACACTCTGCAGCAATGGTATTGAGGAAGTCTAATCTTGTCAAATACGACGAGAAGACGGGCAGGATGCAGTCTACGGAATTGGGCCGCATTGCCTCGCACTACTACATCACCGCCAGCTCCATGGACACCTATAACAACCTCATCCAGCCATCCATCACTACTATTGAACTCTTCCGCGTGTTCGCTCTAAGCGCCGAATTCAAATACATCCCCGTCCGTCAAGACGAGAAGCTAGAGCTCGCCAAGCTGATGGGCAGAGTGCCGATCCCCGTCAAGGAGAGCATTGAAGAACCACACGCAAAGATCAACGTCCTGCTTCAGGCATACATTTCTCGCTTGAAGCTCGAGGGTCTGGCTCTCATGGCAGACATGGTCTATGTCACGCAGAGTGCCGGTCGAATTCTGCGAGCCATCTTCGAGATTACGCTCAAGAAGGGCTGGGCGTCCGTTGCAAAGACTGCCTTGGATCTGTGCAAGATGGCCGAAAAGCGGATGTGGCCCACCATGTCGCCGCTGCGCCAGTTTCCCTCCTGCCCGCGTGACATCGTTCAGAAGGCGGAAAGAATCGAGGTCTCATGGAGCAGCTACTTCGACCTTGATCCTCCCAGAATGGGCGAGCTGCTGGGCATGCCCAAGGCGGGTCGTACCGTCTGTGGACTGGTCGCCAAGTTCCCCAGAGTCGACGTCCAGGCACAGGTTCAGCCCATGACCAGATCGATGCTTCGAGTCGAGCTTAGCATCACGCCAAACTTCGAGTGGGATGATAGCATCCACGGTGCCGCTGAGAGCTTCTGGATCATTGTCGAGGATTGCGACGGCGAGGACATTTTGTATCATGATACGTTCCTCCTCCGCAAGGACTATGCTGTGGCCGAAGCGAACGAACACATTGTCGACTTTACCGTCCCGATCACAGACCCTATGCCGCCCAACTACTTCGTCTCAGTCATCTCCGATAGGTGGATGCACTCGGAGACGAGGTTGGCCGTCCCTTTCCACAAGCTCATCCTGCCGGAAAAGTTCCCGCCTCACACGGAGCTGCTTGACCTTCAACCTCTCCTCGTGTCAGCGCTCAAAGTCCAGGACTACATCAATCTCTATCCGGAATGGAGGCAATTCAACAAAGTCCAGACACAGACTTTCAACTCGTTGTACAAGACGGATCAGAATGTCTTCATTGGTGCTCCAACGGGAAGCGGTAAGACGGTGTGTGCCGAGTTTGCACTCTTGCGGCACTGGTCGCAGGGTGAGGCCGGTCGAGCAGTCTACATTGCTCCTTTCCAGGAGCTGGTCGACGCTCGTCTCCAAGACTGGCAAAAGAGGCTCAGCCACTTGGGTGGTGGAAAGGAGATTGTGAAGTTGACGGGCGAAACCGCCGCAGATCTCAAGATCCTGGAAGCTGGCGACTTGATTCTCGCTACACCGACGCAGTGGGACGTCTTGTCTAGGCAGTGGAAGCGGCGAAAGAATGTCCAGACGGTACAACTCTTCATCGCCGATGAGATCCATCTGCTGGGCGGCTCTATGGGCTACATCTACGAAATCATCGTATCGCGTATGCACTATATCCGTACCCAGACGGAACTGCCGATGAGGATTGTTGCTTTGAGCGTCTCTCTGGCCAATGCACGGGATATTGGCGAGTGGATTGATGCTAAGAAGCACGACATTTACAACTTTAGCCCTCACGTCAGACCCGTGCCCCTTGAGCTTCATATCCAATCCTACTCGATTCCCCATTTTCCGTCCCTGATGCTGGCCATGGCCAAGCCCGCATATCTGGCCATTACCCAGATGTCGCCAGACAAGCCGGCGATGATCTTCGTGCCTAGTCGCAAGCAGACGAGAAGCACTGCGCGCGATTTGCTGGTGGCCTGTGCCGCGGACGATGACGACGACCGCTTCTTGCACGCTGACGTTGAGCAAATGCGACCCCTTCTTGATCGCGTCCACGAAGAGGCCCTGGCTGAGGCGCTGTCTCATGGTATTGGCTACTACCACGAGGCTCTCAGCCAGAGCGACAAGCGCATCGTCAAGCATCTCTACGATAATGGCGCTATTCAAGTGCTTGTCGCGTCTCGAGACGTCTGCTGGGAACTGACAAATACCGCACATCTTGTCATTGTGATGGGAACGCAGTACTTTGAGGGCCGCGAGCACAGATATGTGGACTATCCTTTGAGCGAAATCTTGCAAATGTTTGGCAAGGCTTTGCGACCATCGAAGGACGGCCGTGGCCGTGGAGTCCTCATGTTGCCCCAGGTAAAGCGTGAGTATTACAAGAAGTTCTTGAACGAGGCCCTACCTATCGAATCACACCTGCACAACTACCTCCACGATGCCTTCGTCACGGAGATTAGCACCAAGATGATTGAGTCGGGTGATGATGCCATCAACTGGACCACGTTCACGTACTTCTACCGAAGACTGCTTGGAAACCCAAGCTACTATGGCTTGACCAGCACAACTCACGAAGGCCTGAGCAACTTCATGTCAGACCTCGTGGAAACGACGCTGCGTGAACTGGCCGAGTCCAAGATTATCGAATTCGACGAGGACGATGGATCTGTAGCGCCACAGAATGCAGCCATGATTGGCGCCTACTACAACATCTCCTACATTACGATGCAGACCTTCTTGCTCTCTCTCACGGCACGGACAAAGCTCAAAGGCATTTTGGAAATTGTCACTTCAGCCACCGAATTTGAGACGATCCAGGTTCGTCGGCATGAGGACAGTCTGCTGCGACGCATCTACGATCGCGTGCCCGTCAAGATGGCCCAGCCCAGTTACGACTCGCCTCACTTCAAGGCGTTTGTCCTTCTCCAGGCTCATTTCTCTCGGATGCAACTCCCAATCGACCTCGCCAAAGACCAAGAGGTCCTTCTTTGCAGGATTCTCAGTCTCCTCAGCGCCATGGTCGACATTCTCTCATCGGATGGCCATCTCAACGCCATGAATGCCATGGAAATGTCGCAAATGGTTGTCCAAGCAATGTGGGATCGGGATAGCCCTCTCAAGCAGATCCCGCACTTTTCGCCAGAGGTTGTCAAGGTTGCAAATGACTTTGGGTGAGTTGTCTTTCTCTTTAGCCCCTTGACATTGACTGTCACGTACTAACTTTATATGTTTAGAATCAAGGATATTTTCGACTTCATGGAGGCGATGAATCCCGATGAGAACCCAGACTACAATAAGCTGGTCAAGCAACTGGGCCTCTCGCAGAAGCAGCTGGCACAGGCAGCAGAGTTCACAAACGACAAGTACCCCGACTTGGAGCTAGAACACGAGGTACTTGATGCAGACGAGATCAAGGCCGGCGAGCCGGCTCACTTGAGCATCAAAATCACGCGCAACATCGAAGAGGACGACGAGCACGACCCTACGGTGCACGCGCCTTTCTACCCGGCGAAGAAGATTGAGAACTGGTGGCTGGTGGTGGGCGATGACAAGACTCGGAACCTTCTGGCAATCAAACGGGTCACCATCGGCCGCGAATTGAACGTCCGGCTTGAATACACTGTGCCATCTCCTGGTGAGCACAACCTCAAGCTGTTCCTAATGAGCGATAGTTACGTCGGCGTGGACCAGGAGCGGGAGTTTTCAGTGACGGCAGCAGAGAGCATGGATGTGGACGAGGACGAGGACGACGAGGACGAGGACGAGGAGTAGATTGCCGGCGCGCGCACTCCCACCGTTTGATGACTCTGCGGATTGCAGAGAAGAGAAAAGTCGATTATGTACAGTAAAGGCAAGCTACGGATACAAATCTTAATGTGTGATTTATTGTTGCCCAGCTCCCCGTTTTTTTTTCCACGAGCCACCGGCACCGGGTTTGGCTTTTGGCGACTCCAATGGCGATGATCAGCTCTTTGCGTATTGTTTTCCGGACAAAGCAGGGGTTGTGGTGGCGCGACGGCTGTGGAACAGCAGTTTCGAGGCCCAAGGTGGTTGGGGGTTGTCCAGGGCGAAGGCGGGAGAGACTCTGCGGGCCGGGGGTTGGGAGGCACCGGCGAGGCGTCATGGCGGTTCGAATGGCGAAGGTCGCACGGCCCCATGCGAGCGTCGAGTCGAGTCGAGCAGAGCAGAGGAGCTCCAAGCCCAGCTCCCGCAGCCAGTGGCCCCGGCCTTGCCGCCTGGGGATTCCGTTGTGAGTCGCGGGCCAGCTGTGCTTATTTTGGAGTCGTCATTACTGTAATGCCACACCAGACGGGTCACGTGATGGGATTCGGTGACGTTTGACGTGTTCCTGCGCTTCGCTATTCGCTCCAGTGTTTTTCCTTTTCTTCCCCATCCATCTGATTCCTAGCACAACGCGGGCGACGCTGAACGAGAAGCCAAGCTGCGCCCTTCCCATCGCCCGAGCATCACGCAACCCGCCCTGCGCCGCCATTGAACACGCAGCAACACGCCGCGAAACGCGTCCGCCGCACCTGTTTTGGAGCTTGGCCTCGCGTGAGAGCTCTCGAGTCTTGAGCTGAGCATTGGAAGTTGGAAGCTGCGCCGTCGCCACCCAGCGTCCGCCATGGCTGATAACTCGCCTGAGAAGCCCGACGCCGCCGCGCCCGTTGTCGGCAGCGAGGACGTGCCTGATTCTGGAGCCAAGGTCGCTGGCGAGGGCGAATTGGCCGCCAAGGCTGCGGACAAGTCAGAGGCAGATGCAGTCATGGAAGAGGCAAAGGACGCCGAAGGTAAGCTCCCGCCACGCGCTTCTTGCAGCTGGTTTCGCGCATTTTCCTAGTCTCCAGCTTGCGAGTCCCACTGCTTGCAATCGCAACAGCTCTGGCTCTGTGGCGTTTGCGGTTACGAGCTACTGTTTGCTTTTCTTCTCCTCTCTTTGCTCTTTGTTTACGTTACCCTGTGCACGCCAATGGACTTTGCGCTAATCGCAGCTGCCGCAACAGAACCCAAGGCGCCTGAGAACGCCGAAACTACCGACGAGGCTGCCGCTGCCAAGCCTGCTGCGGATGAGAAGAAGACCGATGATGATGGCGACGCCGAGATGAAGGACGCCGCCGACACCGCTGCTGAGCCTGAGGCCGATGCGACCGCCGCTGCCACCGCCGAGACCCCTGGTGCGAAGAGCAAGAGCCGACGAAAGTCGTCCGCCGGAGAGTCCAAGGCCAAGACGCTGAGCAAGAAGGGCTCCAAGGCGCGCCTAACCCACATTGATGCCCAGCCCGGCGACCACTTCCTCGTGAAGCTCAAGGGCTTCCCGGCTTGGCCCGCCATCATCTGCGACGAGGACATGCTCCCCCAAGCCCTCATCAACACCCGACCAGTTTCCGCCGCCCGCCCCGATGGAACATATTCCGAGGCCTATGCGGATGGCGGTAAGCGGGTGAACGATCGAAGCTTCCCCGTCATGTACCTGTCCACAAACGAATTGTGAGTATTCTTCCCCATATGCAACCCGGCCAGGCGCCTGCTGTCGTGGCTGTAGCTGATTGGCTCTAGTGGATGGGTTACGAACACGGCCCTCTCCGAGTTGACTGCGGAGAAGGCTCGCGAGTCGATTGGAGACAAGATGCGCAAGGACCTGAAGCTCGCCTTTGAGCTTGCCGCTGAGCAGAACCCTATTGAACACTACAAGGAGATTCTGCAGAGCTTCCAGGATGAGCTGATTGCGCAAGAAGAGGCTAAGAAGGAAGCTGCGGCTACGCCGAAGAAGTCCAAGAAGGGCAAGGCCAAGGCAAGCGACGATGAAGACGTGGACATGGACGATGTGGATGAGGCCCCGAAGCCCAAGACTAAGAAGCGAAAGGCTTCTGAGGAAGATGCTGCCGTAAGTTTCTCTCCCTTTCGAGGCCATAGGAGAGTCTAGATTTACTAACAAGGAAGCATGCGCAGATCCCTCAGCGTTCTGATTCTGTCAAGAAGCCCAAGATCAAGCTCAACACGTCCTCCACATCCAAGGCGGCCAACGGCACGGCGGCACCCAAGGCCAAGGAAGACAAGGCCGCAAAGGTTGCAAAGGCCAAGCCGAAGAAGGCCTCGGACAAGAAGGACGCGCCCAAGGAAGCCAAGCTGACGCCGGAGGAGCGACACGCTCGCAAGGAGGTGCGTCGACCATGGAGCTCTACGCTGAATTGAATACATGAGCTAACCAAATCTATAGAAGGAGATTCTTTATCTTCGCCACAAGCTTCAACGAGGCCTCCTGACCAGAGAACAGCAGCCACGCGAAGAGGAGATGAAATCCATGTCCAGCTTCATTGATGTCCTCGAAAAGAACTACGACGATCTCGAGGTCTCCATCATCAAGAGCACCAAGATCAACAAGGTCTTCAAGGCCATCCTGAAGCTCGACTCGATTCCTCGCGAAGACGAGTTCCAGTTCAAGAAGAGGTCTCAAGCTCTCCTGGACAAGTGGAATAAGCTGCTTTCCACCGAGCCCGCACCGGCGAACGGTGTCAACGGTGCCTCGGAAGCCAAAGACTCTGGCAAGCCAGCTGAAAATAGCGGTGTGAAAGAGGGCGGCGACAAGGAGAAAGAGGCCGAGGACGAGAAGCCCAAGGAGACTACTGAGGAACCTGCTGCCGCAGCCGCTGCCAAGGATGAGGAAGCCGAATCGAAAGAAGATGTGAGTTTAGAAAAGGGCGAAAAGGCCGAGACCGAAGCGGTGAGATGACACTACTCTCGGACATTTTGGACTTTATTCTAATGATTTGTGCGACAGGCTCCCGTGTCTGCAGCCGTCGAGGCTACCGCTTAAGCATTTCGGACGCGCGCGACATTACGATCACGGACAGTACGATCTCACTTCCAGAACATACTGTCTGAGGTCGCACTGCTTCTCCTTGGTTTTCTGGTTCACTCGTTTCCTTAATGCTACCTCTGCGGCGCACAAGGCTCCTTGTTTTTCTACCGTTTTTTCCCGCTATTAACGTACCTTTTCCTATACTATAAAAGGGGCCGTCCCCTACTGTGTTTTTGATTTGTGGTGTACAAGTAATCACCAATATGGATGAGCAAGACGAAGGAAGGAAAGAGGGCTCAGCTCATGTCTTGTTTTCTCTTGGAGGAGCCGTTTATTGACGTGGCATGTGGGAGGTCTCTGGTTGCTGGAGGCTGACGAAAAGGGATATCGAATGGTTTAGCCCAGCATGCGCAGCGGACGGGAAGGGCACCGAGATAAGGAGTCATTTGCAGTGCATGTATGCAAGGAGGCATACATGGGAGATTATGCAAGACACGCTTTGTTTATTCACGCAGCTCAGTCGATTGCTGCTGCTGGGCCAAAAGGACTCTTGGTTTGGGAGGGGGGGAGAAAGACCTAGGTAGGCAAGTTTTCGTGTTTGAGAATCAAGGCTCTCTTCTAGTATGTTGAACTTAGCATGTACGATGATTGGCGTGTACCTTGACAATGGAAGGCGAGCGTTTGGGACAATGATGCGGTACAATGGAGTGTTTCGACTCGATATAGGGTATGGAGCACTTTCTCTTGGTACATTGTGAAGGTGAAGTTGTTCCAAACCGGGACATTGATATACAGTGCTGATACTGTGAAATGGGCACTGTATGGTGACCCGTGTTTCTGCCAAACCGCGTTTTACACCATGTGAACGGCCTCCATAGACAACTGAAGGAGTCCACCTCTCATACAACAGCAAGCCGGAATTGCTGTATGCGGTCATTAGAACAGGCCCAACAATGTCCAACGAAGAGCTGCAGAGCGCATTTGGCCAAGAAGACCATCAGGTGCGCACCTTGAAGCCTCACCCTTTCACCGCGTCTTGCCTCCAGCTAACTGAAGCCTTGATACTACGACACAGGCGGCATTCATCTTCCACCCCGAAGAAGATGAACCACCGCGCCGCGAAAGGCCACCAAAGAGACGCAAGACAGCCCGTCGCTCTGCGGTAGCTGAGGATGATGATGAAGAGGATGAAGACGCCTTGCGTTCATCGTCGTCGTGGTTTGCCCCGTTGCTGGGTGAGAGCATGGCTTGTATGCGGCGGAGGGAGAGGCTGCTGGAGGAGAATTGGGCCATGGTTGATGCTCGAATACAGGTGAGCTTTTTTATGTTCCTTTTATGTGGTGTGTGTGATGTCTGGTGGAATGAACTGATGCTGATGGGGGCGTTGGGATGTGTAGGAGATTTTGAGGGATTCGAATTCTGCGACGTTGGATGGGGTGTCACGCTTTGTTCGGGAGGCGAAATCGGAGTGGTGAGAATTGATATTCTTTACCCCTTTCCTTTGCTTCCTCAAAGGCCACTCTTGACGAAGAGGACAGCGTGAGGCTAACGGAGGGACGTTTAGCGGCGACAAGATACCGTCTGCCTTCATCATCACGGGACCCAACATTGCCTCCCAGGACTTGCTCTTCGAGCAGCTGTCCGATTCCCTCCAGCGGACGTCCACCAGCAAGTTCATCCGGCTGCGGTCCTCGGAAGCGACCAACTTGAAGAACGCCCTGAAGAAGATTATTCAAGAAGCCACCTCCAAGTCGCTGGTAGTCGACGGCGAGGAAGACTTGCAGCTTGCACAGGGCTCGGGCCGACGCTACCTGCCGTATGATCTCGAGGCGCTGCGTGTCTTCCTGGAGCATCAGCCGCAGGAGAATATCTTTGTGGCGTTCCAGGATAGTGAAGGGTTTGATAGTGGGTTGCTGTCTGATATCATTACCCTGCTTAGGTGCGTTCTTTTTTCTTTTCCCCCCATGAGAGGCTTCTATCTGGCTTGTCCTGTATTAACACGAGCACAGTTCATGGCGGCCGCAGATCCCTTTCACTCTCCTCTTCGGTATTGCTACGTCCATTGATCTACTGGAAAGTCGTCTGCTCAAGGCAGCGTGCCGGTTGATTTACGGCGCGCAGTTTGATTGTGTGCAGACGGAGACTATTCTGGAGAGCGTCTTCATGGGCGCTGTGGTCTCCAGCGATGTTCCCCTGAGGCTGGGGCCGCAAATCCTTCGGGGCATGCTTGACCGCCAACGAGATCAGATGGCGGGTATCCAGGCATTCATCAGCTCGTTGAAGGTATGTAACGATGATGACTGGAAGCCCTTCGGCTATGAATCTGACGAATTCTAGTACGTTTACATGTGCCATTTTTACGCCAACGCACTCAGTGTCTTAATGGCCCCCGAAACGGAAAAGGAGGAAAGAACCCTTCAATCTGGGCATCTCGAAGCGCTGCGGCATGTTCCCTCGTTCCGGCATGAGGTGGAGACGGCAGTTGAGCGTGCAACCGCCGATAGCCTTGAGCATGCGCGCTTGCTGCTAGAGGACGACGAGTATCTGCTCGCGCAAGCTCGGGCCAGTAATGAGCGTCGACAGGATTGGATGGATAACCACCTACGCTTACTCCTGGTCAGGGAGGCCGCCGGAGCAATTCAGCCCCCATTCTCACGGGCGTACGTCGATTCACTCTCTGCGGCTTATCCCGCGTCTGGAAATGGCAGCTTGACGGAACACATCCGACGGATGGGCTCGGGCGCACTCGCCAGCATGCTACGTCGGGTCATCTCTATATTCAAGGAGGGAGAATCGAGCGTCCAGCTGAAGCCTGCGTCAAAGGAGCGCGACACCTCCCTACTGAGCTTCCTGGAGGATACGCTCGCCCGCCTGGAGAAGCTGGACGCAGACGCAGAGAGCGCGGGCATGACGCTGCACACGAAATACAGCAGCCAGAGCAAAGTGATGCGGACAACCGTCATCGCGCAGCGCGTCCAGCTGAGCCGCGACTCGGCAGCCCTCCGCGACGAGGACAGGCAGTTGACGGCCATCGTGGACGCCGTGTCAGAGCGGCTGACGGCTCACTTCGGGCCAAGACGCCCCGAGAGGGAGCTCTTCTCGGAGGCGTGGCTGTACGACAGCAGGTCGCCTCTGCGGGACGTCATGGTGCCACGGCCGCGGGTGACGTTCAGGCGCAGCTTGGCGCGGCCGTACGACTACCTCTCCTGCGGCTGTTGCAGGGGCGGCGGAGACGACGATGCCGGTGCCGGTGCTGGTGCCGGTGCTGGTGCTGGTGCTGGTGCTGGTGGTGTTGTGCAGCCGACGCTTCCCGCCGTTTCGATCTTGTACCACTTGTATCTTGAGGCGGGGAGCCTGATCAACGTTGCTGATTTGTGGTCAGCGTTCTACGCGCTAGTGCGCGAGGAGAAGGAGGAGGAGAAGAAGAAGGGAGACGATGGTGTCGCGGGCGAGGGCGAGGATGACGAGGCTGATGGCGAGCAGAGGGAGGAGCTCCGGCGGCAAAAGGACGAGCGGAGGGCGCTGGTGCAGTTCTATCGCGGCTTGGCCGAGCTCAAGGCCATGGGGTTCGTCAAGAGCAGCAAGAAGAAGGCGGACCACATTGCAAAGGTGAGGTGGCTGTGAATTGAATGAGGGGAGTCTCCGCTGTGTTGTGTAAGTCAGTAGACGGGGGAGAAAGCTGTTGGGAAGACGGAAAGGATTCGGGCGCGGACGCCCAGGGGGCATCGTGTGGAGGAGAGTGAGGAAGACGATGGAATACGTCAAGCCGAGAAGGGGGGGAAGCAAAAGGATGCGGAATCATCAAATGACACATCGATTAAGGCGACTCTAAGTGAGGCTATATAGATTGAAGACATATTGAAACCCCCAAAACTCATTCTGGCGTGGCTTCATCCCCCTCACCACCCCTCCTCCTCCTCCCCTCCTCCTCTTCTTCCCTCCCCCCTCCAGCGCTTCACCAAGTCTCTTTCCTCTTTCCTTCAAGAAGTACCTTACCCAGAGAGAAGAGGAATGACCAAACCCCCCCCCCTCTCCGCCGGCGCATTCTCTAACATAAGGCGAAGGCCCTCACTTTTCGTTCTGTCGCCACGTGCGGCTGAATGGGTTAACAAAGGGGGTGAGGAATGAAAAAAAAAAAAATGAACAAAAATCGGTACTTGATCAGCTGAGCATTTCCCAAGCCTCTTTTTTTACCTTATACACACATGGCCACTTACACTACACAACCTATACACACTCGCTCGCTCGCTCGCTCAACCCATCCTTTCCTGTCTTGCGTCGCTATTTAAACTTATAGTACGGCGGTTGTTGGGTCCAAGTCATTCTGATTTCCGTACCGTCTGTTTTCTTCTTATTGAAGGGTGTGAACATGACCAAATCGGGAGTGTGATCACGGGCACGATTATTCCACGGGAATACATTTCCTGAAAGGGAGATTTCAAGTACTGATACCCTTTTACACACTCACATTATAAGCACGGAAATAGGTGTGAGTCGTATGAATCAAGTTTAGAGTAGAGCAGGGTTACCTACTCTAAGCTACCTTACTACTATGTCCTCACAGTGAAGAATAATAACCTTGTGACCGTTGGGAAAAGAACAGTTTGGGTACCGAAATGACAGCCAAGCCATTTCCACTGACTTTGACTCAAACGAAACACCCATCAAGCGAGACACGCCAAAAACTAAAAAATAAAAAGTTTGATTGGGAAAATACATAAGAGACAAGGGTATCGGACGTTTCATTGGGAAAATGTCTTGGTTTTTTTCTTTTTGGTGTTGCTCCTGTCTAATACTATCTACTAAGTGCATCGCACGTCAGTCACCTACATTGTCTCATGCTTGTTGGTCGGTGCAAGCGGTTATACTAAACACCGTAGCAGCAGCAGCAGCAGCAGTAACAGTAACAGTGACAGGTTGATGAAGAAAACATACCTTACCCTGATGCAGTATCAAGAAGCAGAAAGAAAGGGCAAGGTAGGGTATGTATGTAGGCAAGTAGGTAAGCAAATATTGGAAACAGTATATTACGTCAACTAATCAGCATATCCGTCACGCGGGTTCACTGAGCCTTGAAATAGGTATAAAGTAATAAGCGTAGAGTAACATTTTCGCTGTCAAGCAATGACACAGTCTACCGTTCACTGGACGGAATGAACGTGTAACGCAAAATACTACTCCAGGTAGGTTGTACTCGGTCAATCTCTCACCGACATCTTGGGAAAAAGCTGGGAAAATAGAAAACGAGACAAAGGCGGCAGGGATCAGAGTCGTATGGGACTGCGTAGTTTTGGTATGCAGTGCTACGCCCCGTGTCTTTGTTGGGTTGATACCCAAACGCCTCCTCCTGCAGAAGGGATTCCTCTTTATAAGCCCTCACTAATAAAGCAAGTCAATATGGCAAAAAAAGGCATCAAAGGAGGCGAATAGGAGGAAAGAAAAAGAAGATAATAAAACAGTATCAAGTCTATCTTACCGACAGAGACGGAATGCCTGACACAGAGGTGTCATTCTGTAACAAGAAGCGGCAGGTATGATGGCTTGTTACTATTTTTCGCTCATGGCGTAAAACATCCGGCAGGGTCCAGAGGCAAAAGAGGCTGAAAGCTGAAAAAGAAAGCCGCGGCGTGTAAGTACATCCAATGTAAGGGCGGCCGGTCCGGGCACACGGGACCGAGTGCCGCTGCCTGATGAGTGATCTGATTGATTGATTCATGTTGGTGATACCAGAGCATCGGGGTTGAATCACGTCTGGTGGACAACAGCGGAAATTCCTTGTACTCACAACCCAAGTCAGGTTGGCTGAGGGAGTAACAGTTGTTTGTCTCGGAGAGAACAAAGATGGACCAGGATCCAGCAAATTTGGGTGTCAAATTCTTTCTCGCTCGAACCTCTTCTTCCTCTCTTCTCCTCTCCTTCACCCAGGGGTCCCTTTTCCGAGCTGAAAACAAGCAAGCCCAGCTTTAATTGGAGGGGCCGGAAAATGAATCACATCACGATGCATCTTCATGTTGCTCTTGTTCCCTTAGCTCGGGTCACAGCACCAACCAACATGGGGGGAGAGCCTCTCGAGATATTGCCAGGTAGGAACACGGCGTTTGCTTCTCCGTTTCCAGAGTCGTATCGTAGACGGCCAAGTCACCCAGCAGGCGGGCACTTGCAAGGCGAAATTGGGCTTGCTGGTTCCACCGCGCTGGGGGGGATTTGAGACATGTAAGATTGAGAGATGGCCATGGGTAACAGTGGCATTGGGTACGGAGAAATCTCACCTTTGCGGCGCCCTACGTGTACGTGTACGTGCATCAACCCGGGTGCTGCAGCGTAGGAGTCGTTTAGGCGAGAGCGAGGTGACGCTTCTCCTGCGACTCTCCGGCCGAATGGTGCTTTGTTGATGGATGTCGTTGCGACCACGATTGCCACGTATGCTGTGTACAGTATGTATGAGAGCGGCCCTCCCAGAGGAGGTGAATCCAACCTGCAGATGAAACCGCAAGAGTTGTCACCTCGGAGCATGTCCCAGGACGGAAGTGCGGCTCAGGAGGAGACATCGTGAATGGCATCCAATGGAGGCGTCGACTGACTCAACTGAGCTCGATAATCAACAAGCCCAAAATGCCACCACAATGACTCTCAAACTCGCCCTGCAGCTTGCTGGACCCGGCCGTGGTCTATTTATTGTCTCTGCTAGTGCATGTCTCAAAGTGACACACGCAGAAGCTCTACGCAGGCCGGCTGAGCGGCTATGCCGTAGACAGTCCATGCAATGGAGCAGGCTGTCCAAAGGGTGATTCCCCTTTCAACTTCAAGCAGCCGTTTAGCAGTGGGCCGCGGTCTTCTGGAAGCAGAGAGAAAAAGGCAGACAAGCGGAATCCATGCCATTTCAGGCTGCGATGGAATTGGCGGAAGCCGATGGGATTTCACATTCGAGGTTGGAACAAAGGCCTGCCGGACAGTACACTACATGCGCTGTCGATCACGCTCCCCGGACCGGCTGTTGTCAATACATTAGACTCGACTTCTGTTGGTTTGCGAACGGCCGCTTGGGCTCGGCTAGAGCTTGCAGTAGTAACTGTAGACATGCACCCAACTCGGCAGCACGGAGCAGGCGGAATCCAAGCAATAGATTGGCCGCCAGTCACAGCGGCTTGCCTCTGCCCATTAGACATCTCCAAACCATCCGCAGGGAGAGTGCAATAGTCGTATGCAGGCCACCTTATATGCAAGTATTCGGGTCATGAAGTGGCGAGTGGCTGGCGGCTGGTAGTTCTGGCGTGTCTGGCGGCCACATGGCTGGCTGGACGGTCCAGACGCCCATGTGCCACCCGATCCTTTGATGGCATGGGCAAATTGCAGATCGTGCGCGCAAGGGCAGGCAGAGAGAAGTAGGGCACCAATTGTCTGCAAACATGTCGCCGGTTTGTGGCTTGAGCATCAGCATCGTGACCGAGTAAATGCCGTGTTAGTAAAACCCACGAACGAAGCCGATTTGCCGGAAAGGAGGCAAAAAGAAAGCACCGCGAGGGATCAAAGGGCGAGCAACAGGCCGAAAATAGGACGCTGATGGGATTTGTAAAAGTGCCGTCTCCGCCAGAGCATTCCAGCCCAGCCGCACCAGCGCGACTTGGGACCTGGCGCTGTCTCTCCTTCATGTACGAAGTCTCCATCTTGTCGTCTCGGGTGGCCGGACTCAGCCCGGGGCCTTTCTCGCTTTGCTTCCGCGTCCTTCAGGTGCTCTGTGCTGTGCTCAGCACTCGAGACGAGACGTGGGGCGGCTTCTGCCTCCGGTCTTGGATGGTTGGAGCCTCTGCCCGGAACCAGCATCGCCGGCTTCTGCTGCCCGCCCTGAACCCTTGTGTGTATTACAGGTTGTACGACAGTATGTACGAGTACGCCGTGCAGCGTCCAAGCCTCAAGGCACGAGGACAGGCGGATCCGGGACCGAAGCCTTTCGGCCCAACGTCGACGGAGACATGTTGGCGGTCTCGGGCATCCTCAAGGCTGTTGGGTTCCATAGCCGGTGTTGGCCAAGTGACGATATGCGAAGCCAGTACGAGAATGATATCGGCCATTGTTCGCTGGCAGCACGATGTTACCGCGGACGGAGCAGCGAATCTCCTGCTGTCATGCTCATGCACAGAGCCAAGTCGGTACTCGTACTCGTACGGTAGCATTCAACCATCATCCTTCGTCACGCTCTGTTTGTTCCTTGGGGCCTGCGCCCAGGGTTCTCTCCTCTTGGAGGGTCAGCTCTGGCTAGCAATGTCTCACTCTGGGCGTCGTCGCTGCGTCCGTCGCAAAGCTCAACCCCCCCATGGAGATTAACCCCCCAGACAAGGTAGCGTCCGACCGTCATTGTGGTAAAGGTTGGCTCGTAGTCGCAGAGCGCGTATGAGCAGTCGTATGTCATAGTTGGGTTTTCCGTACACGTACCAGGTAGCGGTTTCCAGGGCGTGTAGGTACGAAGTAGCATTGGACCGAGTACACATCAGCTCTCGTCAGCTTGCCGCACACTCGGAGACAAATCGACTGATGGGGAAAATCTGCATCTGGAGAGCACGGCGACAGGGGAATGCGGGACGAAGCCGCGGGAAATGGACCAGACGGCAGCAGTTTCTTTGTCGCAGCGCTGAGAGTCAGCGTTCCAGGTGGCCGCTTAGACGATTCAGGGCTCCATGTAGTGGTGTTCAGCCTGTAACTCAGTGGCCACCGTACCAGAGCAGCGGGCGGGGGGCCCCCTAAAGCGTCCCCAGAGATGCAGCACGCGAGCGGCGGCTCCGTCGCCATACAGGCCAGGTACCGGTATCGCTGGCGACGACACCAGCGCCGGCGCCTTGCCCAGAGCAGTAGCAGCTGCGTGGATGGTGGGGACGACAGACGCTGGTGATTGCGAGAATCGTGAGGCCTAGCAGAACGAGGCGCTTCCAATGGCATGGCGTGGCTGGCAGGCGGGCAGAGGCTGAGGGCCAGCTGCCAGGGCTGCCCGAATCCCGGCTCCAGACTCCGGCCTAGACGCCAGCGCTCCAGACTCCTGGGCTCGCTCATGGGACTACTGACACCCCCCGAGGCGGTATCAACCCCCGGAGGATGACGATGCAGTGCCAATCCCAAGGTGAGTCTAAGGCTGTACAAGTGAGCACATGTCGATTGCCCGCATAGACGGTATATAAACCAGGCATTGGGGCCGTTTGCCTGGGGAGTCGACTGCCCGTCCCAGCTGGGGTATATAAAGAAGGTGTAAGAGCTGACCTTGGAGTCCCTCACCTGCTTGCTGTTTGCTTGTCTCGCGCCCACGTACTGTTATACCGCATCACCAACTTGGAAGTTCAAAGTACCTAAGGTATCCTTTATTCCATATTCCTTTCGCCAGAGTCAGACAGCACCTGACCTCCTCGGATCCTCCGCCCCATCAGCAATCCGCACCAGCAGGAGCAGCCTCGTCGCCTCATCCAGCGCTCTTGCCGGTTGCCGCCGACAGGAAAACGGAAAGAGCTGCCAACCAGTCACTCAATCAATCCAAAGGGGAAGCTAGGACCTGCTGTGACGGCTGGCAACTGCCACTGATTTGACTGCTCTTGCTTGGTTGTCTCGCATCCGGTGCACGGCGGCTGCGGTGTGAATAAGGAAAGAGCCAACAACCGCAAGTGGCGCTCCTTCCATCTATAAGCAGCCAGGGGGGCTATATCCGCAGCTTTGCTTTCAGTCAGCCGCTTTCTCTCTTCTCTTTCATTTCTATTCCTCTTTCGTTTTCATACAAAGGGGTGGGAAGCCCGAGCTGAACAAGCCTCGTTCGCCTTGTCTCTGGACCTTGTCTTTGGCTCTTGAAACGGACTCGTACTTTGTGTGCACGCAAAACCACCAGCGTCACCCGGGCCAGACACTCCGCATTCACACAGCGCCCTTCCGAGAACGGTCAGTCTGAGCGCAAAAGCAAAGACGCAGCAACAACCGATCTCACATCGCGATCTGGGCATCGATCGAGCGCCTGAAACTCTCTCTTATTTAAAACAACCAGTTTCCCTGTTGTGCATCATTCCGGCAAACGTCTATTGGGTGTTGCATCGTCGGGTTGGGCATTTTGGCAGCGAATTCACACATTGTAACCACCATCACCATCAGCCTCAGCCAAGCCTCAAGGAACCGGCTGTCCAAGAGCACAAGGGAGGAAAAAGGACCAAGGAGAATCCACCAAGATACCTTCTTCACGAGATACTTCACCACACATCATGATGCATCATCGTCGCCTGCCTTCTCACCACCACAGCCAAAGCGCCCTTCGGCGCCGTCTCGCCAAGAACCCGGAGCTCGCTCATAAGCTACACCAGATGGCTCTGCCCCTGTCTCCTCTCGTCCAGCTCACAACCGGTGCCGTCCACCCTCACTTTCCGCGCACCGTGCTGCAGTTCTGGCTACTCACGGATGCTCAACTCGAGTCCCTCGCCCACTTCTACCACCAGCGCACTCCCTCTCCTTGGTCTCGACAATACCCCTGCCCGGTCAACTGGCGTTCTGACGCACCACTGGAAGAGAAGCGTCGCAAGATGGGCAGGTTCATTGGCCTGAGAGGCTGTGATAGCCCGACACTTATGCTCAAGACGGAGGAGCAAATTGCACGAGACGCCAGCAGAAACGCCGCCGCCGAGGACGCCTTGAGGCGAAAGATGAATCCCTTCTCTCAGCAGTGACGGACGGTGCCCGTCTTCTCTTTGTTTGCGACCCCAGACATGTGTTTTATCGTTTACCCACCATCGGTCTAGAATTGGCATTATGGTCCTGGAGTTATATGGTTTTATGGCGTTTGTTTGCTTTTAGTATTCACCATTGGATGAGGCGTTTACCTCGGAACGGCTGTTACTTGCATCTTAGATTGGCGACTTGAGACCGTCACCGGCCACCCCATACGTTGTTTGCGTACATATCATGTATATATCCTGGTGTCGAACTACAGGCTGCGTGGCCTGCAAAGTACGCTTACAGCATACAAGGAGCATCGGAGGGAGAGGTGGACTCATCATTGGTAGCGGTCGGCGTAGAACAACTTCAGCAATGATTTGGCATGATATAATCCCCTATTTTATTAAGACAATACAAGACAAATGCATCATCCTTCGCCTTCTCATCTGTGATAACCAGTCAAACGCCTTGGATTTTCTACCCATCAAGAAACCGCTGCACTTGCTGGCATGATGCAGATGCAGTTTCGGTGAACACAATTGCCCATTCGTCGTCCTGGCTGTCCCCTTCTCCCCCAGAATGTCGATATATGTACACTGGCACCATCTTGTGCCATACCTGCCCCCTCTTCCCTGAACTTATTCCTGATTGTCGCCGTTGTGGTCCACCTCTTGCGCTTTTATTTCTTGCCTCCCTTCTTGGAAGGGGAGTCAACTACCACGGCATCATCCTCGTGACCGTCCTTTGTTGAGCCCTTTTCTGATTCGTCAAGCTCCTTCATGAACTCGGCCTGGATCTGGCTCCGCTTCTTCAACCACCAAGCCTTCTCGGCCTCGGTCTGCGACTGAATCTCCTCAAGGCGCTGGCGGAGCTTGGTGTTGGCGGCGATTTCGTGCGCAGACTGGAAGATGATGGGGCCCCAGTTTGGTGCCAGGGCGTTGGCCTACAGTATCTGCGTTAGCGGTCTTTCTCCGGGGTATATACACATATATATATATATATATATATATATATATATATAGGAGTTGAAATGGCTTGATGACATATAGGCGCAAAGACTTACCTCGGTAACGACGTCTCTCAGCTCCTCCTCCATTTCCTTCTCCGCGCGTAGAAATCGCTGCCACAAGTCATCACCGACGCTTCCCCTCTGGAGCAGCGCTCCGCACGCCTGCTTCGCGGTCTTAATGTGGATCAGGCGCTCAATGTCCTCGACGGCGCGCCGGAGCAGGGCGGCTCGCAGGACGCCGTCGGGAACCTTGGGGGCCTTTTCGGAGCCCTCTTCGGGATCGAGATGCAGGAGGGAGAGGTAGATGTCGCGCTGGAGGTGAGGGCCGAACCAGGGCGCGAGGTTTGCGCTTTCAGCTGTGCGGGAGGTTGTTTGTTAGCGTTTGCGGCGATGCATGACGATATGGCGTTTTTGGAGGGGGAGGGAAGAAGAAGGGTTTGAGGGTTGCCGTACCGGCCTTCCGTCTTCGATAGATTGTGGAAAAGGTCATGAGGGCGCCGCCGAGGACGATGAGGTAGGCGAATGGAAGGGCAAGGCCCTTCCAGTCAATGTCGAGCATTTTGGTGTGATATACTGCTGAAAGGTCGTCTATCGCGGGATGCAAATATCGAAAAGAGAAGACTGGGCGTTGCTTTCCTCTCCGTCAACGAGCTGATTCTCTTAATAAACAAATCACACGTAAGAGAATAAAATGAGCGGACGAGAAGAAGCGCAGAAAAGAAACATGCAGTGCCGTGATCCCTGTCTGCGATGTCGAGGGTTGCAAGTTGACGCTCCCTGGCGATGGTAAAGAACAGAGTGCGCTGGCGCTCGACATAAGATTGCGGCTTATCGACACGTCGCACACATGCCACCGGTTTTCTTCTGGCCACATTGGCGGCAGCGCTTGCAAGGCTGTCGCGGGGACCGGAGGTACTTGGGTACGTACCGACCAACTGCCGCTTCCAGCCAGCAGAACTCGGAGCTGCGGGTCCAGTGGCATGGAAGCACCTGCACTGGCAGCTTCCAAGTTGTACCGAAGTACCGTGCCTTAGTAATCAAGCGGACCGATGAATCTTCCCCCTTCGTTGACAGAACGACAAGCCTGCTTACCTCAGCAATGTGGCGCCCGCTTCAGGCACACTGTGAATGACGCTCTTGCTTGACGTACCTACTTTGTGCTGCCACCAATTCCCGAGCTGGAGCTCTCATGATTCAATAAGCTTCAACCGCCTCTTTTTCGCCGTTCTTCTCTATGCTTGCGCAGCTTTGACGTGCAGCAGCGCGGCCTCTACGTGGATTCATAAACCCCGTTTCCGCTTTTTCTTCCTTCTTCTTTTTCTTTCTACTTCCTTTTTGGCTCTCCTCTACATCTCGAGTCACGTTTCTGCTTGATATATCACAGCTCCTGCCAAATCGCCTACATAAAGTTGACGTAGGCCCGGAATCTTCTCCCCACTCAACGAACCGCACAATAGCATCCGGTGCTGCAGCCACAGGTCGCCCGTCATGTTGATCAGACTGCGCGGGCCGGATGGCATGATTCGCCTGACGGTCGAGCCGACGACTACCTTTGGCGACTTGGGACAACAGGTGAGGGAGCCCCAGACAGGCATCGTTGATGCGTCTCTGCGGCGGGAGGAAGATGTTCTAACTGAATCTTGCTATAGCTACTCACTCACCTACCTTCGACCGTCGATCCCAAGACCATCGTTCTGTCCAACTCACCAACGGGCCGCGACGCCAAGAGACTGGGGGATATTATTCAGTTCCAGATCGGGCAGATCGGCCTCAAGTACGCCGTTGAACATGACCCTTCTCGTACGAGGCGGAGGGCCGGGATAGGCTGCTAACATATTGACTTACAGACATGGCGACTTGATATTCCTTAGCTACCAACACCAATCCGACGGCGGGGCCGCGAACGGCGATGACCCCGCGCCGGTAGTCTCTGCCAGGCTGAACGGCAAGCCGGTGCTGCCCACGGAGGACCACCCCATCAACCCCAAACCCGAAAGAATCTCGAAGCCATGGGAAACTGTAAAGCAATCGGCGCTAGATGACCGCCTAGACAAGCTGGATGGAAAGATCCCTCGGGGGCGGGGCAGGATGTGCCGACACGGACCCAAGGGCATGTGCGATTACTGCCAACCCATGGACCCTTTCGATCCGGGCTATCTGGCAGACAATGGCATCAAGTACCTTTCCTTCCACTCATATCTGCGCAAGATCAACGCTGCGACGAACAAGCCCGAGTCCGGAACGTCTTACATACCTCCTCTTGTCGAGCCGTACTTCCGAGTCAAGCGCGATTGTCCGTCCGGCCATCCGGCCTGGCCAGAAGGCATTTGCACAAGTTGCCAACCGAGCGCCATCACGCTGAACCCTCAACCTTTTCGAATGGTGGACCATGTCGAGTTCTCCAGCCCTTCCATTATTGACGGCTTTATTGACGCCTGGCGGAAGACTGGCTCGCAGCGACTGGGCTACCTCTACGGTCGATACGCAGAGTACACCAAAGTGCCACTGGGAGTGAAGGCCGTTGTGGAGGCCATCTATGAGCCACCACAGGTCGATGAACTTGACGGCATCACCATGAACGCTTGGGAGAACCAGAAGGAGGTTGACCACATTGCCAAGCTCTGCGGGCTGGAGCCTGTAGGCGTTATCTGGACCGACTTACTCGACTCCGGCCGTGGCGACGGATCCGTTGTCTGCAAGCGCCACCTCGAATCATACTACCTATCATCTCTCGAGATTTGCTTCTCCTCCAGACTACAAGCCCAGTACCCTAAGCCGTCAAAGTGGAGTGACTCTGGCCAGTTCGGTTCCAACTTTGTCACATGCGTGATTACGGGCGATGAAGATGGAAATATTGCCATCTCAGCATATCAGATGTCTAACGAGGCTGTCGAGATGGTGCGAGCTGACATTGTGGAGCCGTCAGCAGACCCCAACTCCATGCTTGTCCGCGAAGAGGAGGAAGACGACGGCTCCGTCAGTCGCACGAGATACATCCCTGAAGTATTCTACAGCAAGATCAACGAGTATGGAGCCAAAGTACAGCAGAACGCCAAGCCGGCGTTTCCCGTCGAATACCTCTTCGTCACCTTGACACACGGCTTTCCCGAAGAGTCCAAGCCCTTATTCACCCAGACAGGGTTCCCTATCGAGAATCGCGAGTACATTGGCGAAAGTCAAGAGCACTCTGCTCTGGCGCGAGCCCTGAATCTGCGACCAGGCCAGAAGCCTAGTGATAACGGCCAAGAAGTGTCAAACTTTCATATTCTCTGCTTCATCCATCACCTCGGAGTTCTTTCAAAGGTTTGCCCCTCTTTGCAGTTTCCTCTCCGCTCTGCATCTCTCAAGTACAGCCCTTACTAACCGTGATCTTTACGCCTGCTGTAGGAAGAGGAGGCCCTTCTCTGTCGCGTTGCAACCCAGCATGACCTCGCCGACTCGTTCCAGCTCCGCTCTACGGGAGGCTGGCAGACACTACAAGTCATCCTGAACTCGACTGGTGAGCGAATCCCCAAGCGTCCACGAGAGGGCGGTGGAGGTCTGCCAATGACCTCATCATCGGTTGCGCCGCCTCCATCGTCTTCGCCGTCTTCACCTCATCACAATACCCCTTCTGTTGTCAGTGAGCGGGATGAACCACTTGCTAAACGGTTTGCTGCCTTCAGGCTGAACGAGCGTCGTTCCGCGACCCCGAGCAATCCTTTGCCGCCGCCGCCGCCGCCTCCCTGAGCGTCCAACTGTGAGTTTGAAGAGAGCGATTCAACGTTGATTGCTGTTCTCCCTGAAAGACGGGGCAGTACTTGCAAGGGGAGTTGGGGAGACTGGGCTTAGATTCGTGTATATCTGGGTGGAATGGATCTTGAGCAGAATTCCAAATCATGTATAATGGATCAGAATGGTTTGATATGGGGATCGGGCAGGCGGCAATATTGCTTAGGGATAGCGCGGGCATAGATTCGGAATAAGATACAGTTAATACCATTTGGGACGACGCGTAAAGGAGTACATACAGAGTTGCGGTGCTATATATCATGGCTTCATCCCCTCATATCGGTGTACTACCCATTACTCTCGCTGTCAAGGCTACGGGGATGCGATTCTTTAAAGGGTTCTGTAAGAGGATGGCTGGCCCGCACTCAGACTTGGCTATCTAATATTCCAAGACTATTGCGTTAGGTGAAAGGAAGAAGCTGGATTCACTATGGCCCGTTTACTAGCATTTATATTATATGGCGAGATTAGAGATATATACCTAGCGATAGTAGCAGAAAGTAAAGGTCTTATCTTCTATTCAGGCCAGTGGTAATAGATTTCAAACGACGACTGTTGTCCCTGGGCAATGATTATTGCCCTCTATGGACAGAAGATGTCTCTTCTTATAGGGGCAATTGTCTCGATAACGGTCATCGAGACAGAGTAGCTCAGCCAGACGACGGATATTGGCCTCCATGGCCCTTACCTATGACGACCGTAGTCCAGTTAGTCTAAGAACCAAGCTTCCTTTCACACACATCATCGTCTCTTTGTGACAATTGGTAGTAGATTGCTAGGCTGCTGGATAGCCAAGTTGGGGTACTAGCTACGCAGCCACTGCTAAGAAATATGGCTGTGCAATGCCTACGGCACGCAAACCCATCTTGACACCTATAAGAAGTCTCAAGATGCACACCAAGGCCGCTGTCGCAGCCGAGGCCCTTGATTCCCCTGAGTCTGGTGGTTCCCTTGGGGCTGATGGTATCGCTGAGTCTGGTGACTCCTCTGAGGCTTTGCTTCCCCCAAGTTTCCTGCCTCTGCATACTCGCACAAAGACGATATCTGCCAGGACACCGGGCTACATAATGACACTGCTAAGGTTATGTTATGGAGTTACTTCTATTCTTCAAAGATGTTGTCGCTGTTATGCTGGACCAGGGCACAACGCCTTCTGAGCGAGGCCAGCAGCTCGAGCTTGATGCCTCGAGTGGACGCCGGCCTTATAGACTTGATATTCAAGGTCGTGGTGTCTGAAACAGCTACCTTGATAGTTATCGTATCTATCATACGCGTATGTAGGTGGCCTGTATATCGAGGCATCAAGCTGCCAGCTGACTGGTCTCGTGCCACTAGAAAGTCTCATCTGAAAGAGCTTTTCCTTCGCTTCTTCCTCTTCTTCTCTTTTCTTTTTCATCTTGCTTTCCGTTCAGAAGCTTCCAACAAACATGTTGCCATCTCAAAGCCCGTCTCCTGACTACATATATGAAGAGTCCATCACTAGTGGTGAGTTGAACATTCTTTATGTGCACGATACTATAATGTCTAATATTAACACTCTTCCAGACGCAGTTTCAGACGCAGTTCCAGACGCAGTTCCAGACGCGGTTCCAGACGACCCCAAAGAGTCCATAGAGGATGCAGAAAACCTGGCTCGCGCAGACCTCTTTCCATGGGTAGACCAACACTCCAACGTCATCACACGCCACGTAGGAAAGGCACTCATTAGAGCACACCAGGAGGAATCCAAGACCTGGACTTGGGAGATGAACTTCGAGTTCAGGCACATTGCTCCAACACTCAATTTCTCCATCTATGCGCAGACGGGAATCATCACCAGTCACAGGATCGGCAAGAATGTGAGGAAGAATGGCGCCACCTGGGTTCACTTTTGGTTCCTGCGCGTCATGTTTGGCCCGCAAGCGTGCTCGAGACAGCCCTGGTTTGCAGAGCTGGCTGAGAAGCATCCTTGGATTCTCAACGAGGCTCCCGGGGGCGTGGTCCCTTGGAGTGCAAGGGCCATTATTGAGTCTGGGCAGGAGGATTGGGTGCCTGTAACGCCGATAATGGAAACCCCCATCTTCCATACTATCACAAGGCCGAAGCGAGAGGCTGCCGAGAGCATCTCAAACCCACGACCGAACAAGACGCCTAGAGCATCTGTTCCATACTCAAAGGAGACGGCCGGAGTGTCGGACGAGACGGATGTGTGGACACAGCTTGATGACGTTGACCTCTGGGAGCCTCTCAACATGAAGTCTCCATCGAAATCGGACGAACAGTTAGAGGAGCTCAAAGTGAAGCACGAAGCGTTGCAATCGGCACACGAAGCTCTTTTCGAGAAGCACAGGACGCTGGAGGGCAAGTACAAGAAGCAGGAGAAGAAGCTGGAGAAACTCTGCACGCGGCTGATTCAGCTTGGGAGCTTGGTGAAGCAGCAGAACGGGGTTTGAGTATGGGATATGCATTGGGATGGGACAGAAGGGTTACAGATGGTTTCTCGGGATGCTTACACGATACCATTTTGCTATCTAAGCTAAGACAACAGATATTAAGTTTGCAAATACCATTACATGTGCAGAGGCGGATGATGGGCTGAGAGAGACTTGAGGAAACGGCGATGAGACCGAGCCAGGGGGCCGCTCATATAGAGGGCTGGTCTGGTGGAAGGCCTTGCGGTGGAGCTTGCGACCACCCGAAATTTGCGGCAAGAGTCGTAGTATTGGAATTGCCGTCTGTTGAAATGCTCGAGGTAAACTTGACGCTGTTTGTTTGACATTCGAGTCGCAAGTTGCTAGTAGGTCTTTACCTGCGTCACCGAGCTCTGGACGTTGGATTGGAGCCGAACCTACTCGCCCAGCGAAAGGTCCCCAAGCTATGGCAATTAAAGTGGAAGGAATCGGGCGACGTCTGGATGCCATCGACACCAAACTTGAGCAGGGCGTCACCCGTCTTACGACCAGCATAGAACACGCCAACGACCGGGTGTCCCAGGCCATTGACATACTGGTGACCCAGCCCTCCCGCCTAGGCCAATCATCCATTATTAAACGGATAGTTATATCAGTAATTTGGGCACCAAAGCCGTCCCAGGACTTGGTCGCGTTGTGCGTTTCTTCTCTAAGTTTGATAGAGAGGTCCTTCGAGAACGTAGATAGCCTAAAGGTCTTGCTGGCTAACGTCTTTCAGGCAGAATGATGGGGAAGATACATCCGCCCATTCGGGGAGTAACTCAGTTTCGTCCACATCGGATAAGAACCTGGCATAGAACGGATTGATAATGTGCGTGAGCATTGTTCTGATAGATGCCGTGGTATGGAGAGGGAGCGTCTTTTTAACTGAGACTGACATGGCGTGGGAGGAATCGCTGTTGATGTGATACCAAACGGTGAGATGACATGACTAGAGAGTAAGGGGATCGGATGGATAGGTGTATTGCTCTATGTAGGCGAGATAATCGGGCTTTTCTGTAAAAATAAGGATATTTCAGCAAGAAGGAAGGAAGTAGTGAAGCAACAAAGACAATTGCACTCTGCTCTTCTATTGCAATGGTCCGTTGGCGTGTTCTCCAGGGCAATGATATACAAATCGTAAAGATGAAAAGCGAACAATATCCTTCCTAACAAGATGATACTCTACAAGCGCGTCCCACAGTGGTTTCCGTCGCCCTTCACGCATTCTCCAGCATAGCAACCTTTTCCTGTAGCACTTTGATCTCGTGAGTCATCGCCACCAGGACAGCCATCATCTGGGTCTCAAGGGCATCAACCCGTTGCTCGAGCCTGTGAATGGCATTTGCCGACGTCTTAGGCTTTGCCGAAGTAGTTGCTGGAGACTGGAGTCTTTGAATCATGCTCTCAAAGGTGTCTTGTTTCGTGTCCTGCCTTTTAATAGACATCGTCGGAGTCGGACCTGATGGGCCACGCTTTGTCCCCCCTGAGAGGGCAGAGGAGACGCTGGCGTCCTCCTCGGCGTCTGCGTCGTTAATCACAGTGGGGACCGACAGTTGCGAGCTCTGTGGCTGTGAGACAGTTTGTATTGAGGCGTAGGGGGCAGCAGTCACTGTCGCTATAGGGGCCCTGGTGATTGGCGTCGAGAAGATGAGCTTGGCTGTTGTAAAGGCTTGGGTATGTCGCGATCCTGGCTTGTCAAGCGTCATGTGGTCGGGCACCTGCTGTGTATCTGGATGAACCTGGGTATCTACAGTCACCGCCGCTGGTATTGTGACTGGGAGAGCCGATGCCGTGGTTGGCGCGGTCGAGGCGACTGTATCCTGCTCTTTCTTGCGGTAGATTGTTGGCGTGTTTTTCAACTTGGGCCAGGCTTTACGGTATGCCTCTCCTTCGGGCGTATCTGTGTTGTATCGTATCGGAAGGACTGTGTTTGGAAACACTTTCAGATAGTCATCCGTGTGGTCTTCCAACACCGTCGGGAGGTTTCTCTCTCTGATGGCCGCCAAATATGACATAGGAAGCCTTTTGTATAGTGCATTCAGGATGAGAAAGTCTGGCCACGAGAAGCCGTCTCTCCGATGAAGACGATGGTGACCCGCGCATTCTCGACTGGATTTCGTGTGTGCGAATTCTCTGTCAATGACAAGCTGCCTCATCACCCTCTGCGACTTTGCGTCCAACTGTGATGCCTGGCTCCAGTATGCCTGCACACACGCAACAGCGTCCGCGAAGATTTCGTCGTCTTCGTGTAGCCATAGGTCGGCAATCGTCAGCTCTTGGATTGCTAGCTGGGAGGCCATGTTGCTGGTAGACGAAACCGGCCAAGTCCGACGACGCGCTGCAGGAAAGACTTTTGCTGTGACGTGGAGAGAAAAGAGGAGAAAACAGATGAAGACAAACGAAAAAGAAGCGTTTACTCTTTTGTTATTGTCGCCCGTTGTCGCCCCAGTTGCCCATCATCTCGTCGCCAGCTGCCCGCCACCCGATGCCAGCTGTGCGCCATGTCCTGGTTCAGTCGCAGCCGCAAGATGGCTATCACGGAGATTGCTGACTTGGAAACGCAATATTTTGGCTCCAGTGTTCCTGGGATGGTGCTCGTGGACATTGCTCAGCGCGAGATAGTATAGCAACAGGAGGGCGAGGGTAGTTAGGGGCTCGACCGAGGACTGATTCCCGAGACTGCTCAAGTGACGGCTCCTGTCCGCATACTTTCGCTGAGTGCGTGAGGCTGCGTGAGATGTTGGACCATTCGGATCATATGTAGTCCTCTCTACCCACGAGCTATGTAGTATATCGTTACCAATGCAGATTTCGTGTTTGGAAGGCATATACTCGATAACATGCAGGGTAAAGAAATGACCGGACGACGGTAAACAGGAGCAGTCTGAAAGTGTCCAGGTGAGAGAATGGTATCCTAAGATGCATCTCATCTGCTATATGTCTTACCCAGGCCGATCAGGTAAAAAGTTGGAGAAAGAAGTAAAGAAAGGAGAGCAATTGGCCATGATCAGGCGATGGAGGTCGCGCGGCTCCATGGCTCGGTAGCACCTAAAACAGCTGCATGACCATCATTGGTGACAATATCGATCATGGCATGGCATCGACGTCGTGGAAAAATAGAATCTAGAAGAGTATATGCATACTCTCTGCTGATGATCCTAATATGCAGCATCTGGAACTATGGCACTTCCAGATATTGTCTGATGTCTTCGGGGTAGGAAACAGGCCATTCTTACTATAGCCGCGATACGGAGCAACGCTTTAAGTTGCAAGCCGTTGAAGGGAAACATCGATTCCACGTTGATGAAAGAAGACGATACATCTACATCTATTTGATATTATGAAACTCATAGGGAACTGTTCAATTGAGAATACTTGGGTTCGAGTTGTACTTCCAACAAGCCTGCATTATATGCAGGTATGTGGTGTCATAGATTCAGGTACTTGTAGCCTGTAAGAGCAACCCTGTAGAAGAAAGCATTACAGCATAAAGTATACACTTGCCGAGGCATTGGGGTGATTCGAACCAGAAATCAAGGTGCAACGCAAGTTGATCCGTAAACTGATCCATCGTCAGAGTCATGACCAGTCGTGCAGAGGTTCGACTCATCCGTGTTTGCGATACCGGAGCTGCGCTGAAGTGAGGTGCAAAGAGACGCAGACGGGCCAGCGGCAGCTACGGTTGAATTGATCTGGGCGATGGCCCGTGCAGTCGCCGATTCAGACAGGGATGCGGTTGATGCAGCGCGAGATTGGCTCCAGCCTAGCTCCGGTGTCTGAGCCGGGATCCTGCTGGGGCTGATAGTAGTACATAGCAATAGACTGGTATGGACTGCGATGAGAGAGACGGCGAGAGGCTAACGGCCAGAACGCGGCGACGCTCATTGGCGGGCTCAGACATGGCTGGGATGGCATCAGGCAGATCCAATGACATTAGTCTGCTCAACTAGTAATAACAGGTTGAACCAAGATTGGGCCAACGGCTAGGGTTGGAGGCTGTCACCCCGTGGTGATGTTCGCACAACACCAATCTCGCAGCCACCATGTTGGTGTATACAAACCTGCTTCTACGAGTCGACGATTAGACTACTAGGACTCAATGGACGATGCCAATGCTTTGACAAGCCCACGATTCTTGCAATTGATATCATAACATGAGTTCGCGTGCGTCAATAAAGGAAGATACTAACATGTTTGCTCCCCTGAGTGGCGTCCTGCAGTGTCGTGCTTCCTGCTACTATGCTCCCCACAACGTCATGAAATTTTTCTCCTGGGTCACATCTGATGGAGCCCGCATCAGAATCCATCTCGGATTGGATCTGCTCCACAAGCTTCTGCCGGGGTTCGACTTGTTCTTGGGTCTTTATCTCTGGCCAGAATAGGCTCATAGCAAGAGAAAGAGAGAAAAAAAGCTGGGGGACGCTCCGATTGATCGTTATCTAATCGGTGACTCGTTGCGCTCCAGAAATCGGCGGCCGCTCTGCTTTTTGTTTGGCCCGATCCTGCTAAAGCCCGTGCAACCTCTTAAACCCCCACCAAGGTGTAAACATTTTTCTCACGACACCCGTCGCCGAGCTTCCTCTTCCTTTTCTTTTTCCCTTCTTTTCAAGCTCACAAACCGGTCAATTGGGAAACCTGGAACAAGGGCCCGGCTGCTCGTTGGACGGAGCAACTCTCGCATTGATCAGCTCGCAATGCCCGCGACAATGTCTTCAGCCGCGCTGGCCGCTGCCCGGGCGCCGGCTCTGCTCCGGAGCGGCGCCCGACTCCCGCGAACGCTCCCGACTCGTCTCTTCACCACAGCCGCTCTGCGCACTCAGGCCAGGGCCTCATTGCCGGCCAAGGCGACCAAGAGGCTGGGCACGATCTCCGTCTTCCGACCGTATTCTGCGACTACGCAGGCGGCGCCCAACCCCAAGGCCTATCTCGACAGCGGCGTCATCAAGCCCAAGGTGAACGTCGATGTCAAGAAGGTCCTGGTTATTGGCAGCGGTGGTCTGGCCATTGGACAGGCCGGTGAATTCGACTACTCCGGTGGGTTTTACTCCCTTTCCTGTATCATTCTAATCGGCGCCTTGGTGCTCAAGCTGGAGCCTCGCTTCTTGGCTCTGTCAACAGGCAGCCGGTAACACGATATGAGGATTTACTGACGAGACCACACTTTACAGGTTCACAAGCTCTGAAAGCCCTTAAAGAGGCAGGCGTCTCTTCCGTTCTCATCAATCCTAACATTGCCACGATTCAAACCAACCATTCGCTTGCGGATGAAGTCTACTACCTCCCCGTCACCCCCGAATATGTCAGCTATGTCATCGAGAAAGAGAAATGCGACGCCATTTTCCTCAGCTTTGGTTAGAGATTCTCTCATTCTCGCAATTTTATATATGCCATGCTAACATATATTGCGAATAGGTGGCCAGACTGCCCTCAACCTGGGTGTGCAGATGCAGCGACAGGGTCTCTTTGAGAAGTACGGCGTCAAGGTCCTCGGCACCAGCGTGAGGACCCTCGAGGTCAGCGAGGACCGAGATCTTTTCGCAAAGGCGCTTGAGGAGATCAACATCCCCATTGCCAAGTCGATCGCTGTCAGCACCGTCGACGAAGCTCTCGATGCTGCCTCAAAAATCGGATACCCCATCATTGTCCGCGCTGCCTATGCCCTGGGTGGTCTGGGTTCCGGCTTTGCCAACAACGAGGAGGAGCTTCGCAACATGGCCGCTCGGTCTCTCACTCTTTCCCCGCAAATCCTGGTGGAGAAGTCACTCAAGGGCTGGAAGGAGGTCGAGTATGAAGTTGTCCGAGACGCCAACAACAACTGCATTACTGTTTGCAACATGGAGAACTTCGACCCCCTGGGCATCCACACCGGTGATTCTATTGTCGTCGCTCCCAGTCAAACCCTGAGCGACGAAGAGTACCACATGCTTAGAACCGCGGCTATTAAGATCGTCCGGCACCTGGGGGTTGTCGGGGAGTGCAATGTTCAATACGCCTTGCAGCCAGACGGCCTGGATTACCGTGTTATCGAGGTCAACGCCCGTCTTTCGCGATCTTCTGCCCTTGCTTCTAAAGCTACCGGATATCCTCTTGCCTACACTGCTGCCAAAATCGGCCTGGGACACAGCCTGCCCGAGCTTCCCAACGCTGTGACCAAGACCACCACCGCCAACTTTGAGCCCTCTCTCGACTACATTGTCACCAAGATCCCTCGATGGGATCTCTCCAAATTCCAGCACGTGAAGCGCGACATTGGAAGTGCCATGAAATCGGTGGGAGAGGTGATGGCCATCGGCCGAACCTTTGAAGAGTCTTTCCAGAAGGCCATCCGTCAAGTTGACCCCAGGTTCGTCGGCTTCCAGGGCGACAAGTTTGACGACCTCGACTACGAGCTCCAAAACCCCACCGATCGCCGATGGCTCGCTGTCGGACAGGCCATGCTGCACGAGAACTACTCCGTTGACAAGGTGCACGAGTTGACCAAGATTGACAAGTGGTTCCTGTACAAGCTGCAGAACCTTGTTGACTGCACCCGTGAGCTCGAAGCTGCCGGTAGCCTCGATGCGCTGCAGAAGGAGCAGATCTTGAAGGCGAAGAAGATGGGCTTCTCCGACCGACAGATCGCAAATGCTGTCAAGAGCACCGAAGACGAAGTCCGAGCCCGTCGTTTGAGCTTCAACATTCGCCCCTGGGTCAAGAAGATCGATACTCTGGCTGCAGAATTCCCCGCCGACACAAACTACCTCTACACCACCTACAATGGCTCCTCCCACGACGTCACCTTTGAGGACAAGGGCATTGTGATCCTTGGCAGCGGTGTCTATCGCATTGGTAGCTCAGTAGAGTTTGATTGGTGTGCTGTTGGCGCTACTCAGGCACTGCGCGAGATGGGTGAGAAGACGGTCATGATCAACTGTAAGTCCACCGCCCTTGAACCCTTCTTCCCACCTCCAAAACACCAAAACAACACAGCACGACCCCCAATAACATCAAAAATTGCTAATTCGACGTTCCAGACAACCCAGAGACGTACAGTACCGATTTCGACACTGCCGATAAGCTTTATTTCGAAGAGTTGAGCTATGAGCGTGTCATGGATATCTACGAGCTTGAGTCCGCCAAGGGCGTTGTGGTCTCGGTGGGAGGCCAGCTCCCGCAGAACATCGCACTCCGCCTGCAGGAAACTGGCGGCGCCAATGTTCTGGGAACTGATCCCAAGGACATCGACAAGGCTGAGGACCGTCAAAAGTTCTCGGAGATCCTCGACAGCATCGGCGTCGACCAGCCTGCGTGGAAGGAACTCACCTCGGTTGAGGAGGCTGAAAAGTTTGCTGAGCAAGTGGGCTACCCCGTTCTGGTTCGTCCCAGTTACGTCCTGTCCGGAGCTGCCATGACCGTCATCCGCAGCCAGGAGGACCTCAAGGAGAAGCTCGAGGCTGCGGCCAACGTCTCCCCCGACCACCCCGTTGTCATCACCAAGTTCATCGAGGGCGCGCAGGAAATCGATGTCGATGGTGTTGCCTCCGAGGGCAACCTGATCGTCCACGCCGTCAGTGAACACGTTGAACAGGCTGGTGTCCACTCCGGCGACGCTACCCTGGTTCTGCCCCCTGTCAACCTCGATGCCACCACCATGGACCGCCTCAAGGAGATTGCCCAGAAGGTCGCCAAGGCCTGGAAGATCACCGGTCCCTTCAACATGCAGATCATCAAGGCCGAGAACCCCGAGGGTGGTGAGCCTCTGCTCAAGGTCATTGAGTGCAACCTGCGTGCTTCCCGATCGTTCCCCTTTGTCAGCAAGGTTCTCGGCAAGAACTTCATCGATGTCGCCACCAAGGCCCTCGTTGGCAAGAATGTCCCTGAGCCTACCGACCTGATGGCCGTCAAGCGCGACTACGTTGCCACCAAGGTTCCCCAGTTCTCGTGGACCCGTCTCGCTGGCGCCGACCCCTTCTTGGGCGTCGAGATGGCTTCCACTGGTGAGATTGCTTGCTTTGGCAAGGACCTCGTCGAGGCCTACTGGACTTCCCTGCAGTCCACCATGAACTTCCGCATCCCCGAGCCTGGCGAGGGTCTGCTCTTCGGTGGTGAGCTGAACAAGCCCTGGTTGACCCAGGTCGTCGACTACCTGGCTCCTCTCGGCTACACTCTGTACGCCGCCAGCAACGACGTCAAGAAGTTCATCGAGTCCAGCTCAAAACACAACGTCAAGGTGGAGGTGATTGAGTTCCCCACCGACGACAAGCGTGCCCTCCGTGAGGTGTTCAAGAAGTACGACATCCGCGGCGTCTTCAACCTGGCTCTTGCCCGTGGCAAGACCACTTCGGATGTCGACTACGTGATGCGCCGAAACGCCGTCGACTTTGGCGTGCCCCTGTTCATGGAGCCCCAGGTAAGCCATTTTCACTCCATATTGTCTACATTTTATCTTTTCAAAGATAACATCTGTACTGATATTTTTCAAACTAGACCGCTATCCTGTTCGCTCAGTGCATGAGCGAGAAGCTCCCTCGCCCCGAGGGCATCCCCTCGGAGGTCCGCGCCTGGTCTGACTTCATCGGCGGCAAGCCCCTGTAAAATTATATATACCCTTGTATACAAATAATCCCCGTTTTCTACTTTGTTTCTGTAATAAAGCCTTGAGGTGACGACTCTTTTCTACGTCACCTATATGCAAATAGGCATGGTGGAGAGGGAGGGGGTGGGTAGGTAGGGAAAAATGGACGGCTGGGTAAGCGGGAAGAGAGAAGAAAAAAAAATATAGGATAACTAGGCGTTCTCTTTCACATTAGAAAAGCTTGTCTTTACAGAAGATTATAAACTGTTTTCACAACTGGTGATTATCGCCGTCTGTTGTTTATTTGAGCATGCAATGTTCTGTCGACGACGACGTCCAGCTACGAGTCGAGGCACGACAAGTTGCACAACAGTGATAAGCGAAATCTAATAATCAGGACTAGACAGCGGATAATATGCAATAGGCTATAAAGGATATGTATTAGTTCTATGTAGATATATATATACATCTCAGTCTACTTAGTTCTACTTATATTACTTATATTACTCTGTACATAAATCTAGATATTTTATTTCATATATTATTAAATATCCATCTATATATTAAATTAACTTTCTACTATAGTATACTTACATTAGTATTACCTACCTCTCTTCTCTTTCTAGTTCTTTTCTCCCTCCTGCTTCCTTATCAAGTGGTACTGTCTAGACTGAGACAACTGACTTCATAAGAATGACTGGGCTCTATTGTGTCTTGGGCGGTTACATGTATGCTTCCAGCCCGGTTCGACGTTACACTTTATACTTTACACTACAACGACATGGAGAGATGGATGCTGATTCTGGCCTCAAACTTTATGCCCCTTTAGACTAAAAGGCAGCCTCACTCCAGCCTTTGGACCTTACGACGTTTTTACCTTTTCTTCCTGCCATCTTTCACGCATACATAACCGACTTGTTCTCCCCCCTACATCCAATGTCCTCCTCCTTTCTCCTCAGCATAAACTTCACAAGACGCATCAATATCACAAAAGCTCCTCCAACCGGCCAAGTTCCAAGCACAAACAAACAAACCTCCACAATGTCAACCCGCCTAGACGCAGTCGCCCTAACAAAGCTCTTCAAGAAGGCCTACTCCGACCTGCGCCGCGCAAGGCGGGTCTACCTACGCGAGGCCAAAGCCCTGGAGAACCAGACGGACGACAGGCGGCAGCTCTCCCGAGGACTACGCAAGGTGGCGCACGAGGTGGTGAAGATGTCGGAACATCTACTTCGCCTGCGGGAGCTCGCGAGGGACTGCGGGATTGACTGTGGGGTGATGCCTGAGGACATGGAGCGTCTTGGTTTGGAGCTTGAGGATGACTTTCTGCGGTTGTTGAGGGAGGATCGGGAGGTGCATTGTCGGAAGTATAGGGTTGGAGTTGAGCAGACCACGGCGGAGGTCTCTCAGGGGAGGGAATAGGCTGACTAGGCATGGATATTGACTTGAAGAGGGAAGTATTGAAGGACTCTTTCTACGGTTTGCGTTGGGTATGCGGCGACCCTGCTGCTGTGATGGATAGGAGAGGATGAACTATGGGACATGGGATCGTCACTTTGTTTAGTTCTACGGATACGCATGGTTATGACGCATTGTTTCGAGTTGATAGTGATACCAACAATGATACAAAGCCGTCATGTATGTAAGGATGAAAATGGCATTGCGTGCTGATTGCAGAGTGTTGTCCCATACGTACCTTAGTTCGGAATGTATTCACGAGTTCCAATGCTGCTCCAAACCCCTTATCTCAAAAACCCAACACCATGGCTCCAGTTACTTCTAGGAATGCGAGAAGTCTACATACAGCAGAACGATAACAATGGCATAGTAGTTTTCATTTCACATTGACCAGAATTAAATACAAAGTAACCTCACACGCGCTGCTTTATGGTCTGCCACCATGCATCATATCACCCAATATTTACTGAGCCGTGAAAGCAATGGCCTACGCAACACTCGACAAGGAATAGGGTAATAAGGCCGATCTGGAGCTCGGTATGTGTACAATTACAAGCCTCGTGTTGGTCTGCACGATCTTCATGGAGCAATTCCACGTCGCCACCTTCTCCCTTACCCATGTCGGGAGTCAAGGGAGAGAAACGTGCTTTAGCTTCCGCTGGGGCGGGTGCTCCCGACCCCTTTTCTCCGGAAGTGTGTTGCTTTAAAGACTGCAGTTAGCTCCAGTACCATGGAATGCACTTCATTTTACCTTCCAGGGCAGATGTATGTCGATTCCTACTTGGAAGCCGATTCCCTCTTCACAATACCAGGCACCAACGCGGGATCAAATTCTCCCGTCTGAATCATATAGAATTCTCAGCGCCAGGCTCCAGACCCTTCTCATTCGGCGACGATCCTCTACTAGCAGCAAACCCGCATTGGCTTCTGGTTCATCTTCATCCAGTCTACGTTCCATCAGGTGTGTTGTTTGCGAGTTGGTCGAGAGCTGCCCTCCTCGCCCAGTTCCGACAACAGGCATGAAGATCCCCAGAGCAGCGGACCGTTTCGCCCGAGACAAAGGACATTGATCTTATCAAATCATGGAATCTTCAATTATAAGAAGAGATTCCCTTCAGTCTCTGCCAAGCGGCCGGCAGAAGTGACCCTCTGTGCTTCTTATCTGGACTGGCATCACGGCGCCTCCAGTTTCTTTGTGATTTTGTTCATTCTTCTCTGAGTCTTGGCTTTCATCATAAGATTCAAGATGAAGCTGAGCACATCCTTGATTCTCGTCGCTGCTCTTGCGGGGACCTCAGTGGCAGCGCCTACCAGGTCTTCTGCTCTACAGGCTCGACAGCCGGAGTCTGACTCTCTGACGTTGTTGGCTTCTCATCTTTCGACGGGTCAACTCACTCAGTCCGATCGCGAACTCCTGAACAGGCTTCTGGTGACGGCTTCCCTCAGCAAACGCGATGAAGCGGGCACATTCAGTGATATCGGTGGCACCATCGGCAGCAATCTGGGAACGGGCATCGGCGCCATCATCGATACAATCTTCGGCCTCTTCAATGGCGTGTTGAACAGTGCCGCCAATAGTGCCTCTGGCGGTGCCCAGGGCAATGGCACTGGACTCAATCTTCCTCTGAACGGCACTACTGCCGGCTCCTCAGGAGGCGCAGTGCCCAGTCTGAGCCAGTTGCTGAGCAACCTCGGCATCGACGCCCAGGGAAACATCAATCTGAATGTCATCATCAACAGGCTGGGAATCACTCCCACGAATCTCCCCGACATCTTCAGACAGCTCGGTGCTGACTCGAACGGCGTTGTGCCTTTGAGCTCCCTGCTGCAGAGGCTTGGCCTTGGCAGCAACATTGGAAGCTTGGACTTGAGCAACGTCCTGGGCAATGCCGGAGGATCAGGTGGCAATGGCACTCTCAACTTGAACAGCCTTCTCAGGGGGCTTGGACTCAACAACAACGCCATTTTAAGCCTTCTCAGAAGCCTCGGTGCTGATCAGAACGGCAACATCTCAGCGGCCGGCCTGCTCAGAGGTCTTGGCCTCACAGGCCAAGGAGATGTTAACCTTGGCTCGATCCTCCAGGGCCTCAATGGAGCTGCTAGCAGGGCGGGCGTAGACCTGAGCGGCGTCTTGAATGGCCTCACTGGCATTCTCAACGGCCTCGCCAGTGCTGTCCCCAGTGGCACAACGACAAACACACCTGCTCCTGCGGGCAGCAATGCCGCGACAGCCATTCCGGGCCTGAATAATGTTACCAACAGTGTTGCGGAAGGCATTTACAGGGGATTGTTGGGAGGGCTGGACAACGCAACGATCCAGGACCTCATCGGCATCATCCGGAACGCCAGGGGCAACCCGCAAATTGCTACTATCAACATCGAGCTGTACGCTTCCTTGCACGGCCTCGACCCTAACCTGATCTTCCAGAGCCTGAAGAACGTCATGGCTCTCGGCACCTCAGACGACAGCCTCGGCAGCGTGCTCAAGGATTCAAACGGGCTCTTGGGCGGCCTCATAAACGCTCTCGACGGCTTGAACACCGGCAGAGAGGGTCTTCCTTCGCTCAGCCCGCCGGGTATTCTGGGCGGACTCGTGCCCGGAACACTTACAAACGTCACCAATGGCACTGGCACCGTTACCAACGGCACCGCCACCACCCCCCCGAGACTGACCACACAGGAGCTCCAGCAGCTGCTCGACTTTGTCCGGAACGCCACCAGCCAGGACCTTGTTACGCAAGTCGTCAGCCAATTTGCTGCCTCGCACGGTTTCGATCCCGTCCAGCTTGCTCGTCTTCTGCAGACTCTCTTGGACTCCGGCAACACTGTCAGCGGCAACAACGGTACCTCGAACGGCAATGCCCCTCCCAACGTGGCACCTGTTCTGAACGGAACCCTTGGTAACTTGACCAGCATTCTCGGAGGCCTTGCCAACGGCACCAATGGCGGCATCAACCCGGGCGGCGGTGCTCCTGGTTCTCTGCTCCCGAACCTCGGTGGGCTGAACGGCACTCTCCCGAATTTGACCAGCCTTCTCAACGGAAGCCTTGCAAACCCCGGGGCCCTCGGCGGCCTTGGTGGTCTGGGTGGTCTGGGTGGCCTCGGTGGCCTCGGTGGTCTAGGTAGTGGCCTCGGTGGTCTAGGTAGTGGCCTCGGTGGTCTGGGTGGCCTCGGCGGCTTGACTGGTGGTTTGGGTGGACTTGGACTTTCACCCCTGCTTCGTCTATACCTCCAACGAATCTTGTCACTCCTGGGCGGAGGCGGACTCGGTGGTCTTGGTGGCCTTGGAGGATTGGGAGGCCTTGGGGGGCTGGGAGGCCTGGGCCCTCTCGCCAACTTGACGGGAACCCCCCTAGCTGGGAACAATTCGACGGGGGGTCTTGGTAACTTGACCTCCAATCCTGCTGCCCTCCTTGCTGGACTTTTGGGTGCTCTTCCTGCCGGAAGCCTAGCAAACCTGACTGGAGCCCTTGGCAACCTGACGGGGCCTCTTGGTTCTCTGCCTGCCGGAGGACTAGGCAACTTGACTGGACTTCCCACTGGAGCCCTCGGAAACCTGACTGGGGCCCTTGGAAACCTGACAGGAGGTCTCGGCTCTCTCCCACCTGGAGGTCTGGGCAACTTGACTGGGCTTCCCACCACTGGAGCCCCTGGCAACCTGACGGGACCTATTGGTTCTCTCCCCGGAGGCCTAGGCAATCTGACTGGACTCCCCACTGGAGCCCTGGGCAACCTGACGGGAGGCCCCGGCGGTCTCCCGGCTGGAGGTCTTGGAAACTTGACCGGAGCCCTCGACCCCCTCGTCGGCAACCTGACAGGCGCCGCTGGCAACCTCACCAACACGATCGGCAACCTCACCGGCGGCGGTCTTCCGGCCACTCCAGGAACCGCTGCACCAGGGAACCTGACATCAGCTATTTCTGGTGTTAGCTCCAACCTGGGCTCAGCTGCCTCTGATATTGGTTCAGCGGCCTCCGATCTGACCTCAGCTGCCTCGGGGTTGAACAATATCGCGTCCGGTTTGGGTACTGCAGCGGCCAACCTGGGATCTGCTGCCAACGGTCTCGGATCGAGCGCTCCTGGAGCAGGATCGGCCACTCCCGGCGCAGGTACAGGTGTCCCTGGCCTCGGATCACCACTCGGCGGCCTCGCTGGCTCAGGCCTTGGAACTGGCCTGAATCTGGGATCCATCATCGCCGGCCTAGGCTCGACACTCTCCGGCGTCGGCTCAGGCATTTCCGGACTCGGCGGGGCACTCGGGGGCGCGGGATCCCCCGCTGCCGGCTCAGCCCTACCCGCCGCTGTCCTCGGATCTGCTCTGGCCGGTGCTGCTGCGGCCCCTGCCGCCGCCCTGGGGGCCTTGATCAACTCGACGCTCGGCCTGCTCCCGTCCGTCGCCCTGAACGCGACCCTCTCCGCAGAGCTCGGCGGGCTTCTCAACTCCACAGCCCCCCTCGGATTGGGCCTGGGCGCCAACCTCGGCCTCGGCGGTGGCCTCCTCAACACCACAGCCCCGGCCCTTGGATTGGGCCTGGGGGCCAACCTCGGCCTCGGCGGCGGACTCCTCAACACCACAGCCCCAGCAGCCCTCAAACTGGCCGCAGCAGCTCCTCAATCCAACGGGACAAAACTCGTCTTCCATCCCAGCGAGTCTGAGGAGGAGAGCTCTTCCCGGTCGAACGTCAGACGGTCTCGCGCTGCGCGAGGCAGGGCTGCGATTCGCAAGGGCAACGCTGGAGCGGCTTAAATCACATTTGACGTTACTTTCGTCACTTTCAGTAGCTCATGTCGACTGTCAAAACGGGGAATTTCAATGCTATGAGGAGAAGAAAACCAAAAGGTCCATCGCCGAAAGCCCCCCTTCGCAAGAGATCATGGCCAATGGTTGGAACCATGACAAAGACCAAGTTTCACTTCCGCCCTTCTAAGTCGGCCGAGAAGATGACGGATAATGTTGAAGAGGTTTCATTGGCAACGGCTACTCTTTTTTTTTTCTGTAATATTAATATTTTCGGGTGGTTTGCTATGTACCTTGTGCCGTATGGGATTCACTGAATACGAGATACTGTGATTTGCTTTCCTTCGAAATCCTCGGATTCCCCTCCTCACTATCTAATTTGTAAGTATGACCGTGAATGCAAGTACACGCGCTGCTTCACGCATACAGCATGTATCGATCACCATGGCTCTAGATCAGCTGTTCACGTCGTAATCTGTGGGAGAGCATCTCTTCTCCTTTGCTACCGACTTGTTAGAAGTCCGTCCGTAAGAGCGCCATGGAGCAACCCCATCCCCGAGCCTAACAAGCTGCGTGTTTCTTCATTATCCTAAGCAGTTTGTTCAATATAGAACCAAATCACCTCAGCGTCTCGCAGATACACTTGTTCTTAATAGCAGAACGAACCATTGCAACGCCCGTCAAATCCCCATCCGCCATCTCAATAACGCCGCACCCATTCACTAACGCCCCTTTCAAGAGTCCAACGACCGACTCACAGTAACTCGCAAGACCACCACAACCTACACCTCCTTGCATCCATTGCAAAAAGCGCTGAGGAATACATGTTCTTCGACCCTTCTTCAGAACACAATGGCGTTCACAGAACCAAAGCGCACGTCGCCTCCCGTATTGAACAGCATCTCTGTGCATCTGTTTGCAAATCAAACCGACTTTATAAGACGCACGGGCATGCCGGCCAAAGGCACCAGCCTTACCATCAAGTCTATTTGCACCCTCACCCAAGTTCATCTATGAATGAAATCAGACTGGTGCTGCCGATAGAAAGGATGTGCGAACAAATCATCAAATACGACTGCGGCCACATGTGTCGTCGCATGATCCCCAGCATCCAACGAGAGCCCAAGCACCACCATTCACTCACTTGCTTCTCTGCCCTCTCCCTCCATTCCTACGGACCAGAGCGCCATGAGACACCAAAGTTCGAGCGGCGCGCTACTCTCTGCCCAAAGTGCGAAGCAAAGGGTGAAGACGGCGAAGTATATGTCAACGGTACCAGGCGGGCAAGCGCTCCCCAGGTCGGGACAAGGCAGGAATCCAAGTTGGTGCGGCAGGGCGAGAAGACCACGGCCACCAAGGTGAGTGCCGGCATCGGCCGTTCAGTATCAAATCCTGTGAGACCTCCTCTTCCCCGTCTGAGGCGAGTTCGAGATACGGGCAACAGCTCACTGCGCAACGAGTATCATCGTCTCGAGCCACTTCTTGACCCACGTCCTGCGCCACGCCCCGAACCACGAACTGCATCACGTCCTGAATCTCACCCTGGGCCACATCCTGCATCTCGTCTCGAAACACTCCGAAATCCTGGTTTTGAGGCTCGCCGCGGTCGAAAACACCGCCCAGAGGACATAGTCACCCAAGATGTCGACTTGGACTGGTTTGCGGCCTCCATGGTTCCGCTATGTGAGAGGTCTCCAACAAGCCCTACCAGCTTCACAGGTCTGCTGGAGTACAATCAGCGCAACCACAATATGTCGACCCTATCGCTTGGTAGGCTCAGCCGATCAACTTCGGTACTGAAGATGCTCCAAAAGGGTCTCCAAAGACAGCCCTCGATGGAATCATTTGTCTGCGCATCAGCAAAAGAGGTGGAAAGAGGCGAAGAATGAGAATTGAGTTTTGATGATTTTTTTTTTGTTCAGAGCCTATGGCTGGTAAATGTTACAAAAGTTGTTAATCAAACAAAATGGCATACCGTACTTTTTTCGTATTGCCCGCCACATCCTTGATACATTGTGTGATATGAGTCCAGATGCAGTGCACTTCTCCATTGTAGATAGGTAGCTTTCGAGGCACCGTTGCTGCTTGCAATCGCTGTAGAAATGAAAAACTTTTTTGGCGGCTTTAGCCCATCTGGCACTGCAGATGATTGAGAGCGCTTGCTTGCAGTATCAAGATTCTCCGCTAAAATCAGTTAATGAGATGGGTGGCTTGTAGATTGGAGGTCGACGTGGTGTGAGATTTAGTCGTTTCGGTCATGTTTTTGATCTTATCCGGTCCCGGGTACAGCGCCAAGTCCGTTGGTTGAATGGTAAACTGTGAGTTGTTGTGGTGGTTTGAGAGAAAACATTTTCAAGCCTCGAGCATTGACCAAGGAATGGGAGCTGCCACTCAAAGCCAGAGCCTTTGGCTTTAGGCCATGCTGGATCAGTTGGCCTTGCCGTTCTTCGACGCCTTCTGAAACTTGGCAATTTCCTTCGAAACGGCCTTCTCAACACGGGCATGGAGCTCACGTCGGTATCCAAGCTTAAAGAGCATCTCGAGCCAGACAAACATGGGGGCCAGGAAGATGGCCTGGATGAGGTTGTCCACCAAGGCGGGGGCGCGGCCCTCGAAAACACCGTGACCAATAAACTGTATGATCCAACAAACGATGTGAACTCCAAGGGCAACCTGGAAGGTCGTGGTGGGATCACTGAGGTGCCATGAGTTGACAACAGCGGTGCTGCCGAGACAGAAGGCGGCCAACACGAAGCCCGCCACCGGCTCTAATAGCAGGTAAAGTGCTGCATACAGGATGGCGGCGATGGTGCCCAGGTTGAGGTCCAGGTACGGGACGGTGAGCCAGCTAGGCAAGTGAATGAGTGTGCCCGTATACGTGGCCTATTGCAGAGAGTAAGTAGAAAAGGAGGATGTCAGAAATACCAGCTAGCTGAACACTGTTGAGTTGACAAGGGCCCTGAACGTACCAGAGTGAAACCTGATACAAGGAGGAGCGGCACGCAGATCATGTGAATGGCCACATTGACCGGATTATGGTGATAGGCGCCATACTGAGAAGGGGGTTCTACAGTCAGCTAGAAAGGACACAACAGGCGCAGGAGAGGCGAGATGTGCTCACAAACGTCAAGTGCCTTTCCAGATCCAGAGACATCTTCACGCGGGAGAAAGGAGGCGAGAGGACCAGGCCGGGAAGCGCTCAACAAAATGCGGATAGCCAAGTCCTGCCGCCAGTCCAGTCGGAAGAATTGGCGCGACCAGCCGGCACGTGAGTGAAGAAAAAGCAATCGGACACGGTGGCACGGCAGAGAGGCGCGGGAGAGGCGACGCGAATAGGCGCAGGGCAGTGCTATCGAGGTTGAAGCGTCGAGGAGAGCCGGTCCGGCATGGGAGAAGGAAGGGAAGAAAAGCTGGAAGCGACAGGAGATGCGATGCAAGAGGTCAGGAGGATGGTGGAAACGTCGCGGCGCCGGAAGCGCTGAAAGCTGTGCTGTGCGGGCCACTGAAGGCCGCTGTGGAGGAATGCGCTGATGGTCCCCCGAAGCGGTGGGGATTTGGCGATTGAGCAGCTGGAGCCTCGGGTCAATCCTCTCCACTGCCGCCGCGCGCCTGGGGCCCTGGAGGTCAGCAGCGTGCAGACACGGTGAGAGGGACGGGATTCAGAGCACGGTGTTATTAGGGGATTGATGCATATCAACTGTATGTACAATGACACGATGCGACGCTCGAAAAGGGGTGTCTCTTGACCGTAACTCAACCGTCTCGTGTTCAGCGTCTGCTGGTGTTGCGGCTCTTGGGTTGCCATGGAACACCGTGGACGTTACTCGAATCAGGCGTGAAGCCATGAAGCAGGCCTATAGTTTGAACGAGTCTCCATACCAAGTGGGCGGCGTCATGGTCAAGTCATTCATGTTTACTTGTACTTTGCTCTGCTTCCACGGTAACGATGCTGCGCAGTAATTGATTGAATCGGATTCTACGGAGTATCATTGTCGATTCCGCTCATCTCAATCTCATGGACCTTACATAACGGGCTGCATATGTACATACAGCTTGTGCTACCCTACCTTCAGATCACCTCCGACAATATCACGGCATTCACCAGGCCTTTCCTTCCTCTTCATCCGTCCAATCAAACATGTGATGGACCCCTACTTTGACTTGTTATGCGGAGTAAATAGGCTCTGCGTCCTCCCCCAATCCCGACTGCAGCGCAATCGCACAAATGACCTCAGGCTGCTGTTTTCCGCTGCTCTGTCCAATGCTGCCGATGAGTGTCAAGGCTGCGCCAATGCACTGCAACTGCAGCCTTACCTAATCAGCTCAGCCGCATGAGGAACCGCCGCACAGACCACCTGCGAAAGCCTTAGCGCCGGCTCTGGAGAAATTCCCAGCCAGAGCATCGCAGCCTCGTCGCGTTCCATCTTCTTCCACCTCAGCGCCAGCTCCTTCAGTCCAGCCGAGGCAGCAACGCACACCCGAAAGCGCAGAGATTCAGCCCTGTGCGTGTTGCGTCTGCTTCGACGGCCCTCACCTCTGATCGTCCCGTTATCGGCCTCACGCCTCGTCGCCGGCCTCGCTCCGCCCTCTCTCTCTCCGCCGACTTCGATTGCCTCTCCTTTGTCTTGACCGATTGACCACCTGATATCCCCTGCCGCGCGCGTGCGCTCACGCGAGTTCGAGATACGCCTTCATATGGGAACTTGAAGCTATATCCTGAGAGGCTCACCTGTCGCTTTCCGCCCCAAGCCCTCGATCGCCTGTTCCCGCCGTTTCCCTGGAGCCGTTGTTGCCACGAAACCTTCTCTCTCGCTGCCCATCATGTTCTTCCTCTACAACATGGAGCGCAGGGTCACCCTGCATCCGTCCTACTTTGGCCGCAACATGCACGAGCTCGTGACCAGCAAGCTGCTGAAAGACGTCGAAGGCACCTGCGCCGGCAGCTACTACATCATCTCCATCATGGACACGTTTGACATTTCCGAGGGCCGCATCTTGCCAGGCAATGGACTTGCAGAGTTCACCGTTGGCTACCGTGCCGTCGTGTGGCGGCCATTCAAAGGAGAGACGGTAAGGCGAATTCTGCGCCCGTTGTGGGAAGCAGTTGTCTGACCCTGATCAGGTTGATGCCGTTGTCTACTCCATCAATCCGCAGGGTTTCTTCGCCCAGGCTGGTCCGCTCAGGCTCTTCGTGTCTGCCCATGTGCGTTCCTCTCCACCCACGATCCGAGATGGCTACTTGGAGCTTTGCTGATCTGCAGGACTGCAGCTGATACCCAGCGATATCAAATGGGATCCCAACGCGACGCCCCCTCAATTCACCAACAATGAAGACACCGTCATCGAGCCGGGCACGCATGTGCGTGTCAAGATCATCGGCACGCGAACAGAAGTCGGCGAAATGTGGGCCATTGGAAGCATCAAGGAGGACTACCTAGGGTATGGCGCATGATGGGACTGTTCACGACGAATGGTCTGCTAACGCTGATGAACAGATGCCTCCAAGACTAATGGATTATAAACATCCATTCATCCCCCAAGCCTTACAGCGATCAAGCGCAGGATTGAGTGCGCCTACGCTCATATGTGGCCAGAGCAACAATAGCCGCCGACATTGCAGTCTCATCACCAGCTCCCCGGTGCGCCTTGATTTCGCACGAGTTCAGCCAAAGGAGATTGGGTAACACCCCCTTTGGAGCTTCGAATAAAAGCAGAAAAAGATCTCAAACAGACAAAGATCACAACCAGCTATGCGTGCTTGAGGACTTTTGACTTTTTCAAGGTTCTCTCTTTTTTTTTCGATAGAATAACCGGACAGGCAGTCTGTTTTTCCCACCGAGTATTAGATTCTGAGATTGGACTCGATCATAATCAACGGATGGCTTCTTTTGTTGGCGTATGGGAATGGGAAAATAAATGAACGAAAACCCGGAACCAGAGTCGTTTCTACATGTACCGAAAGACCGATCCAATCTGATAGACCAATGGATATCACCTGATTTTTGCTCGCTCTCTGGCCATACTCGTACGCGCTGACGAGACTCCGTCTCTCTCGAGTCTGACACCCATTGCCAGTCAGACAATTACGAATACTTAGGCTAGAAGTTGCAAGCCGGAGATTTCAGCAGATAATCACCAACCATAATCACCAACCATAAGCAGCCAATCGATCAGTCCTTGATACCTCGGGATTACCAGTGACAGCTGTCGGTAGATGGAAGCCCCGTGTCTCTCGTTATTCCCCCACATGCATGCATCTTGGCCCCTCCGCCGCTCTCCCCGCACTGTCCTTGCCTAGGTAGTACTACAACATCCGCAACGGAAACCCATGACCCTCTCGGTGTAAGTCTCACTCGACCCGAATATCCCACAAAGGGTGCCATTTCACACATCCAGGCAAATCAACTCTGAGCAGCCCTTACACGGAGAAAACGAATTTCCCCGGTCCCCTCTGACGTACCGGCCCCTCTCACCCACTCTCACCCCGATCCCTGTTACACCTACTGAACCCCCTCTCTCTGTTTTCAAGCACGTACTACTCAATCAGGCATGACATACAGCTTCTTAAGAGCCGCCGCAGCCCCTCGCCTGATACTCCGGAACCGGCCAGCCTTTCAGTTCAGCAACCCCTTCAAAATGTCCTACATCGCAGCGGGAGCGACGTCCGGCGGCGCGCAGGCGACAGTCCGCGACGGCAACAAGCTCAAGGCGCTGTTCGACGCGAACAAGCCTGCTCTGGGCGGGTGGCAGATGATTCCCGGGGCGACCATTTCGAGGCTCTTGGCTCAGTCGGGCGTGGATTGGGTGGTGGTGGATTGCGAGCATGGAAGCATGGATGGTGCGTTTTTTCTTTTCGTTGACTTTGAGGTGGTGATGATGATGATGGTGATGCGAGTTCTTGAGATGGGAGATTGGTGAGCTGACGCGGTGTACATTGGATGCTTGGGGGTTGGGCAGATCGGGCGATGCATGAGGCGGTTCCTGCTATTGCGGCCTTGGGAGTGTCTCCTGTTGTCAGGATTCCGGGCATGGAGCCTTGGATGGTGAAGAGTGAGTTCTCATGTATATCCCCATCAATGTGTGAGACCCTTGTAAAAAGCTGATGTATGGGATTTTAGGAGCTTTGGACACGGGAGCACACGGCGTACGTGCTTTAGCCAGTTCATCATCGTCTTTTGCAAACCGAAATCTGAAAGCTACTTTGACTCGCTGTAGATGCTAACAACGATACTCAGGTCCTTGTTCCCCTGCTGCGTACCGTCCAAGAGGCCAAGGACCTCGTCCAGGCCTCCAAGTTCCCCCCTTGGGGAAAGCGAGGCTTTGGATCGCCCTACTCTGCTAAACAGTTCGGACGCACCATCAGCTCTTCCGACTACCTGGAGCAAGCCAACGAGTCCGTCCTGACCATGGTCCAGATCGAGACCAAGGAGGCTCTCGAGGCGGTCGATGAGATTGCTGCGGTTGAAGGCATCGACGTGCTCTTCGTTGGGCCTTTTGATCTAGGTGAGTCAACCAACTCTCCATTTCAACATGGCAAGATACATATTGTTGACTTGGGTAATCTACAGGCAACAACATCGGCCACCGCATCACCATGGAAGGCATCCCCACACAACTCGAAGAAGCCCTCGTCAAGATCCAAGCCGCCGCCAAAAAGGCCGGCAAGAAGAGCGGAATCTACACCCTCGACCCCTCGCACGCCAAGCTGTGCCAGCAGCAAGGCTTCGACATGGTGCATGTCGTCACGGACTACATGGGCATCGAGGAGATTGCGAAGCAGTCTCTCGCCGTGGCTAGGAGTTAGATAGAAAGGAAGCAATGCTGTTTTATTATCGGCTCATGTCTTATGAAAGGGTGGTAAATTAGAACGATAAAGAAAGAGATGGACACAGAGAGAACTATAAGCCTTCCACTTGATCCATCTTGGCTTCGACTTGGTCTTCCGTGAAACGGTGCATTAGTTTGACGGCTTGGCTGACCTTGTTGATGTCTTCTTCGCCGGCCTCTGCTTTGCTGATGTGGACCTGTAACACAACCGGTCAACTTTGTTCTTTATCTTATCTTAAGTTCTAGCAGTACACTTACAACAGGGATATCGAAATCGTACAAATTCCTCCACTGCTTAGACTCCTCCTTTGCCAAGTTCACCTCCGTGTAGAGAAACGGCCGCTTGTCCCAAACGTTGGAAAGCACGCCCTTGGCCTGCGTACAGAGACCGCAGTCGTCTCTGGAGAATAAAGTGATCCTGCAGGCTTGCAGGAGACGTCTAGTTGCGAACATTCTCAGCTACTTGTATACAAAGTGAGAGATACCTAGTCGTCACATTGATATAATATTGAGCGATGAGTTCTCAACGCTCGAATCCTGAAAATTGAGTGGAAGAGCCAGTTATTACAGAGGCGTGTCAAGGTGGGCTGATATGATGACTAAGCTGGGGGTAAGCCAAGCTCGATGCTTCGTGTAAGTTGGCGAGGTGAGCAGGGCTTTCTGCCTCTGTGACATGGCCGATATACATCGACATCTGTTTTGCGTATAGCATCAATTCAAACGAGGAGACCTGGGCTAGAGATTCAGGAGTACTTATGATCAGGTTATGCTGGTGAACCAACCTACTTGTAGCTTCAGTAGCTGTCATTGAGTCCCCTGTGGGATCAGACGCCCCAGCTATTATATGCAGCATGTTTGCGCCAGCAATCCCCTTTATTCTATAACTACAAGCTTTTCTTAAGTGTCTTCGAAATTGTGAATGCTTAGCATAGGTAAGGTATGGTAGGTAAAGGTAGGTTCAGTCGAGCTTCCTCAATCCAGTTTACGAGTCAATGCCCGCCCAAATCGCGATTCCCCGATCCAGCCAGCTCCAGCATCCCCGAACCCCGCATCGAAATAGGAAAGCGGTGAGGCCACACAGCTCCGTCATCCTCACAGTTCTAGAAGATCCCATCGGTCTAATACCCACACTCAACTCACCCATGGGCTTTCAACTGTTTTGCCCTTTTTTCACCCATCTCCCCTTTCTCATGTTGCACGATAGTATTATACGCTCCTTATAGTACCAGCCCGTTCAACTCTCCCAGCTACTGCTCTCATTCACAATGGCGCAAAAGTGTGTCCGCCAGGGCTGCGGCAAAGAGTTCACTGACCCGAACGAGAAGTGCCAATATCACCCTGGTCCACCCATCTTTCACGAGGGGCAGAAAGGTACGATATGTGCTTTCAAGCTCCCCTTCTGTGCCGTTTCGTGATACCTACAACAAACAGGGCCCCCCTCTTTTACTTCAATTCTCTACCCTTAAATGTAATAGCTGAATTGACCATGTCCTAGGATGGAAGTGCTGCAAGCCGCGAGTCCTAACCTTTGACGAATTCATGGAAATCCCCCCCTGCACAACCGGCACACATTCCACCACCGAGAAGCCCCCGCCCGTCGAGGAGAAGCCGCAGCAGTTCGACGAGGCCGCCCTCGCGCAGAAGATCTCAGAAGCCAGCGTGTCCGCCGCCGCCCCGACGCGGAAGCCGATCCAGCCCGCGCAGCACGTGCCCACGCCCCCCCCTCCGCCGCCCGACTCCGAGGACGACGACCCGAGCTTGGAGATTCCGGACGGGGCCGAGTGCCGCCGCAAGGCGTGCAGCGCAAAGTACAAGAAGGGAGCCGCGAGGGAGGGCGAGAAGTGCGTGCACCACCCCGGCGTGCCCATCTTCCACGAGGGCAGCAAGGGGTATTCGTGCTGCAAGAGGAGGGTGCTGGAGTTTGACCAGTTTATGAAGATTGAAGGGTGCAAGACAAAGGACAAGCACCTGTTTGTCGGCAGTGGGAAGAAGGACAAGGCTGAATCAGGCGGCGAAGAGATACTCGACACAGTCCGGTAAGTTTTAACTCTGCCAGCCTATGGTTGAATAATGAGAGCAACACCCGCCTGACCTTGGTGTTCCAGACACGACTTCTACCAGACCCCCACACAGGTCATCGCATCGCTCTTCCTGAAGAAGATCAACAAGGAGACGTCAAAGGTCGACATCAAGGAAAAGGAAATCGACCTCGACCTCACGACCAGCGACCCGACACCGAAGCGATACACGGCGACCTTTCCGCTGTACGGGACGGTCAACCCAGAAACCTCGTCGTTCAAGGTCCTCGGCACGAAGCTGGAGCTGGTTCTCGTCAAGGCGGACGGGGCTTCTTGGCCGGTGCTGCGAAGCGACGAGCAGCTGACGGGCGAAATTCTGCAGATTGGTCGGGCGGGTAAAGTGTAGCTAAGGGAGGGTGGTTAGGGGTCTATAGCAAAATATACATGTGAAAGAGATGATATCATAGGAGCCGCAGTGGTTAACGCTGAGATGGCTGCGTTTCTAGGTACTCAACTTTGGGTGTAAAGACTCAGATTGGCTGCTGGTTCAAGCTTATTACTAGCAGGTTCAGTCCCAACGGCAGCACATCCTTCAGCCAACCACCAAACCAACAATCCGAATAAATCCGCCAACTACAGCATGAGCTCATATGCAATGACACCAGTAGCATCAGCTTGGAAAAGGGCTGATTGATAGTCGGTGCTCTCGGGCCATTGATAAGCAACCCTGTCCGCGAATGTCACCAAATTCAGGTACGTAAACACGGCCTTGCCCCCCCGCAGCCTCTCACTGGCTCCCCACCAGTCTTGGCGCTTGTGCGATAAAGCAGAATCGCGAATGTTATCTCTCTCTCTCTCTCTATGTATTCCTCCCATGTCAGGTAAAGTATGACGAAATGGAGGGCCGCAGCTGAAAAGCAGCAAGAGTCAGAGAGAGAGAGAGAGGGCTGCTGATAACGGGGTCTCTGCCACATGCTCTTCCATGTGTCCTTTGCCTCGTTTATCCCGCTAGTGCCACCCGTTCCAACAATGCCAATCGACTGACTTTCCGCCCGTGAGCAGCCATGTGGCGCATTCGTTTTGGGCAACCCGTTTCTCTCCTCGGCTTATCGCTCAGACGGTGATGCTATAAAGATTGACGCGGCGCCACTTTGGGTCCCTCGAGATGTAGATTGTGAAAGACAACTTCGACGTCCAGCTCTATCTTCTAGCTTACCTTGTCTTCATACAGTGGGTTGAAGCTGTACAGCTTTCAGAAACAGTCGGATCGCGCTTCCAGAATCCCCGTCGACTCATATTCTCTCATACGAGGAACGGCGAGAGACACGTGCAACGCCTCCCTCATGGCTACTGAAGTATCCCACGGTCGCGGCGGCGCGGGCAACATCGATGTGGACGACACCAAGTACGTCGACGGCGAGGTGGTGCGAACCGGAGTCGTGGGCAGCCATGGTGATGGCGCCTTCAGCGCCGGCCGAGGCGGTGCGTTTACTCTGAGATGCGAATCTTGCGATTTCCTTCCCACTCGTCCCCCATCATCTTCATGAGGGGAGTTTCGGCTAAGATAATGGTTGCTTGTAACAGGCCTCGGCAACATTGCGGACGTAGGAACTGCGCCGAAGCATCGAAACGACACCGACGTCGTGCCCGAAGCTGCTGTTCGCTCGAGCCAGGATGTGCAAGGATACCACACGGGCCGGGGCGGCGTAGGCAACGAGCATCGTGTTAACGAGCCGGCTCATGCGAAGCCTCGCCCTGTGGCGCCGATTGGTCTGGCGGACAAGCTCAAGTCGAAGCTGTTTGGCGCATTCAAGCACTGAGCGACTGAAACGGAAATTGAAGTCGTCGCGGCCAGAGGAAAGAGAAAAGATCTCCCGGCAGGGGTGTTGCAATGTTTGGTTATGAATTCGACGGTGGCCCTTGTTGGAGAACACATGATATCCCGTAGTTGAGTTTCGATTTCGTCGCACTTGTATATCGCTCTCACGATGCTGTCACTCGGATATGATGACATCCAAGATAATAAAGCGGAATAAAACCCCTTGAGTCAAGTTGCGCCACACCCACTCCTCTAGACGGACGTGCAAGGTGTAGATCCAGCAAGGTGTGAACGGATCGATGCTGTAAAAAGAATCGTACATATCTGGAAGACTTGTCGAAGAAACAGTGTAACATAGCGTCCTGGTCCTTTGGCGCAACCATCCACTGCGTGTCTTTCAATGTTACTTCTTTGGTCCAATTCGAACCGTTTGTACTGGACTGTACTGGTAAGTCATCGCAATCACAGAATGAGATCCTGGCAGCACCCAAAGCTCTCATCACGCCACCACCAAGAAAAGACGGGCGGGATCGTCGCCCGTCCATCTTGCCCATGTCGACGTTGCTTTCACACCGTCTCCCCCACTTGGGCCGCCGTCAAACGCAGCAGCTTGATCTCATGCGCGCCAATCTCGGGAATAATCGCAACCAGAAACGAGGCGGACTTGTTCGACTTCTTGATTCAACGCCTCTTGCAGAGAACATGTTTGACCTCAGCTGACCTGCGAAGTCGCAAAAAAAAGGCGCGTTAACCCAGCCAGCTGGAGAGCAGCAGAACGGCGTAGCATCAGCTAAAATGGGTCACTGACGCAGAGAGCTCTCCACCCGATCAATGCTAAATCGCCTTCAGGTTAGTTTCTCGAAAAGAAGAAGGGCTAAACCAGGTCCATATTTAGAAGTGTAGATAGGCTCAAGCAGGACGGTCGGCAAACGAGAGGCGTTCTTCAACCGTTAGGGCGGCCCCGGAGCGAATAAGCGAAGGGCAGCATATGCAAGAGAAAGAGGGGGGATGTGATCGAGCTGCTTCATCGTGCAGCAGGCACATAAAGGGTTGCATCTCGCCCGTCGGGAGCACGAGGATGTGCCTGAGATCCTTCGGTTGGGCCTGCTACTGTTGAGATATGAGCTTGTCTGAAGGCATATCATCTCGTATTAGTCGAACCACGGTGTGTTTCTATTGAGCCTGATCGCCCACCCTCTGGCCGGCACCGCCCTGTTCGTCAGCAAAAGGCAGCAGCCAGTCGAGAAACAGCTGATGCTGCTCCGACCCTCGAACAAGCAAACACCAAGCGAATCTCACCGATCTTGACGCACGGATGCGAGCTCCAGCCTCTGGCCGGTTCATGATCGTTTTATTTCGTGTCCACAGCGAATTGCGGCAACGGCGCGGGGTGCATTAGCAGGCACAGGCACAGACCGCTTCCGGCTGGACTGGAGCCAATCACGTGGGTCAGCCTGTCACTGTGCTGTCACTGCCTGGCCGCGGTCAGACCACGACCATGACGCCACATCGCCCGGAGCTCCAAGGACGGCGCTTCTGGTCAGGGCTTTCCATCCTGTCCAAGCGATCCTACGCGACCTCGTCCTTCGAGGCCGACGACGAGCACTCCTCCGGCGACGACGAGATGAGCCTGCGCGACAGCTTCGACAGCGACGTGCGGCCGGGCGTGCCGGCGTACGCGGGCCACGATGCCCGACCGACCAGCAAGAAGGAGATCTGGGGGTGGTACAGTTACGGCTTCGCGGCCGAGACGTATGTCATTTGCGGCATTGGTGAGTCTTTGCTTTCGTGTTACGGTGCTGGTTTGTTTGATGAGTCTTGCTGTGTAATGACCGAGGATCAATTGGTTATGCCTTCATCATATGTTGGGGCTGTCAGGTCGTGACCCTTTTGAAAGTGAAAAGTCGTCGGCTAATATCATCCACAACAGCCTCCTTCATCCCAATCCTCCTAGAGACACTTGCTCGGGAGAATGGCGTTCTCCTGTCCGACCCGGACAAGCCGTGCGGCTCCAGCGACAGCAAATCTGAGGATGACGGCCAGTGTGTCGTCTATGTATTGGGCATCCAGATCAACACGGCGAGCTTTGCCATGTATACCTTTTCCGCCAGCGTCTTGCTGCAGGCACTGTTGGTCGTCAGCATCAGCTGCGCTGCCGACCATGGCAATTATCGAAAGCGGCTGCTTCTCGGCTTTGCCTGGCTGGGTGGCATCTCCGTCATGGCCTTCATCTTCATCAGCAAGGCCACGTATCTGCTCGGCGCCGTGTTGACAATCATCTCCAATACGTCCTTTGGCGCATCGTTTGTCCTGCTCAACTCCTTTCTCCCGCTTCTGGTTCGAAACCATCCGAACGTGATGGAAGCATACGTATCGGAAGGGCCTGACTCGGCGGATGGGCCCTTTGATTCCCGATATATAGATTCAACTGATGACCTGGAAGAGGCCATGGTCAATTCCACTTCGGGCCTGCTGCCTCCTGACGATCGGCATCAAAGGTATGGGCTGAAGCGAGTCGCAACCCATGAGGAGATTACTTCCAAGGAGCTTCAGCTCTCCACCCATATATCCTCTTTGGGCATCGGTATCGGCTACAGTGCTGCCTTGTTTGTGCAGTGCGCCTCCATCGCTATCCTTATTGCCATGAAGAACACGACCTGGTCCCAGAGGGTTGTGCTGTTCATTATCGGAGCCTGGTGGTCTGTATTCACCATCCCCGCTGCGCTGTGGCTGAGGCCAAGGCCGGGGCCTGCTCTGGTGATTAACGGGCGAAAAGACGGCGCTTCTTGGTGGGTATACCTGAAGTATGCATGGAAGTCTCTGTTTCGCACGATCCAGCTGGCAAGGCGTCTGTTGGACATTACCCTCTTTCTCGGTGGCTGGTTCCTCCTTTCGGATGCTATTGCCACAACGTCTTCTACTGCCGTCCTGTTCGCCAAGACCTCGCTCCACATGAAGCCATGGGCCTTGGGCATGATCAATGTCATCGCTACCATGGCTGGAATCTTTGGTGCCTTTGGCTGGGCCTGGATATCTCGGGCATTCAACCTGAAACCTCATCAGACAATCCTCGTCTGCATTGGGCTGTTTGAGCTCATCCCTATTTACGGCCTCCTGGGTTACCTGCCGTTTATCAAGCGATGGGGTGTTGTCGGACTGCAGCAGCCTTGGGAGATGTATCCCTTGGCCGCCGTGTATGGCCTCGTCATGGGCGGTCTGAGCAGCTACTGCCGCTCGCTTTTTGGCGAACTGATCCCGCCGGGATCTGAAGCCGCCTTTTACGCTCTGTATGCCATTACCGACAAAGGATCCAGCGTCTTCGGCCCTGCGATAGTGGGAGCCATCATCGATAAGACTGGAAGTATCAGACCTGCGTTTTGGTTCCTCGGCGCACTCGTTGGCCTCCCCGCTCCTCTCATCTACTTCATCAACGTTGAGCGTGGCAAGAGAGAGGGTGAGAAGCTCGCTGAAACCATTGAGGGATTCGACCCCGAGGATCATGCGGAGGATGAGCAAGTCGACGCAGAAGCGACTCGCGGGATACTAGCAGACTATGAGGCCACGGAGGGCAACGGCGACGCCTCCCATCGGCGGTGAGACTTTGATTTGATTTTTGGTTAGCAGCTGCACTTGGCTGCAGGGGCCAATACGCTTGTCTTTCTTGTTGCTGTTCCCGAATGGTTAGGGAAGTGTCAACAACCTGCTATGCATAGCGTAGGCGTTTTGTTTGGTCAGTGAGCTCTGGGTGTTGCCTTGGATTTTGAGACTTTGACTGGAAGCTTCTCGGCCAGTGTTTCGTTTGGAGCTTAGGGAGTGTTTTGATCAGGGCTATGCAGTAATAATATGATGATTTCCATTACCTATTCTCTATTCGCTGAGGAGCATTATTCACTTGTTGGCGCATGATGTGACGCCCCTATACAAACTGCCTTGACTGATCCAGCATCTGCGTCAACATAGCAGATCTGTCCTTAGTTCAAGCAAGCGACGCTCTATCTAGCAGCATGCCTTGGAGCAGGCATGTTCTCCCAAATGCCCTCGTAGTGACATTCTGGTCCGGGGATACCTTGCACTTGACAGGATCCAACCGCAGCACTATTCTGTTCAATGGACTGCGAATAGGATCTAGGCCACGCGGCTAATCAAGCCCCCCCCCCACCCCCCAGGCCGCTAAAAGGAACTTGATTGCAGTGAGGCTAGTGACTCGATTACAGTGGGGTTTCACGTTGGTTGTTCCCTCTTGCGCGTTCAGTCCGTCTCCCAGGCTATTTTTCGCTGCTTTTTCGCGTTGTACGGATTGATAGTGCCAGTGCGAGGTACCGTGTCACTGTAAGCGCCCGGGCAGGTACACCAGGCCGTTTCTTTTCTCTGTCGTTCTTAAGACGGCCTTTCTTATCTTCCTCCTCTCTGTGAGGTTGTTATTCTGTCCAGTAAAACACGTTGGATAGAAATCACGAGGGGCCAAGAGAGAAGAGAGCCATCGCCGGGCAGTCTCTTGAGCATCCTCCTCTTCTTTCATTGTTCTCTCTTCTCGCTTCTTTTCAGCCACAGCCTCCGCCGTGCAGGGACCGACTGCTGGCCTCTCGCCAATTTACGCTGCTGTCGAAACAAACAAACCCACTTCTGTTCGGTAAGCCGGAAATCAGAGAGCCCAGAAAAATCCGAGCCAAAGTCGCAGAAGAGAGAAAAAAAAAAAAGAAGAACGATCCATTGATTCAATTTCTGGCTTCTTGCACGACTCCCTGTCTATCCTCAATCTTGCTCCCTCATCAACTCGAAACCCCCCTTGTTCGCCCCCGGATTGCGGTGGCTTGACGCCCGCTCAGCTCCAGCCTGCGCCTCTTTTTTTCGCCAAAGGCACCGAGAGCCTTGTGCTGTCATCGACGAGTCGGTGCATAAGGAATCCCACCTTATCTCGTTGCTCCCCCGATCTCCCAGGGCCCGTGCCGCCGTTGCAGAACTGCCTGTGTGACCTATTTTATCGGCGGCGCTTGTGTTTACATACAGATCCGACCGAAGCCGAACGCACAATCAACAGCCGCGCCCCTCCCACAAGCTGCTTCGTGCGGTGCCGTCTTCTCGCCCTCTGTCAAGCGAGGCAGCAAGCTCGGTCGACAAAAGAGTCGCTGCGCCCTGAAGACGACCGCCGGCCGCCGGGAATCCCACGACTGTCGCGACGCTCCCCGCTTGCGCGACACCGCAGGCGCGCTGCCCACGGCCTGCGATGAGTTCCAAGCCCAAGAAGCGCTCTCGCCCTGCCGCGGATGGCGCCGCCAGTAATAACAATACCGACGGTGCCGTCGCGGACGAGAATCGTGCCGACTGTCCCTTCACTGTTACCGTCGTCTCAGAGCCGGAGCGCAGCGAGAGGGACGCACCCAAGTCGAAGAAGCGGAAGCACGACAAGTCCGAGGAGGATACAAACAAGAAGGTCCAGACGCAGAACGCAGTCTTCCATCCCGAGGGCAAGTTTAGGACAAGCCAATCGCTCAAGCTCTACTACGCCGTGGAACCCCGCAAGCAATGGCTCGACATGACACGGTACAACAGCTTCGTCCGTAAGTTCCATCCTTTCCGCATTCACTGTATTCTTCCTTCCTTAGGCCGATGGATTCATCTCTGACTGAACATGAATCTCTGCAGTCAACGGCGTCAAATATTATACCGAAGACTTTGTCTATGTGGCGAACGAGGCAACCATGGAACGACAAAACTCCCTCCCCGCCGGCGCTACCAAGGTTGCCAAGAAGGCCGATTACTGGGTGGCTCGGATATTGGAGGTTCGGGCCTCGGACGAGCATCACGTATACGCCCGCGTCTACTGGATGTACTGGCCCGAGGAGCTGCCGCTGGGTACTCTGGATGGCAAGAAACAAATCGCCGGTCGTCAGCCATACCATGGGCAGCACGAGCTGATCGCCTCCAACCACAGTGAGCATTCCGAGACGCCCTCGAGTGCATTCTTGTTTCGCTAACGGTTGAGCAGTGGACATCATCAATGTTGTCAGTGTGGTCATGGGGGTTAATGTCAAACAGTGGATAGAATCAAACGACGATGATATCCAAGAGTCTCTGTATTGGAGACAGGCGTTCAACTGTAGAACGTCGGAGCTATCGGTAAGTACCTACTGTGATGACCGTCCGGTCCGTTCCGTTATCAAAGTTGGTTGATATTGACATGTTCAAACAGTCAGTTGCCCTTGTCTGCAAGTGCAAGACTCCCGCCAATCCCGACAAAACGCTCGTTGGCTGCTCGAACAAGGAGTGCGAGGAATGGATGCACTACGAATGCCTGCTCGACGATGTCCTCTCACGAGTGTACGATCGACTGGGGACCGATATCCCCCATAAGTCGGGAGAACCAGTCATTAAGGAAGAGACGAAAGAGGACACCAAGGAGGAGCCAAAGGAGGCAGCCAAGGGAGACCTGCCGTACCGCCTGCTGAGCCCGTCGGTCGAGGGAGAAGACAGAAAGTCTCCCATTGTCGCCAGTACCGAGATAAAAGACCAGGTGCTTGTGAAGCATCGAGATGACGAGTCGTCCAAAGACACAGAAACGCCAACACCGGCACCGCCCAACGGCTCGGACAAGTCTTCAAAAACAGCCCCGGCTAAGAAAGGCAAGCGGAAGAAGTCGTCTAAGAAGCCTTGGGAGGGCCTCTTCGAAGCCACTCTGAAGATGAACGAAGGCCCGACCGTCTGGCAAATAACGGATCTAAGGGACCTCGAGGGGGGAGACAAACAGTGGACAGAACAGGCATATTGCCTGCTCTGCGACACTGTGATTGAGTGATTGGCGAGGCGGCGGCCTATGCACAACCATGCTCTTCTCTGGTGCTGTTATGCATTGGACAATAATTTTGTTTATGTCAGTATCATCTGTCTTATGGATGAGGGCAGTGGTGTTACTTTGCTTTCCTCCTCCTCAGGCTATCTATCTTGTTTACCTGAGCAATCGTCTATGTTAACATAATGTAAAGAAAGCAGCAAGCAAATGCTCAAGACAAAAGAAGAAGCGAAGGAGAAGAAAAGAAAAGAAAAGAAGAAGAGCAGCAGAAACGAGCCGGTATAGGTGACACAGCTCTGAAGAAGCAAGAATGAATAAAGGAACTGGCGGGGCGTTCTTGGGCAATTTGCGTTAAGGTACGGTTCGGGCCGGGCTACATGGTCAAGGTCAGGGGCAGGGGCGGAAACAAATGCTGGTCTGTCTGATATTCTCCCTTGACTAGAAGGGTCTTGGAAAAGGGGCGCTTGGTAGTTTAGGATTTGAGACTTGTGTGCTTTCGATTCTTCTTGGATTTGCGTCCTTGGTTGATTGAGGTTTAGGGGGGGGGCTTTATTGAGGGAGCGTTTGCGGATTCTTGCCTTCTTCTCCGTCTTGTTTTTTCTATGCCCAAGAAAGGTAGATTGCAGAAATAATGTATGACTTGTGAGAAGGGTTGAATGAGAATTTGAAAGTCTTTATGATTTGTGCTTGCATAGACTTTTAATAGATGCCTCGAAAGACGCTCATGTCGTGGACTTAAGGAAATACGTTCACATATCGTCCATTCAATCGTACCTAGGTAGGTAAGACGCTACTGCTCTCAAGCACCAACAGCTCGTGGAGCTCCATGACCTTGGCGGGGTCAGTCCAAAGCAGCTCCTATTCCGTTAGCAGTTTGAGCCCCAGAGAGCTGCCGCTAGCCGGCGTCTTACAGGCCCGTTGCTGGTGACGTGACCCCCTGGGCGACCCGACCCCTACCATGGAGTTCGAAACCCCGCGACCTTTGGACAGCATCTTGGGCTTCACGCCGCTTGACCGACCTCTGCCTCGAACATCGACAACCACTCACAACTCCTTCAATCACCACTTGAGGCTGCGTCCACCGCAGCGAACCGGCAATTGCAATGGCTGCGGATCCCTTTGACTCGGCGCTGTGAGCTTTCCTCCCCTTATCCCCTCCCGTCCTCTCCTCCTCTTCTCATCCCCCTCCATGCCACGCATCCCCCCCCTGATGCTTCTCTCAAAGAACCTTTGCCCTGTCACCATCCCAACCGCCCTTCCCCTCCCCCCCCAAATTTCCGACTCACACCTGAACAATTCCAACTAACTCGTCCACTTCTCCCCTGTCCAGCGACCTCCTCCGCCGCCTGAACCCGAAACACACGAGCGAGCACCTCAACGCAATCATCTCCCTGGCCCCGGACCTGACCGAGGACCTCCTCTCGTCCGTGGACCAGCCCCTCACCGTCAAGCGCTGCAAGCAGACGGGCCGCGACTACCTGCTCTGCGACTACAACCGCGACGGCGACAGCTACCGCTCCCCGTGGAGCAACCAGTTCGACCCGCCGCTGGACGAGGGCGGCGTGGGCGGCGTCGGGCCCGGCGGCAGCGAGGGCGCCGGCGAGGGCGCCATCCCCAACGAGCGGGTGCGCAAGATGGAGGTCAAGGCCAACGAGGCCTTTGACATTTACCGGGAGCTGTACTACGAGGGCGGCGTGAGCAGCGTCTATCTGTGGAACCTGGATGACGGGTTTGCGGGCGTGGTGTTGGTTAAGAAAGGTGCGTTTTCGTTTGCCCTATTGTGTTCCGTCCCTGCATGGGATATATATACATACGTTGGTTGTATGAAATTGTTCTTGTTGTGGTGAAACTGACTGTGATTTTTTTTTTCTGTGCTTCGCAGCTGCCACCCCCGGCACCAACACCGAAGGCGTCTGGGACTCGATCCACGTCTTCGAGGCCATCGAGCGCGGCCGCACGACGCACTACAAGCTCACCTCCACCGTCATCCTGTCCCTGTCGACCAACGTCGAGGGCACCGTCGGCGACATGGACCTCAGCGGCAACATGACGCGCCAGGTCGAGCAGGACCTGCCCGTCGAGAACGACGACAGCCACATTGCAAACGTCGGCCGCCTCGTCGAGGACATGGAGCTCAAGATGCGCAACCTGCTGCAGGACGTCTACTTTGGCAAGGCCAAGGACGTGGTGGGCGACCTGCGGAGCGTGGGCAGCCTGAGCGACGGGGCGAAGGAGAGGGAGACGCAGAGGGAGCTGATTGGGAGCATGAAGCGGTGATGATGGGGGGTTACAGCTATGTATAGATTTGGGAGAGAGAGAGTTTTTTTTTTTCGTCTTTTTAGAAAGAGCTGAGCTTGAATTGAAGCGTTCATGTTCCCTCTGTTGGAAGCCAACATGGGTTCCTTTGTCTCCTTGTATCGAGAGGTGGAATAAGTGAGCGGGGCTTGTGATGTCTGTGCCTTATCTGTTCTCGGGAGTGTATCCAGGCTTTGAACGTTGAGGCCAGGCGTAGTTATTTGTATCAAAAGCAGCATGTGCAGTCTTTGGGAAGATTACCGAGCCATACATGGTAGAGTCGAGCTATCTTTGTATCTTCTCCTCAGATGAAAGAACATCACAAATGCTCTATCAATGGGCTCTGTACTATGGTCCAAAAGACATGCAGAAGAAGAAAAGGTGGGTTAAAAAAAAGGCAAAAACTATATATATATATGATATTAGTTCTTGATCATTCTTACCAAAAGGAAGGGAATTGTCTCTTCGGAGTTCATTGACCTAAGACTTGTATATACGACCACCCCCCCCCCCCCCCCCCCCCTCCCTCTTTTATTAAAGCCGCCGTTTCTATTTGGTGCTTCTCCTGAGAGCCAAGGTATCTGGCATTCAAACCTTGCTTGAGTCGAAACCAAGGTTCATCACTGGAAGTTGATGCATGCCGAGCATGAGGGATCATCACATTTCATGCCTTACCACTTTTACGTCCCAATAGGAACCCGAATCAAACTACTTGTGCCTACTTTGATACTATTTTGATTCAGATATATTCTTGGCAACATATGAATGGTCCATGCCCCTCGCGTCACATTCAAGTCAAAGAGCATGCCACCAACGAGGTAGCTAGTAGTTCCTATTTCTAACGATACCTTCTTGTAGGACAGACTTCTCTGCTTTGCTCCTCTCCTCTTCTCCATGGAAAACAGTCCACTCGCAATAACCAACAGCACAACCCTACAAGCCTACACCAAATATAACTACATACTACTACACAATGCTATCTATAGTCCCCCCAACACCGTAACATCAACCCATACAGCCACACACAAAAGACGTAACCCCTGCGCTGTAACTCAGGCCATACTTGCCGTCAGCATTCGGCAATGCGTACATGTAGTAGTAGTAGGATCATCTTAGTATATGCAAGCAATGCTTCCCAATGACGAAGAATGGGGGAAAAAAAAAACCTGGCTGAGTCATAAAGAGTCGACAGTATTCCTGGCTTGCCAATATGAAGCCAAAAAGGCCCGGCACATTGCATGCCGAGCGTGTTGCGTGCCTTACAAGAGCCGACATCTCGCACACGCGGAGTCTACGTCGCTATCGCGGACAGAGTCCTCCCCGTACAATCACTTGTACGGAGCACCACAACTCCGCGCGTGGGTAGTATTTTGATAGGCAGAATAATCTTAATCATGATAGTCATTACTTTTAGCTGTATTTCCTATATCTCCGCGTATTTCCTATATCTCCGCCTAACAAGTTGGCCAAGATCATATGCAGATAGTAGTATGTATTTAGGACTGTTTGTTGATCAGTATTCAGTCGGAGATCATCAGATTGTGCCTGATTTTCAATCTTCCCACCGAGGCCCATGCCCGCTGGGCCCGCGGACAATACCCTGTTGCGGATAGACACGAACGGAGCGGAGTGCAGCGGATTTCCGGCATATCCTAGACTTGCGATATCCAGATGCTGTCATATTCTATGACTTACAGCATGTTCAGACCGAGTCCAAAGAGAGAAAACTCCAGAGATTGCCTTGGTATGCGATGGAACCGAGATGGAAATATACCCGACGCATACTCTTCGTAGGAACCAAAAACCCCCTTGTCCACATCGCTCCCCTGGACGCAAAAATCCGACGCAACTCGAGGCTGGGCCCCCCGTGACGATGGGCGGTAGATTGCTTGCTGCACCTGGGCGGATCCCTTGCGATGCTGCTCTTATGCTCATTCGCAGAATCTCTGGGGTGGTCAAATGCTGCTCAAAAAATGCAACATCGTCACAAGGAGGCCCATTTTCTGCGGCTGATGCTAGCGTGCCGGTTTGATTCAATCAAAGCGACCAAGTGGCCCCCTGATAGAGTGTGCCAAAGGTATTCCACACACTTCAAGGATGAGGGCGATCCGTCTTGTTGGGGAGGGATATCTTTGCTTTTACCCGTAAAGGCACTGTCCTTTTCCTTGACCTCTTGCACTTGCAACACCTGGGCACGACTTATGGTGAGTCAGGTGATGATGGTGATACTGCCGAGGAACCCCAAGGTAAGCTCAGTCGTTCAACCTCATCATACGTACACACGCAGAGCTCCGCTTCCTTGAGCGTGCTCACCCTTGCTCACCCTCGCTCACCTCGGTCTAGACGTGCAGGCAGAGCGGAGCTGACAAAAAGCCCTGACGGTGAAACATGTCAAAGCAGCATGGCGTTGCTGTCCATGACTCGGCATTGGATGTCCGTATGCTGCATTGGTAGCGTGCGGTAAGGAGCACAAAAAAGGAATTGGCAATTCCAGCCTCGGAGGATCTGTACTGGCGAGCCGTCCTCGCCTACCAAGTACATGTCCGAGTAGTACCGCGAGGTGGTGGCAGTAACGACATCCTTGCCGGTCACCTACATATTGACCTGCAGCAACCCATACTCGGCAGACATGATGTGCAGATTACTTTAATATGAGTTAGTACTTTTCTTTCGTGTCCAACAAGTACCATATGCAAGCTAGCACCTACCATATTCTGTAATCATTGCGTCTGCGATTAGAATGCGTCTCCCTGCTCCGAAGACCATGTATTGCTGTCTTAGACACGGCACGCTTTGGCAAGAGGCGAACAGCCGCGCAGGGCTACCTCCTGCATGTGGCAGTCGAGAAAGCGAGTGTTTGGCCTGGTACACGTCCGTACAAGTACAGAGGAGAGGCGCATCCAAGTCGTGGGTGTGGGTCTTATTGGATTCGACTGCTCCCTGTCCCTCGTAATTAAAAAGCAGGCAGGCGGGTGGGTTGATTGTTTGCTTGTTTGTAAGCCACGGGTTTCTCAACTGCGTTCAGTTGGATTCTGTAGACACAAGGGACATGCACTTCGGCTCCGAGTCATGTTGCAATGACGGGCTTCACCCTCCGAGTATATACCCCACGATCTGGGCGTTGGAGGGGGAGGAAGAGAGCGCATGAAGAGGAAAGCTCATACTACGTCGAACCGTCTTCAAGCCTGTGTGACAAAAATGCGGTCAGCTTTTGTTGTGTCTTAGACGTCGAGTCATTGGCTGAGGTGCTCTTTTCTAGAACGACGCTTGGAACAATATGCAGCAAACCCCGCACCCCACGTCTCGTCCAGTGCCTTATTGGCATAAAACAGCGTCAAGTACATGAGCCATATGCGTCCTCATCTCTCGGAGGTTGTCAAGGGAGATGGGCTGGTGTATCGGCGAACGTCTTCTTGGCCGATTCTGGGCCAAGATTACAAGGTAAAAGGCACAAGAGTACACCCATGAGCCTAGCATCTGCTGTTCATGGCCCCCATTCGGAGCGGTTCGTCCCACCTGAAGGCTGCACATGGCGCAACAAGAGTCCCACTGGCCTAGTGTCACAAGGGCAGAGGCCAAAAGCGATGGCTTCCAAGGTGGTGGCGCCACTCATTGTTCCGGTCGGGCGGCGGCGTCGGGTCGGGTCGCAGATTGGATTGCAGAAAGCACGCTGAACATGGCAGCCACCGAGGGGTTCGCAGACGGGGTCTCAGTATCCGTCCGTGTTAGTGAAGACATGGGCATGGAGTCCGATTTTGTCTTGTGAGCACGAGAGTACTATGTCCTAATAAGGCATATTGAAGCCGGAATTGCAAGCCAACGACCGAGGAGCCCTGACGGCAATGACGAAACGGCAACGGCATGAGCCATGGATGTTCAAGGCGCTATTGCAACTGTCATGTAGGAGTTGGCAAGCATTATTTGATGGTGGTGGCGCCGCGACGCGTGCAATGACTTGACACGCATAATGGCTGAGTCGCCGCACCAACCCGCGGGAGCTGGCACGACCTGCGGCCAACTTGTGCCATTTTTAGCTCCCACATGAAGAGCAGAGACATGATACTCGTACATGATGCGAGGGAGGGACCAGACAATCCGCTAGGCTTGGCGATGAGGACGAGAGCCAGAGGGCGAGAGCCAGAAGAGCCAGAGTCTTGATAGTCAAGACATGAGATGGAGACTCGGCCGACTGTCTGGCAAATAACAACAGCCCGCTTAGCCCGCCACAGCGGTGGGGATATCAGGCAGGGATACTGGGACCTGGCAGCGGTTAGCCGCTTCGAAACTCAGCACGTCTATCCACGTCCATGTGCATACTCGTACAGTGCTGGACAGGCCCTGTCCTCTTGTCTGGTAGGACCAGCGTAACACATCCGTCGTCGTACAGATGAGTCCTTGGTTTTGGGCTGCAGGCTTTCGTCCACCGCAGCTGTCAGTTGTTTGCTGGGGCGAGTCTCTGTGCGGGCAGCCGGCCTGGAGACGCAGCAGAGAGGGGGCGAGAAACCAGCGACTGGGATTGGAGCCTTGGTCATGGGCCGGGTGCTGCTCCAGGGCCTCGAAGCCATCGCCAGTCAATCAGCACTGTGTCGTGTCGTCTTCCGCTCCCTGTCTCGCCGGCCAGTCACAGCCCATGCGTGCCTGGATGGTGCCTGGAGCTCTCCCGCAAAGTCTCGGTACTTCGTATGGTGACCTGCTGGGCAGCGCGGGCAGTGTCGCACTCGCAGAGATGACAACCTGCATCCGGGCTCCATGTTGCAGTTGAGATTGATGGAAGCAGACGAGCCCGGTCGAGCTTCGGCTAACGTCCCCGTCCCCAGGGCCTGACCTCGCACTTGCGGTTTAGTGGACGGTAGCACCTGTGGCACCTGTAATAACTGACATGCTCCCCATGAGCGCATCCAATGTACTCGCTCCTCCTTGCCTGAGACATCGTCACTGCCTCGTTCCTTTCTACCACTCTGACAAGGCGCACTGTACCTCAATACTACAATCCTCCGCGACAGCTGCCGGTAGAGCAAAAATAACACGGCATGACAAACCGCCGTCTTCGCGATTCTGGCGGTGGAACAAGGGCAGCATTGATCTTGTCCGCCGTCTGTGGTGGGGGTCTCTTCCAGGTTCTCTTTTTTTGAGGGGGGCCTCTTTTTGCGTGGATGCATTGCATGCGCCGGATTCTTCAAGGCGGCGGCAAAACCCCTCCATGGCCCGGTCTCTCCATACAAGCGACCTTGCCTGGCCTTGACAATCCACCCGTCCCATCCACTCCGTCTCAGGCACCTGCTTGGCTTGTGTCTGTTGTCTCTCTTGACTCTTGACTCTTGACTCTGCCCGTCTCTTTCGTCTGCGAGATACAAAAGAAAAATACCCCGAGTTTGCCTTTTGTCTCCTGCCTCTCGCTTCGGCTCCCGCTTCAGCTTCCCCGGCACAGTGCGCCGCTGCCCTGTCCTTGCTGGCATTTTGTTCTTCTTCGTTCTGCTCTGCCCTTTGCATTGCTTTACCTCTTGCCTCTTGTCCTGCTCAGCTGTACGAGTCCTCTGCTCTGCTTGTTGTGGTTGCTGCTCGTTTTCGCTCTCCGGCAGTTTTGCGTGGGTGATCCGGGTCCCTGGACCGAACCACCTCCTCAAAAGGCTTACAGCTTACCCGTAGCCTTTTAGTACCCAAGGCAGCCTTCGACCTCCCTCTTTCTCTTCCCTCACCCTCTCTTTTCTGCCCCCCTCTCTTCCTTCCTCCCCCCAACTCTTTTCCCCTCTTCCTCCTACTTCCTCGTCTGCCCCGAGCTTGAGAAAGCTGTGCACAGCTCACGGCATCTCCTACGTCGCCCGACGCTGGAATAACTTGACCCCCTTCGGCACTTCCTTAGCGAAGCTGCTCCCTCCCGGCTCGAATATAGACCGACAAAGGCGTCTTCATCGCAGAAACGCAGTCGCTCGCTCGACATCGTGGCCCGCCACTACGCATCCTGACAACCTTGCTACTATACAGCCCCCGCCTCCTTGCACGCGATAGCAGCAGCTTCGAAAATGGCTGACGAGAAGCCGTCGGTCCTCATCATTGGCGGCTTGGGCTATATCGGCCGCTTCCTTGCCCAGCACATCCACAAGAACAATCTTGCCTCAGAAGTCCGAATCGTCGACAAGGTCCTGCCCCAGCTCGCCTGGCTGGCGCCTGAATTCTCGGAAGCATGCGCCCAGAGCAAGTTCATGCAGGCCGACGCTAGCAAGCCGGGTACGTAGCTGTCCTTTACCATCCCCATCCTCCTCTGCCCTCCGCGAATGGCCGTCACTAACAAGCCTTGTGTGCTGCTATGAATAGAGGCTCTAGTCAAAGTGTTCGACCGACCCGACGGCAAGCAGTGGGACTATGTCTTCAACTGCGGTGGCGAGACGCGATACTCCCAGGAAGACGAGGTTTACAAGCTCAGGTCCTTGGACCTTTCCCTTGCGGTTGGCCAGGAGGCTGCCAAGCGCAAAGTCAAAGTCTTTGTCGAGCTAAGCACGGGCATGGTATACAAGTCAGATTCAGTTCCCAGCAAGGAGGGAGACAAGTTGAAGCCATGGAGCAAGATTGCCGTCTTCAAGCTGCAGGCAGAGGAGGCACTAGCCAAGATCGAAGGGTAAGCTACACTTGGACCGTTCCTTACCCCAAGCCCTATGAGTCTGACAATGTCGTGTCTACAGGCTCAACCTCGTCATTGTCCGCCTTCCTCATGTGTACGGCCCCTACGCTTCTCAATGGGTAGCGACAGCCCTATGCATGGCACGCGTTTACCAGCACATCGAGGGCGAAATGAAGTGGCTGTGGACCAAAGATTTGCGCACCAACACTGCGCATATCCACGATGTATCCCGAGCCCTCTGGGACATTGCCGCCTGGTACGACGCCGGCAAGCCCAACTGGGACGAGAGCGAGATGGGCAAGGTGCCCGTATTCAATGTGGTGGACAAGGGCGCCACCACGCAGGGCACCATTGCTGACATTATTGGCGAAATCTTCAAAATCGAGACGGGCTTCCAGGGTCAGCTGATCAGCACTTTCGCGAGGATGAACCTCGACAGCGTGGTCGACGATGTCAACGACGAGATCCTCGGCCCCTGGGCTGATCTGCTATCCGACGCCGGCATCACACGGCCAGGCCCGCTGACGCCGTTCATGGAGAAGGAGCTTCTCAAGGACACCGACCTCAGCATGGATGGCAGCAGGTTGGAAGAGATTGTGGGTTTCAAGTACGAGAAACCCGTCATCACCAAAGAGCTTGTTGAAGAGGTCATTGAGAGCTACAAGCAGATGAAGTGGTGGCCATGAGGAGAGTTGAGCGAAACCCCACGCGAGGCCTGGAGCGTGATACAACAAAAGCATGACCGAATCGATGTCGAACTCCTCTCGACACATATGCATACTTGAAAAAGCAAGCGGCCAATTGACGCCCACGCACACCTCGTGGTTGAACAGCTTGCAGACGGGGGCGGATGGCCCTTGGAAGTAAGGAAACACCAGGCGTGGTAATCTTGGGATCTACGGAAATGCCGATTGAGGATTTGAACGAGCCAGCGAGCAATTTCTGAAACTCTGTATCATTAGATATCCACACGGTTCCGAAAGAGTAGCACGATATCCGCCCGGGAGTTGAGTTCAAACGCAGATGCAGGGCTTGTCCTTTTTCTTTGTCCCCCCCCTTTTTTTTTTTTTTTTTTTTTGGTTTTTTCATGTTCACGTTCCCGTATACTCCTGATTCCCTTTCTTGTTTCCAATTTCGTTTCTGTACTATCAAGGGCCTGGTGGAATGCGAATAATGGGATGCGGTCTGTGGTCTGCGGTTGTGTGGCCTGGTTGCGAGTCTCTGTGGAGGCATGCTGTTTACCCTGCTGTACACGAATCTAGTAACTGGAGAATAGTTGTCCCTAATATAACTTTAGGACCTCTGACTTGATTCACCGATGCATTAGTACCGTAAGTAAAGGGTTGCTCGGCGAAGTGAACAACCTCGACCGTCAAGAGAGCGGAGTGCAACCCATATGCAGGGGCTTGGCTATTGTCAATGGTAGACAATGACGAGCTGGAGAACCCCAATTCGTCAATCAAGGAGTACCATGTTCAATTCCGAGCAGAAAGGCGCCAGTCGAAATGGGGGAGGAGATGTGCAGTTAAGTTCAAGTTGTGAAGCCGAGCCGTCAATCACTCAGCTTTACGAGGTGCCCATAGGTGAGATGAGGTGAGGTACGGAGTTTTAGAGGGGGGGTGTGTCACAGGGCGTGGGTTTCGGTGCTTTTACGGAACTGGGAACTAGCAGAAGTCGCGCCTCGGAAGCTGGGTGAGCTCTTGCGACTTTGCTCAACAGGCTTGTGATAGTCGTGCATTTAATCCGTGCCGTCTCCCGCCCTCCTTCACTCTCTTCTACTTGTCAGCGTCAACCCCCAACAACTCATTTTGCTTTCTTACACCTTTTTCGCCCTCTCCTGTGTCTTTCCAGATCGTCATAGAAGTGTTACATCTAGACAATTCACGAAGGAAACCTGCAATCATGGCCGCTCCGTCGAACAAGACTACCAAGAACCTTAATGGTCGCTGGACTATGGTATGTACTACGACAATGATGTTTGTTGGGCGCCGCTTTCGTCTGCCTGTCCTTTGAAGGGTCTGCCAATTTTCTCGAGAGGGGAGGACCGGGGATTTATGTGGTTGCTTTACCCCTCCCCCGCCATGACAAGAGCTGCAATGCCTTTCCTGTCAATCGCATCGCAGCATTGATTTGCGAGCTTCTCGGAAGACGATGGCTCTCGTTGCTGAATGAGCTGCCACTGAGCATCATGGCTGGCTTAAGGCGATCCGATGATTTGACTGCGCAGTGCATTTTCCTCTTCTATCCTTTATCCTTCGGGCCGTGCTTTGACCATATCATACCCGCACATCTACTGACGCTGAACAACACAACAGAACAAGACCCTCTCCGACTCGTCGGAGCCGGTCCTCGCCCTGCAGGGCATCGGATTCCTCACGCGCAAGGCAATCGGCCTGGCCACCATCACCATCGAGGTGCGCCAGTACGAGGGCCCGCCGAAGCCGCCCAACACGGCGACGGACACCGTGACGCACATCGACATTGTCCAGTCGGCGTCGAAGCTGTCGAGCACGCAGGAGAACCGGTGCTTGGACGGCTTCACACGCGGGCACACGGACTGGCTGTTTGGCACGGTCGAGGGCTCGAGTCGGTGGGTCTCGCTGGACGAGGTGACAGACGAGTTCCTCAAGAAGGGGTGGGAGGTCGAGGGCGAGGGCAAGAGCTTCATTACCAACGTGGCCAAGAACGCGGAGAGGGGGTGGGTTGCGGAGCAGGTCTGGGGGTTCCAGATTGTGGACGGGGAGAGGAGGTATTGCCGGCATGTTGTTGTGACCAAGGGGGAGGAGAGGGCGCAGATTCGGCTGGTGTATGACTTTGATGGGGAGTTGGACGAGTGAGTGGTTTTATATAAGGAGAGCTTGGAGCTTGCTACTTCGGGCTTACAAGATGAAGAGAGAGCTTGAAATATAATAAAGATACAGAACATTATCAGATAGCCTTCCTTTAGATTGTTCAAAGACCAGATTGATGCGATATATGTTGAATCCTACGCCTTGGATAAATGTTCTCTGCATGTGATCCATACGGTTGTGTAGCAGAATAGATCTCGCATCCACCACACTTTTGCGAACGAGTTCCTGGCTCTCAATTGTATGCGCAAGCCAACGAAGGAACTCGAGACTTGCGCGTATGTTGAATAGGGCCAAATAACCTTCCAAACGCCGTCTAGGGCCGAAAAAGCGCATTTCCAACTATGCCCCCCGCTAACCGCAGATATCATGCCCCCGAATCTTTTGCACCAGACTTGTTCCTTGCCTCTTCGTCATCCACAAAGCAGACCCAGTCATCTAAGCAGGCCTCCTCTTGACAAACTCCTCCAAATCCTGCACCGTGGCAACACCCAGCACGAACCGCCTATTCTCGTCCGTGATGACCGCAAACTCCTCCTGCCACTGCCCGTCGGGCTTGTCGCCGCGGAAGAAGGCCTCGAGCTCCTCGAGGGGCGTCTGCATGGTGATGACGCGATAGGTGCGGCCCTTGCGCTGGAAGCGCGTCATGGCGGCGGAGAGGGGGTCCTCGGGCTTGACGCGACCGGCCTCGAGGAGGGACTGCAGGTGCGGGATGGAGATGTAGCCGAGGAGGGCGCGGGTTTCGGAGTCGACGACGGTGAGGTGGGTGTATTCGCGCTCGAAGGCGGAGAGGAGGGCGAGGGAGATTGCGTCGGAGGGGTTGAGGGAGAGGGCTGCGGGGGGATCGAGGTCTTCGACTGTGGCCTGTGGGAAGTTTTGAGTGAGTCAGCCTGGGGGGGATCTTTCTCGATTTGGAGGTGCCGTTGGGATTTGCGCTTGAAAACGTACGCCTCGATATCTTGAGGACCAGGACGTGGAGAAGGGAGCGGCTGTTGTTGTTGCTGAGCCGGCCGCGGCGGGCTGATGCGTCAATGTGGTGGCCATGGCTCGATCCCTGCTGGTTTGAGTTGCGTATTTCGAAGCCAAGTTGCGATGGTGTTGCCGGAGTAGGTGGTGATAGTGGACTTGACTCTTGGGGTTGAAGGAGTTGTTCGACTCCGACGCTCGCAGAGATGGGCAAATTGATAGGCTCGATTGAGCCACCGCGGGGTGTGTGATTAGCTCAGCATGGACTGGCGGGGTTGTAAGAACTGGTCGAACTTACGGAGCGACACATGTGATGATAGTGATGCTGTAGGATACGTGAACCGTCTTATCGCAAGGGTTGCGGTTGTAAATTCCGTACATCTTCATTAACTGTCTGCGACGGTGATTGTGTTGTATACACAATAGTAATTCATATCAAAGCCTAGTCACGGCAAATTAATACATTGCTTGTCATATGAAGCCTAAATTGATTATTGAATACCGCTTACCGGCAGGCCGTTCCGTTATCGCATAGAAACCGGGTCAAGACACGACTGGATCAGGTAGTAGTCATCTCAATCCCATTCTCATCCACCTGACCCGTCCATCTAACGTATGAGTCTTTTTCTCAATTCCATCCTCATCTGCCTTACCTATCTATCTAATGCATGAGCCTTTTTCAACAATATTGGGTCGCCTTGCAAGAACCTGCTTTTTTATCTCCGGACAATCCCGCCTCGTTCGCATTGACTTTCGGCATTCCTGGGAAGGGAAGTGGAGCAGCTTTGCAGCTTCAGCCGGTCCGTGCGGCTCCACGATCGATTTCATCGGCTTCCAAAGATGATGCACGCAGCTTGCCGACTGCTTCCGGTCTGCAGTTTCATCTTTATCATGGTATGAATGAACGGGTAGATGCATTACCTTGGGGAAGAATAGAAGCAATTAGAAAAGAGTTGTTTAAGGTCATGAATCAGCTGTGTGTCAATTCATACCTACTTAGATAGTACCTATAGGTAAAACGAAGCTCACTTCACACTCGATCCGACAACCGCAGTGTTCATGAAATGCCGGCTTGATAGCGGTTCCCTTCGAACATGGACATTGGTGGGGCAAGTCGCTACTTGTGCCGCGGCGCCCCAGCCCGCAGCGGCCCCGTACCTCCCTGCCGTGTTCCGGTACTGCGACTTTCAGCTACGGAACAGTGCAGAGAGCTTTCAACCTGGCAGTTCGCAGGTTGCTGCCATCGGTGATGGCTCCTGACGCCCGGTGATGTCACTGTTTCCGCTTCTCTCAGCCCGCGGAACCAGGCGACCGCGGGCTATGTCCGGAAGGATGCACCAAGCAGTGAGGCACAGGCACCTTCCAGCCATTTCCTTGCTGCGACATTTATATCCGTCGAGCCCGTCTGCGCGATCCTTCTCGATTGCCTCACTTTCTGCCCCCCATTTGAATCTGGTCTTGAGATCGCGAGCTTCGCAGCGCAGGCATTGTCGCGTGCCCATTCTGATAGTGGCAGGTCCAACTCTGTAAGTTCCTCCCCATTGACCGGAAGCAGCTGCTCTGGAGCTTCCTATTGCGCCGACTGCCTCTCCACGACACCCCTCGTGAGCTACAGCGGGCATGATTGCTCATGAGCACGCCGTCTCTCCTCGTTCACAAGCCCCTAGCCACGTCACGATCCTACATACCTTGTACAGTCAAGACTTGCAGTATCCTAACCATCTCAGTCAATTTTCCAGGCAACACTCAGATTTCGGATACCTCGGTCGCCAGTCCACCTCATTATGGCACATCTCTATCCGAAGGCGGATGCCCTAAGGGGCTCCTTCTTCAGCCCATCGGCCACGAGCCCTAACTCACAGATGAAGGCGACGCCTCTCCAGGCTCGTCCCGAGCTCTACGGCGCCTACTCAGTCGTAGACAACGCCAAAGATAAGGCCGCGAAGCTGAGCAACGAGGCTACCAGGGAGTTCGAGAAGGCCAGCTCCGCAGCCCAGGCCAAGGCTGGAAAGATTGAGCTCTATTCCGGAAAGTATTATGCGGCGTGTACCTTCGGAGGTCTCATGGCATGCGTAAGTGACGGAGCATCATGCACCATTGTCCGGGAGTTCCTCCATAAGGGCTGACACGTCTTCACCAGGGTCTCACGCACACTGCTGTAACTCCTCTCGATTTCGTCAAGACTCGCCGCCAGGTCGACTCGAAACTCTACAAGAGCAACTTTGAAGCATGGGGAAAGATCTACCGCGCTCAGGGCCTCCGCGGCATCTTCACTGGCTGGAGCCCAACCTTGTTCGGTTACTCGGCCCAAGGCGCCTTCAAGTATGGTTGGTATGAGTACTTCAAAAAGACATATTCCGACCTTGCTGGTCCAGAAGCTGCCCACACGTACAAGACCGGTCTCTATCTCGCTGCCTCAGCCTCGGCTGAGTTCTTGGCCGACATTGCCCTCTGCCCCATGGAAGCTGTCAAGGTCCGAATGCAAGGAGGCTCGCCCAACCCGTACACCGGCGCCATTGATGGATTCACCAAGATCACTGCAAAGGAGGGCTACGCTGGTCTCTACAAGGGTCTTTACCCCCTGTGGGGCCGCCAGATCCCCTACACCATGATGAAGTTTGCCTCGTTCGAAACCATTGTTGAGATGATCTATGACCGCCTTCCTGGAGACAAGAGTGAGTACAGCAAGGCTGCCCAGACCGGCGTCTCCTTCACTGGTGGTTACCTCGCCGGTATTCTCTGCGCTATCGTTTCCCACCCGGCAGATGTCATGGTCAGCAAGCTCAACTCGGTGCGCGAGCCCGGCGAGGCCTTCGGATCTGCCATGGGTCGTATCTACAAGGACATTGGCTTCGTCGGTCTGTGGAACGGCTTGCCTATGCGTATCGTCATGATTGGCACCTTGACCGGTCTCCAGTGGATGATCTACGTAAGTCTCTCTTTCGGAATACGACGGGAGAGTTGTCGACGCTGTACTGACCTTGTAATAGGACTACTTCAAGATCTTCATGGGCTTGCCCACCACTGGTGGTCCCGCGCCGCCGCCAGAGAAGAAATAGAGGATAGATGGATGAAGATGTTGGTGGGCGGAGGTCTCTTATTGTGCTCTGTGTTCCTATTTGTATTATTGCAACGAGCTGAATTTATGGTCAACCCATTCTTGGAAAGTAAATTGCGCTTTGTAAGTGGCACCTCAGTTGAAAGCTGTACAGATCTTCGGAGTAAAGCATCACGTAGTTTTGCAAAAAACACCGGAAGAAATGCCGCGGATAATATAATAACGGCTGACACGCTAATGTGAGTGAAGCGTCCGCCTTGTAGAATATTGAATCGTTGGACCAATGCTCTTGGCAAAGCCACAGCCAAGGCGGCACTGGATATCCGAGGAGATATGTCCGATTGGTCTTTGGATATCGCCCTTCCAACTTACTGTACGGAGTATTCTTCTTTCATCCGACAGAGTGTAGGAGCACCTTTATATTCATTAAAGTAGAGCAGAGTGGCGAGAGCCTTGTATCTGGTTTAGAGCTGTCCTACGTGTTAAGTCCGCGGCCAGCCTTGAATGCCCGACACGGTTTCGTTTCGTTTCGGTCACAGGCATGGCAGTTGTGTGAAGTAGTAGTTCCCTGTGCCGCTCCACAAAAACAGAACGGGCGACAGATGGAGAAAGTGATGGGCAAGAGAAAGGGCCGACTCGGCTAGGGAATTGGCGAAAAAAAAATAAGAGAAATGACATGCATGCGTGCGAATAAGTTTGAGAGGAGGGGGGGGGAAAGTGCCAAGAGATGTTGGTTGGTTTTGGGGGGGGGGGTTTAGGGGGGGCGGTTGGTGGTGATGTTGGTGTTGGGCGAGCGGGTAAAGTAGGTACTCTGTAGAAACTTGGCCTTTTTGGCTGTTGGTGGTTCAATACCTGGTAGGCTGAAGCGATGTTATCTTTTTACAAAAGCGGATGGGGCTCGGTGTGCGTTTCTTAGAGAGCTAGATCTGGATGCCGACAATCGTGAATGGAGGACTTGTCAAAGTGTGTTTGATTCCGAGCCGGATGGCACTGTTGGGTTGCAGCAGAGATACGGCGTAACGGGAGGACGGACAGGGGGCAGAGACGTGCTGGTGGGGGATTCTATGATAATACTACTACCAAGTACTACTGCTGTGATTAGGTACGTTTCCTGTTTATTGGGCTGTCGTCGCATTATCGATCTGTGGGGTGACGTCCTGTGGAGCAGAGATATTCTATAGATAGGTGTCTAGGTAAGTAGTAGGTAAGTACCCAGCAAATAGTGAGGGCTGGTGGTGTTGTGGTTTGGCAAGAGGCGAGTGCTGCGGCTGTGGTTGTATGTATCAATGTCAGGGTAATACTACAATGATGGATGATGGGGGTTTGCGTGACGGTCGACCTTCGCCTTGCAGTTATACTGTATGGACTGCTGAAGCTGCAAAACGGGGCTTGCAGCCGAGAAAGGATTCGTCTCCAAGGTGGAGTGGATGGATGGATGCAGGTGATTGATGATCCGATGAAAAGAAGCGCGGAGGACGAACTGAAAGGGGTCCGGTTTCTCGTTTATTTTGGGGGGGGGGAACGGAGAAAACGGCACATGACCTCGAGCTGCAAAAGCCTAATGGGCTGCTAGCTTCTGCTGGGAACTGGATGAGTTGAGTATTGAGTCCAGCTACTCGAGGTTGTCTCTGAGCTGGAGACCTTTGATGGGAGTACTATGTATGTATGTTCTGTTTCGAGTGCCCACGCACAACAAGTGGAAACAGATGCACGGACTGGGAATCTGCAGGACCTCGACCTGAGCTACCGTTTACTGCAAGGGATTTTAAGCGCTCAAATGATAGAATCAACATGGATTGCTTGCGAAACTTGTCCTTGTAGTACTACCTAGTAGTAGTATGTCGAAGTATCAGGAGTTGCATCGCAAAGGTCCTGTTAGTGCCTGGGCCACGTTATTCTTCCTGGGCTGCAAGGCAGGGGGTTGGTTCGTCTTCTCCACAGCACCATAACAGCGAAGAGAGCGAGGAACGGCTGTTGATTCGTTGCGGCTGTTTGTTGAAGATGCCTTGCGCGTAACTCTTTTGACTACGAGAACTTGTGATTCTATTCTTATTAGCGAGTAAGCCCGAACTGGTTTGATGGATGATGCGGGGAAGAAGGGACACGGCGATGATCAGATGAGCAGCAAAGGACGAGGCGAGATTCCGCCGCCGCTGCTCGTGCAAGGCAAGAGAACCTGATGGCGAGCTGGTGCTGGATAATTCCGTCCATTTCCCTGGGGAGCTAAAGGGCGAATGTGTCCACCACTATATACATTCCTGTATGATAGGATCAGTGCAGTGGTACCCGAGTCCTAGTAGCAGAATGCAAGCCTGCGATGCTCCGCAGATAAGTAGGCAATCTATTGCTGCAGTCAAATGGCCATGAGGCACAGGTGCATTTTCCACAAGCAGCCGCCTCGTTCTCATTTTCTGCTTCGGGTCTCGCGAGATGGGCGGAGGCGGAAACTGGTCGCTGCTCGGCTGGCGTCATGTTCTTTTTGGGTCCTCAACCACAACTCGGCCAGTAGTAATGTCCAACTTTCTTCCCGCCCTTCTTCGTCTCTCCTTGTAATTTTTCTTCATCCATTGTTTTTGCGTGGTGCGGCAACAATAACGGGGGGATGTGGCACCCAATATGGTCCGCTGACGAACGAGGCGTTGCCCAACCCGAGGAACAAGGAGAAGGAAACGAAGTCGAGTGGCGAGTGTGTTTTTGGTAGAATGGACTTTCTTTTTCCTGCTTCCCCTCTCTCTGACTGGGCGAGTTGAAGAAAGCTGGTGCATTAGTGCCCTGGAGCAAGCCGTGCCATACAGACTCCATCCCGAGCCCAGACAAGAGCCACAACGGCTGCATGGTGTGCATAGCGTCGCATGCAGGAGAGGGAAGGGAAGATGGCCTTGCCGCGTGGCTCAATTACCCCGGATACATCATACGACAAAGCTGCGTTGCATGCACCCGGTCTGGTCCCAGTCCAGCTGGATGGGCCCGGTCTGGTCTGGCCTGGTCTCTTTGTTTTTTTGCCTCCCCTGGGTGCGTGTTGCTGGCTCTCCACCGTTCGTTCAGTGGTGTTGAATGCTTGTTTCGGAGTTTGCTGCTGCTTGCTGCAGAGAAACTGGGGGTCCTGGAGGTGATGGGTTGACTTGAGGTGCAATGCCGGCAGCTTGTGGTGAACCTACGGGAAATACGAACAGGCCAGTGACGAGAGTGAATCTTCGCTTTGTTAGCCACTAAGTACTATTCTAGGTACTAGGTAATATTAGAAGCCCGTCCATGATGGAGTATCACTGAATGACAAATCCGATCCAGATCTAAGCAAACGCACCAACTCGAGTGTACATAGATATTCACTTGCGCATGTCAGTCGTCCGAGGCACAATGGAGGATTACAAACCGCCGGTGCTGGACTGACTCGAGGTTTCACAGACAGCCCAGGTCCTGCAGCGTTCAAGTCCCCTGATCCAACCGTCATCATTGCAGTGTCACCGTCTGTTCAGCTGCGCAACAAGAAAGACCGATTGCAACCGAAAAGCCACTTCCGGTCGGGCTGAACAAACTTGCCATCATCAGTAACCATCTTTCTTCGCTTTCTTTCCCATCTCGTCTCGTCTGCGTTCGCTCCCCCACAGCGCGCGTGTTCCGAGCAGTCGCCGCTCTAGCGCAGCGCCAGAACAAGCCAGGCCTCTGCTAGTCGTCCAACGCCTTGCCTGTTTGTCCGCTGGCCGCTGCCTTAACTCGGCGCTAGCATCCTTCTGGCAGAGACGTCTCGACTTCTCTGATAGTAGTAGTATTAAATCCGTCAAGTCCATTTGACCCTTGTTACCACTGTACGCACGAGTGCTGCGACTTGTGCCGCCATCGAACAAAGTGCTGGTGGCCGTCTCTGTGGTACCAGTACCGTATGCGCCACAGGTGCAAGCGCAAAGTACCCCGACGACAGCCCCGGGCCCTGCAAGCGGCCTTTTCCCCCACCGGCCCACCCTCCCAGGCTGGGGAGCCCCGAAGGAACCTGGAAAGTGCCTGGAACTTGTTGCGGGCTTTGCGCCTGTTGCCAGCGCGGTGCGGCGCTGTGCTGGGGGTTCCAGAAGCCAAACTGCTGCTCCAGCGTCTTCCAGCCCGGGCCATGTCCGCGTCCAGACGCAACGCAACGCATCCATCGCTTCTCTGCCTTCTTTTCCCTTCAATCCCCCAACTTCCTCTCCAGCTGCTCGACCCTGCGCCTCTGCATTTCCCTGCTGTTTCTTCTCCTCTCTTCTTTCTTGCGACTCGGTGCGGCGTCCTTGTCTGTCCTCCGCTCGTTTCCTGGTTCCCTCGTTGGCGGCGCCGATCCGGAGCTGCTCTTCCCTCCTACGTCGTCTCTCGCGCACCGAAGCAGCGCCTCCTCGGTGCCGTGCCGCAGCCTCGCCTCACAGTTCGCCCATCATACGAAAGACTCGGAGATAGACTACCTCAAAAACCCGACCAGACGTTCTTCCGACTCACTTTCTCTCGTTGACCAACCACCACCTCTGGCCATTGATGCGCTTGCGTGGGCCGTTCTCCTCGTCCGCCGCCTGCATACGTCGAATGAATACCCTCGCCTACCGTTTTCGAATCTGTTGAGCGGCTGTTGCGCGGCTCTGGCTGCTGCATCTTCTTGTCCTTCCTCCCCTTTGTCTATAATACGCCCCTTATACTATATCCCGACGTCCAGCATTGCGCGAATATACCGACACCATGGCCGGGTTCTTTAACAAGATTCGAAATGCGAGCACGGTATTATCCCCCTTCCACCCACAGACGGTCGCGTTCCTCTCGTCCGCGGCAACTCCCGGCGTCGATTGCCATGTTCCGAACAGACCCTAGCATGTCCCGCGTCAAGAAACCCGTAGTCGCTGACAAAGCCTCTCTGCAGCCCTCGACAGCGCAAACCACCAAAGAACTGGTGTCGAAGAAGAAGGATGAGATCGTCCCGGAGTTGACCCCGCTTGAGAAGATGCTGCAGAATGCGGGCCCCTTGCGAGAAGATGCAACTGACAAGTTCTTCGGTTTCGAAAACGTACGTTGATCATTCCATCCCAACTGCGGATTAGGCCCCCCCCCCCCTGTCTGTGTCACTGTCACCATGCTAACGTCGAGTCGTAGTTTGGAAACACCTGGTTCGCCTCATCCCGTAGACCCAATCGGCACAGAACTGCAGTTCACTAACTGGAATCCGTTTAGCTACTGTAACTCCATCGTACAGGCTCTGTTCTACTCCGACCTGTTCCGAGAAAGCGTCATCAACTACCCATCGCTCTCGCCCTCAGACACCCCCAATGGCAACCGGCCAAAGGTCAACGTCACTCTCCGGCCGCCCATGAACCCCGCCCTGGCGAACCCCCAGCAGCAGACCAAGAAAGGCATCAGTGCCAAGGAGGCGATGAAGCAGAAGCAGACGTTGGGCGCTGGGCAGCCGGCGCCTGGACAGCCCGCCGTCAAGCCCGAGGATAAGCCAGACACCCCCGAGTATAAGAAGAAGCAGGCCATGCTCAAGGGCCCTATCCTGGAACTGGCACAAGAGAATGCCATGCCTTACGGCATGGACGAGTGTACCTTTACCGGCCTCAAAGACATCTTCCTGGCAGTCCTCCAGAGCAACACCCGAACGGGCGTCTTGAGCCCTCAGCGCTTCCTCGAGATATTCAAACGCGACAACGAAATGTTTCGAAACTCGATGCACCAGGATGCTCACGAATTCTACGGCCTCGTCTTAAACGATGTCATTGCCAACGTCGAGGCAAATGCGAGGAAGATCCAGGAACGCCTCGAAGTCAATGGTCAAAGTGATCTTACGCAGTCGGTGGAAAACGCCTTGGGATCAGCGTTGATAAATAATGCGACAGGCTACCGCACTCCCGGGACTGGGTGGGTTCACGACATCTTTGAGGGCGTGTTGACCTCAGAAACGAAGTGCTTGACTTGCGAGACGGCATCGCAAAGAGACGAGACCTTCCTCGACCTCTCCATCGATCTGGAAGAACACTCATCTGTGACATCCTGCCTGCGGAAATTCTCAGCTGAGGAGATGCTCTGCGAGCGGAACAAGTTCCACTGCGACCATTGCGGTGGCCTGCAGGAGGCCGAAAAGCGTATGAAGGTTAAGCGGCTACCCAAGGTACTGACTCTGCATCTCAAGCGCTTCAAGTACACCGAAGACTACAGCCGCCTCCAGAAGCTCTTCCACCGTGTCGTATACCCCTACCACCTGCGCATGTTCAATACAACGGAAGACGCAGAGGATCCCGACAGGATGTACGAGCTCTATGCGGTTGTTGTCCACATCGGCGGCAACGCGTACCATGGCCACTACGTCTCCATCATCAAGACTCCCGACCGTGGCTGGGTTCTGTTCGACGATGAAATGGTTGAGCCCGTAGACAAACACTTTGTGCGCAATTTCTTTGGTGACAAGCCCGGTATGGCCACTGCCTACGTTCTCTTTTATCAGGAAACCACCTTTGAGAAGGTTCGAGAAGAGCAAGAGAGGGAAGGCATGGAAGAAGTGAAGCTCGCGACGCAGGCGGCCAATGTCGCACAAGACGAGAACGGGGACAAGGCGGAACCGGCTCCCCTGAAGCGGCAAGTGACGCAGCCCGTCATAATGCCGGAACACGAGTCTCTGGCGAATCTTGCACATGCTGCCACTGCTCCTGGGTTGGCACACGCACCCATGTCACCAACTGTCGAGACGCCAGTGGCGAGCGACTTACCCTTTGCAGGCCCATCGAGCTCGGGTCTGACAACATCGAGTACGGCTAAAATAGTATCCAAGTCAAAAGAAGACTTGAAGAGAGAAAAGAAGGAGCGTGAAGCTGCGGAAAAGGCAGCCAAACAAGCCGAGAAAGAGAGGGAGAAGCTCAAAGAGAAGCAGCTGAAAGAAGACGAAAAGAAGCGCAGAGACGACCAGGTTAAGGCCATGCAAGCGCGGAGGAACGAGCATGAGGAGCTGCAGAAAGCACTCGAGGCTAGCAAGAGGTCTGCGGCCCAAGAAGAAGCCGTAAGGAAGAAGGAGGAAGGCGGATCCACGAGCTTCCTCGACCGATCGAAAAAGGGTAGCAAGTCCATGTCGAAGCGGAGCTTCAGCTTCTTCAGAGACAAGAATGGACCGCCACTGCCAGACACTCCCGCGAATGGAGATGCTCCAGAAAAGGAGAAGAAGGGGCGCATGAGCATGGGCTTGGGGAGGAAGAAGAGCACGTCTTTTCTTTCATAAACGGGGTTAAGGCGGCTTGATTTGGATTTTGTTGATTCTCAAAAGATGTTTGCCAGGCGAGAGAGAGACGGGCAGACAACAACGCAACCGGATTGGATTGCGATGACGGCGTATGGCGAATTCGTATGTACGACTGATGATGGGAAACATTGCATCTACAGCCTTAATTCGAGGGAAACTTCTTCGACACCCAGGCATGAAAGACGGAGCTAGCATTTCTACACCTCAGGCAGCGGATGGCAGCGGTAACACCGGCTCAACGGGGTGGGGTGGCTTTTTATCGCGTCCGTTTGGCTCGAGGGGTATCAATATCCAGCTCACCATGGCGAGCTGATGCGTTTGTTGCTTTCTTCTCTTAATTCATCACCATTCTTACTTCGACATGGGGTGTCTTGATTCTTAATTCTTCTCTTGTGCATGATTCCCTTGTTCAAAGCTGTATCATACAATTCGCTCTTCTGTAGCTAGACGAGATAATACTAGGTATCATACAAAGGAGGCTACATGTAAGGGGGATTTCCGAGCCGACTATCCAATATACTACTTCTGTGGATGTTAGCATGGCTCGTTCGCGGGAGAAGTTCAATTCCAAAGAAACCAGGGATTGATAGCCGAAAGGTAACGAGGAGTATCTCCAGTTGTCTAAGACGATTTGTCTGCCCGACGAACATTATAAGTGCATGTTGCTGCTGGTAAGCACCCGGTCGTCCAGTTGCGGGGGATGGTTGTGCCGTTCCGACACAGCTTGTGTTCTAGGGGAGCAGCTCCGGACTTCATCTCACCTGAACAACAACCCCTGGACAGAGCAATGAGACAAGTGTCTGTTCTCACCACATTATATCGGCATATTCATCACTCAAGGGCTCGATTTGCTGCTTCTACTCATCATAAGCAGCGAGCTTGATATCGTGCACGCGTCCGAAAGGAAAGGTCGGGCACTACATTTCCCGTGTATTATGCTATATAGCAAGGCATCTAAGCCCAACACTGGTTCATACAACGATGCATGACCATCAACTCAATTAAACCAACATGGAACTCATAGGCAAGCACCAGTCTATCACGCTGTAACCCCCGCAGATACCACCATATAACCCATTTCACTAACCAGAGAAACCACCACAGACATGCTCCTCTTCGCAGTGCCCCTCCTGCACCTCCTCTGCGCCCCCTACACCAAAGTCGAAGAGTCCTTCAACCTGCAGGCCACGCACGACATCCTCGCCTACGGCACGCCCACGCGCGGCGACGTCGGCGCCCGGCTGGCCTCGACGTACGACCACTTCAGCTTCCCCGGCGCCGTGCCGCGGACGTTTGTCGGGCCGGTGCTCCTCGCGGGCGTGAGCCAGCCGCTGGTCGCGCTGGCGTCGGGGTCCACGCACGCGCAGCTCGTCGTCAGGGCGGTGCTGGGCTGCTTCAACGCCGCGTGCCTGGCGGTGTTCGCGGGGGCCGTGAGGGGCGCGTTTGGGAGGGGGGCGGGCAGGTGGTGGGTTCTGTTGAGCGTGAGCCAGTTCCATCTGATGTTCTATCTGAGTAGGACGTTGCCGAACATGTTTGCCTTTGGGCTGAGTGAGTTTTACCCTTCCCACCCCCTTTTTTCCTCTTGTATAAAGTCTTGTACCTCACATCAAAATCCCACAACCTATATGTCTTTCCACCATGTTCTTCCTGGAGCTCAGTTTTCATGAGATATACTCATCCTCAAGCGGGCACAGCAACCCTGGCATCCGCATTCCTCCTCCCTAAAAACGACGACCCCAAAAAGTCCCAGATCCGCCGCCGCCAAGCCATCGGCCTCCTCGTCTTCGCGACCGCAATCTTCCGCTCCGAGCTCGCCATCCTCCTCGCCGCCACGGGGCTGCACCTCCTGGCCCGGTCGCAGCTCGGCCTGCGCGAGCTCGTGGCCGTGTTCCTCGCCGCCTTTGCCGTCGCGCTGGCCGTCTCCGTGCCGCTCGACTCGTACTTTTGGCAGCGGCCGCTGATGTGGCCGGAGCTCGCGGGCTTCTACTACAACGCCGTGCTGGGGTCGTCGTCCAACTGGGGCGTCTCGCCGTGGCACTACTACTTTTCGTCGGCGCTGCCGCGGCTGCTGCTCAACCCGCTGTGCTTTCCGCTCGTTGGGCTGGCGCTCTACCAGCCGGGGACTTCGCGCCGAGTGCAGGACCTCGTCGTTCCGTCTCTGGTCTTTGTCGCCGTATACTCCATCCAGCCGCACAAGGAGACGCGCTTCATCTTCTATGCTGTCCCTCCGCTTACCGCCGCCGCAGCCGTAGGCGCCGACTTTGTCTCTGCCCGCCGGTCCAAGTCCATCTTCTACGGCCTCGCCACCCTTGCCATCGCCCTTTCTGTCCTCGCTTCCTTTGCGTCCAGCACGCTCATGCTGCTCCTCTCATCGCTCAACTATCCCGGCGGTGACGCCGTCTCACAGCTCTACGCCCTCACGGCGAACGTCACCTCGTCAGCTCCCCAGCTGTTCGTCCACGCGGACGTCCTCACATGCATGACCGGACTCACCCTCTTTGGCCAAAACCTCCGCAACTCCCCCTTCGGCCACGGCCTTCTCGGCTCTTCTCTTCCATCGTCATCATCGTCAACTCCCCCAGCTCTCGTCTTTGACAAGACGGAATCAGACGAGGAACTGCTCCGGCCAGAATTTTGGTCCCAGTTCGACTACATCCTCATGGAAGATCCCTCCTTCGCCCTCGGGACATGGGACACCATTGGTCAGATCCACGGCTACGACGGGATAGAAATCCTACGCCCTGGCCAAATGACAACCACAGCATCATCATCAGCATCCTCGCAGCAGCAAGATGGAAAAGGAGAAGGAAAAGAAGAAGAAGAAGGAGAAGAAGCTCATCATAGGATCCTCGGCCACGGGGCCACTGTTGCTGCCGTGAGGGATACGGTGAGGAAGTATACCGGAGGATGGTGGATTGGCCCGCGGATGTCGCCACGGATACACATCATGAAGCAAGTCCGACAGTCAGACGACAACTGATGTAAAACTCGAAGTGAGGAGAGAGTGTGTGTGTGAAAATCTTGGCAGGGGCTTAGAGCAGATAAAGTCTTGTTGCCTCGCGTACTTTTCTCATATTGAAGAAAAAAGGCAACTTTTCCAAGTTTCCGATTTATAATGGAAGTTCATGTTCGGATAATAAGTAGTGGAAAATAGCCGCAAGGAAAAAAAAGCAAAGAAAAAAAAAAGCAGATATATTTCCAAAAGTCTCAGACAAAATAATGTTGTTGAATCCCTCAAGTGAAAAGGTGAGTCAATTATCTCTTGTTTTCTTACTGCTTCTTTTTCCTTTCCTGTTTGAGTTTGATTCCCAGCTTTCATTTCTCCCATAAGCCTGCCTGCCTCCCTCTCCCCCCATGAACGAAATGCCACCCAGTCACTCGTCATTTCACTCACTTCACTCACTCAATCTCAAGCAACAAGACAACCCACAGCACACACACACACACACAACAACCACTGCAATATCAAGCAAGTCAGAACAGGAGAAAGACCAGTTTCCCTTGAGACGCTTCCGCAAAGGAAACCAAGTTGTGTCTTCTTATAACAAAATGCAATGACCAAAAAACGATCCAGCTCCTCCTCCCCCTTTCCCCCCCCAAAGAAGAGGTTATACAAATGACTCATAACAATATATGTAAGAGGTATAGTAATATAGTAAAATCGGGAAAAAAAACACACAGCAGCTGCTTCCTAAGCGCGCGCATCGAAACACACGTCCGTTTCCCTTCTCCTCTCCTGGAAGGAGTTATAAACCCAAACGGAGTTGTACAGAAAACAAAAGAGTAAAACAAAAAACAAACAACTTTCGCCGCAGTGACTGCGCCAACGCAGAATCTCTGATATGTATGATCCTTCCCGACCATGATTGATCCACAATGCAATGAGTAAAGGGGTAAAACAAAGAAAAATGGAGAGAGCCAGGAGAGATATCCAAAAACCCCTCTTCTCAACTCCGCCAACTCGCCGCTTCTTTGCCTGCTCCAAGCCCGCGGAACGGCTCCCAATTAAAGTCCCAATAATATAAGGCAAGGCATTCATCTGCTGTATGACAGTTTCGTAAAGTACCGCTGAGCAACTTGTTACTCGTGCTCAGTTTCGCTTCCATCCTCCACCACCTCCTCGACTTCCAGCTCGTCGTCATATTCGACACCGTTCTCAGTCTCCCCGTTGCTGCTGGTTTCAGTGTCGTCGAGCTCGCCATACTTCTGCTTGTAGCGGTCCAGCTCCTCCTTCTGTTTCAGGAAATAGTCGAATACCGCAGCCATGGGAGCACGAAGCTGGTTCAGCTCTCGGAGGGCGCCGCCTCCAATAGCAAGATGGCGCATCGTCAGGGTCGACACACAAGTCTATATTCATGTTAAATAATCAAAGCCCGACATCAACCAAGCATTTATGCCAAAAGAGTCACACAAAGCTTACCTCTATCCGGCTCACTTGATGTTCCATAAAGTTGATCAAGAAGCGTTCAGTGACTTCACCACCCCGAGTCTTCATGCGCTCCAGGAGTTCCGTTTCCGGCGGCTGAAGCCCGGGGCCCCTGACTTCCTCCAAAGTGCTGCACAGCATCTCAAGGCGCAGGCTGACTCGCCACAAGGACCATATCATATCGGGATCAAACGGCAGCTCGCCAGCGGCCATGACCGAGGTCGGCTTGTCCGCCAACAGATCTTGGCGCTCATGCTGTAGATGATATTCGATGCGGCCAGTCAAGGCATGCGGATACAGCGAATAGACCACCTCCGGGTTTTCCAAACCCTTGAGCTTCTTCTCTCCCATCTCCTTGACTTCGAATCCCTGCGAAGTCAGAGATCGCAGATCTTTGCGTATGGCAGTCGCAAGTGACACGTCGTCGAAGGAGGCTTCCGAGCCGGTGGACACGTTTCGGTCCGTGTCCTGGAAGTTCTCCAGACAGCGCTGGATTTCGGAGATGAAGTCTGATGACACAGTGATCTGGCCACCATCAGCAACAGCTGAGATTCGCGATGCCTTGTTGACCATGGGCCCAAAATAGTCCATGCGGCGGGTGACGGGGTCTGTTTCGGACACGCAGTCTCCGTAATGAATACCCATGCGAACAGACAGGCCCTTGAAGATGAGCGCATTTTCCTTGTCGTGGATTGGCTGACACGACATGGAATTGAGGACCTCTGACGGCCAAGGGACTTCGAGGAGTTCCATCTGAACCGCGAAGCACCAGAGGAGAGCCGAAGTCGCCGTGGGAAATGACACCATGAAGGCATCGCCTTCCGTCTTGACCTCGTACCCTCCGATCCGGCGTAGCTGTCGCCGCATGACCTCGTTGTGCAGCTTGATTGCTGAGCGCATCGCATTGGGATACATCTCCCAAAGAGTCGTGGAGTTCTTGATATCTGTAAAGACAATGGAGACGTTGCCAGTCGGAGCGGGGATTTCCGCCTCGAGGCGGTTGAGGGAAGAGTCGAGGACGTCTGCCTTGCCCTTCCGTCCCCTCCTCGTGGAAAGGAGATAAGGAGCCTCTGCGGGCACGCCCGAAGGGTACAGAGACATACTCGTGCCACGATGGAGGCGAGACCGCTCCACTCTCCTCTTCAGGTCAACGACGCTGATCATCATGACCATGATCTTTCCGGATGCGCCGTATGCCATCGCGATGTCGCGGAGCTTCTGGGCGGCACGCATGAGATCCTGGCGCTCAGCTCGCGCGATATCAGTAACGAGGCCGGGTGGCAGATACTCCCACAGCTCGCTCGTAGCCATGACGATGATGTCGTCGTTCTCTCGGATGGTCATGTTGGTTACATGAGGCGCAGCCATTACGGCAGGCATCATATCGACATATCCAAAGGCTCGTGAGACCTGCAGCACATCGTTGAGTCGGCCATTGCGCGATACCCACCCACCGGCTTCGCGGATCCTCGATCGTTCCGAGGGCTCTGCGGGATCGTGTTTCCGGGTCAGGATGTGGTGCTTGCTGTCGGTCTTGATAACCATGGCTTGCACATCTCCGACGTTTGCGACGTATAGCTCCGTGCCCTGAAGGTACAGGACGGTGGCGACTCCTCCAGAGTTCAAGTCCTCCCTACTAAGAATAACAGGCTGAGAGACACCCCGATGCGACTTCTTCTTCCTATCTTCCGAGTACTGGACGGCAACCGTCACGAGTTCTTTGTTCAGGGCCAAAAATGCCCTTCGGAGCGCGTCGACAGGCGTCTCGTTTTGGCGCGTCTTCAGAGCCTTGAGTTCCTGGGCAAAGATGTGTCCGAAATTCTCGTGAAGATACTTGGCAATCTTGGATCCGCTGTTTGACAATGCCTGGCCGTCAAAGAGGCCCAGCAGCATCTCCGTCTCGGAAGAGTTGAAGCGCGGAACGACAAGGTCAACGGTCGACAGGTGCTCGTTCTTACCCAGAGTGTCGGCCATACCATATGGCAGATGGCCTGCCAGCGAGCCAGATGTTCTGACTCGCCTGTCTTCGCTTTGATCCGGGATGCTGGGCTGAGTCAGAGTTACATCCATCAGTCCCAGTATCCTCAGGTTGGTCAGTCGGTTGAAGTCGGTGTACTCCTCCCTATTCACAGCGCCGGGGCCATCGATACCGCCCCATGCCGTCTGTTTGATCTCGAGTCGTTTGTTTCCCGAAAGGTTGAGATACCTCAAGTTGGGATTCAGGTTCCAGTTCCAATCATATGGAACATTAGCAATGTTGTACTTGAGCGAGTTATTACCGCAGTCCAGAACCGCAAGCTTCTTCGCTCTTGAGATGTCGGCCGGCAGATTCGTGAATTTGTTGCCATTGATGTACAGGGTTTGGAGAAGACTGGTTTCTTCCAAGTCATCTGCCGGGAGGCTGGTCAAGACGTTTCCGGAGAGATACAGCTCCACCAGCTGCGGCCAGCTCTTCATTGATCTCTGGGGCATATCGCTGATTTCCCAGTTGTACGACAGATTGAGAACCCGGAGCTCGGCAAGAAGAGTGATCTGGTCAAACACGTCATCATCGAGTCGGTTGTCCGCAAGGTAGAGATTCCGCAACGATCCAGCAAATGTGTTGGTCAATCTCGACGACAAGCCCGAGTCCTTCCTCAATGACTGAGTCGAAGTGGAGACCGTGTTCTGCGACTGTGAGGTTCCTCTAGACATGACAGACGTCTTACGTCCGCCCTTTCCATAGACGGATACGACTGAACTCTTTCGGTCAGCTCCGGGTATATTGGGCGATGGGCCCACGCTCAGCAAAGTGGTGCTAGATGCCTGGCTGGGCCGTCGCTCCTCTCCCAATTCGTCAGAGCTGCCGGAGGTAGAAAGCGTGCCCAATGGAGCCGACTTGCCATTGGTCGAGGGAGGACCCTGCTCCTCGCCGGGCAGCCTTGGGGCCCTTGACGCAGCCTTGGGGAAACTTTCCAGCATGTTGGAAGAGGCATTGAAAGTCTCCAGCTTATTGGCCCACCAAATCTCCATGGGCAGCTTGGAAATGTTGTTGTCTCGGACATCGAGGACCCTCAGCTCCGTCAGGCAGCCAATCTGGGGCGGTAGTTCGCCAACCGAGTTGTGCGCGATGCTGAAATGTTCTAGACGGCTCAGCATGCCGATCTGGGGCGGCAGCGAGACGAAATGGTTCTTGTCGAGGATGAGGCGTTCCAGGTTTGGCATGTTGGAGAATGCGGAGTCGATACTCGCCAGCTGACCTTGCGAAAGGTTGAGCGTCTTGAGGGTCGGGAGCGGCTCCAGGATTTCGAACTTGTTGAGCGGATTCGAGTTCAGCTTGAGTTGTCGAATGCGCTCAAACTTGCCGACAAAGGCCGAGATGTGGTTGTGAGCGGCGTACAAGATCTCCAGCTTGGGCAGTTCTGATATAACGTCGATGTTGGTGATGTAGTTGTACTTGATGTCGAGCTCGCGCAAGCTAATGAGGCCACGGAAATTGTGTGGGACGCCTCCGCTGAGATGGTTGTTGGTGATGAGCAACTTCTCCAGGCTCTTGAGCTGGCCAATCTCCTCCGGCAGCTCGGCGATGGAATTGAAGCTGAGATCCAAATCGACCAGGCTGCGCAGGTCGCATAAGAAGGGCGGGAACGTTTCCAAGAAGTTGGAGGAGATGTTCAAGCTCCTGAGTGCTTGGTATGCGCCAAAGTAAGGAGGCAGGTGCGTCAATCGGTTGTTAGCAAGATTCATTCTCAGCAGCCCCGTCAGCGCGTTTAGTTCGGCGTTGTCCAGCTGTTCTAGTCGATTGTTCGCGGCGTCCAGATATGTCAGCCTCGCGGCCCGGCCAAGGCTGAGGGGCAGTTTTCTTGCTTCATTGTTATTAAACTTGATATCTCGGAGGTTCTTGCAGGATTGGATAAAGTCCCTGGGCACATCCAGAGACAGGTTACGGGAAAGATTCAGGGAAATGATATCGTTAGCCTTGAGGTAGAGAGAGATGGGGATGGTGACGAGATTGCGACCGGAAAGGTCGACGTAGTTGACCTTTTGCGTGGCCTTGATGCCCAGGTCCGCAGTCTTTGAGTGGAAGTCGCTCTCCCGAGCAGACAGGAACATGAAACGGCACAGGTAGCCGTTGTCCTCCCGACCCAGATCCTCTATCCTGTCCTTTTCCTCGTAGCCGACCTGCTGCAAGAGGCGTTTTTGTATGAGTAGCGGCCGCTCGCCTGGCGTCAGGACGCGGATGAGATCGTGCTTCTTCATGATGATGTGGTAGTTTTCGAGGCCATCAACAACATATGTCTTCTTAATCACTTGGGATATGACCTCGGCAACTGTGGCATCCAGAGACATGGAGTGTGTCGAAAAGGTCCCGTCCGATCGAAAGATGCGAATGAAGTAGGGCGTCAGCTTCTCCTCGGGCCGTGGGGGGCTCGTGAGCTCTTCCACCTCGGGCTGCTGTATCGTGGTGTCCTCGGTGCCTCGGCGGACGGCCCAGCTATCAGGGGCATCCCAGCTTCCTCCCTTCGGCGGTGAAACTGCCGAATCCACGGGGTCAGGGTCGATGTTATTCACGAAGGACGTGTCCATGGGGGTCAATGGGGGTGGCTTGGCCAGAATACCTTCCATATCGTTCAAGTTGGTGTCGAGATGGTGGATGTGGCCAGATTCCGCGCGGTCGGTCGGCCCGATGGTGTCGTCGCAGTCGTTGGGTCGAGGGGGTCGCTGTTTCTTGGAAAATGGAAAGGTGTTCTTGAAGGTCGCGCGAGGCGCCGTCAGCGACCGGGTTTCCGAGGCATCGGACACGTCTCCAGAGCCCAGGACGAAGGTGGAAGGGAAGGCGGATGGTGACAGCTCGGGGCGCGTCAAGTCTGTCTTGGAAGACTTTGCCTGCAAAGACCTGGTAGACTGAGGAAGATCCTTCAACTTGGAGCCGCCGGTGGCGCCATCGTCCTTGTCCTTGTGCTGCCGTCGCAGGCGGCCGATGAAGCCAAGCTTGCCATGGTGGCCAGGGGAAGCGTGTCCCTCGGCCTGGCCAGACCTGGAGTAGGGCCCGTGTCCGCTGCCAACGCTCGGCGTCGGGCTCTGGGCTCTGGAGCGCGAGCTGCTGAAGAGCGTGCCGGCCATGCCCCCTCGGTCGCGCGGATAGGAACTGCTCGTGGAGTCTTCGCGGGTGGTGGTCGGCCGCAGGCTCCTGGGATCATCGATGCTCTTGTTATGGCGGTGATGGTGGCCGGGGAGGTGGACGATGCCGGGGCGCGACGACGACGACGACTTGGGCGGCACCTGAGGCGCGCCATCCGACATGTATCGTTCCCGATCGGGGCCCGTCATGATGTCTCTGACTGGTGCCTCTCCATATCGCGCAATGTCCTAGAGAGAAAGACGAGCAGGTTAGATTCCGTGTCACGATGAATTGCAGGCGAAACCGATTTCCAATTTCGACCCCCACTATTCGTGGATCGCAGGCGGCCCCATAACGAAAAAAGAAGTGGACCAGGAGGTGAGGCAAACAAGAGAGCTTACGCCGTTTCGGGAAAAGGGAGGCAGGGACATTTAGAGGATTGAAATATTACAGACGAGTAAAAAAAAAAAAAAAAAGATCATGAAGAAGAAAGGAAAGAAGGAAAACAATGTGCAAAAGGGGTGGGGAGAGGGGGGATGATGAAGAGATGGAGGTCGAGATCAAGGAGGTGGGGAGGGGAAATAGAGGAGAAGAAGAGAGATGGATCAGAAACACAAGGCGGACTTACATTGTTATCCTGATACAAAAAGGGCACTACTTCAGGGGCCGGAACTGGGGTCCTGGGCCGTGACGAAGCAGGCGAGGCATCCCTGGTATGATCGGTGGCATTAGAGTAGTTGCGATCGCGGTGCGTTGGGCGAGTGTGACTGTAGGAGCGCGATCGCTGGTCCTTGCCCATATATGAGTTTGGGAGGCTGCTCTCGGAGCTGTCGCGCCCAGGAAACTCCTCGCCAAAGAAGCCCTGCAGTTTGCGAAGGCCGCCACGGGGACCGCTAGCCTTGGAGCCAGTACTGCTAGCCGTCGTGGTGACACTAGCAGCAGATGGCCGTCGGCCGTCTGTGTAGTAGAGCTGCTCGGGAGAGTCTTGCAGACCCAGCGACGAGCTGGCGCCGGTGCGAGATCCCATGCCGTGCAGCCCGGGGGAGAACTGCGAGAAGATGGACATGTTGTCGGCAGACTCGTCGACGAGGCTCGGAGGATAATTGGGGTTTGGGTGGCCTCGCGGCGGATCGAGCACGGCTAGGTCGCGGCGGTAGTTGGTGAGGTCGCTCAGGCGCCGGCCTCCCTCTCTGGACGACGAGGGCGTCATGGCGGCGCCGCGAGTGGTGCCGGTCGAGGTGGGCGAGATCTGGAGGTCGTCATCTCGTGAGAGGCTCCTACACACAGCCGCAACGGCGCAGGGGCCCGCGTTAGACATTGCTTTCTGCTTGCCGGTGGATGGAGAGCAAAGAGGCGACGGGAAGGGCGGGCGGGCGGCACGAGGCTCGCCAGGACAAAGGAAGACGGGCTGGCGGAGGGAGAGGAGAGCAGCGAAGCTGGCAAACATGAACTTACTTGTGATGATGAGGTGTGGGAGAGTCCGTGTCGAGCTGGCCTGGGCCGATGCCGATGCCTATTCCCATTCCTACGCCTGCGCCTATGTCGGTACCTGCATCTTGACCTGCGTTTGCGTTTGCGTTTGCGTTTGCGTTTGCGCCAGCACCAGCACTGGATCCGGCGCCGGCGCCGTTGCGCAAAGCAGCATCGGTTGAAGCCGCGGTCGGGGTCGAGGGCTTGGCCGTGATGGAGGAGCGGGTGCTGCTGTTGCTGGCGCTGGTGCCGGAGCTGATGCGAAACGCAGCGTCCTTCTCCGTCATTGTCGACGACAGCTCCAGGCCACTACCATGCGATGCAAGAGAACCGGTGCTGGAGTGGTGGCGAGGCGCATTCACGTCATGCTTGGGCTCGACGCCGTGCCGAAGGAGCTGCCTGTCTTATCTCGCGGTCGTGCTGCTGCGATTTCCCGTCGTCTTGTCTGCGGTTGTCGGGCCCGGCCAGAGCAAAGAGAATTTTCGACGTCTGTCCGGCGGGCGAAGTATGACGAGGGGCTGGATGGAGAGCTGGGGGATTGCCGGCTGCGGCGCGGGATTATCCAAGTACAAAAAGTCACAGGCAGAGAAGCAGAGTGGCAGAGAGGCAGAGGCAGAGGCAGAGGCTTGACCAGACCAGCGGCTTTCCCAGCCCCAGAGCCGGTTTGGCAGGGCTGAACAGTTTGCTGCTTAGCTCTGAGGGGGTGTGAGGGGGTGGCCGGAGGGCCATTGGGCGGTTGAACTTGATCAAGTCCAATCGAGGCGAGGCGGAGGCTCGGTGGCAGAAAGCGGACAGGCACACGAACCGCACCAAAAGTCTCACGCATACGATACGCACACGCACTCGACAGCTCGCTTTACTACAGCAGCATGACATTCGTACAGTACCTAGACTACCTGCTGTCCATTCGGCCACATTTTCGTTTTTTTGCCAAGCATGTACCGCGCAGGTAATGTCGTAGCCGCCGGTACAACCCAAGATGCTCGAGGGCAGCGGTGCCGAATTTGTACAAAGCATCCGACGTCGAAACAATACTGAATACAGCAACAGCGACAACTTGGCGCGTTTGTATGGCCTTGGCCAACGCTCTCGCTAGACTGGACGCAGGCTCAGACTCGCACGCAATTCAAATTGAATCGAATCACATGTGCCACCGATAGTCCCTCGCGTGTCCCATGGCTTGCACAGGGGGGTGTACTTTAAAGCTACCTTGTTTTCTCGAGTCTCTGCGGACAGCTAAAGTACCGGCGGAGGTATATCACTATCACCCACCGCGAGAACAGTTATTTTCCCTATCACAATTTTTTGGCGGCAAGCCACGATGAGGGGAAGCTCTTTTTTTTTTTCCTTCGCCTGTCTGCGTTTTCCCACTGAGAGGGGCCGGACCGAACAGCTTTTACCTCTGGCAGCACTCCATAATAATACTCCATAGCACGACTCCATCTGCTCCATATTCCGTGCTTGTCGTAGCTTAAGAGGCATGGCCATGTACGAGTACTGTAGCATGACGCTGCCCAATCGATTAGCGTCCAGGGTTCTTCTGCTAAGCACGGCATATGTACATACGGACAAGCCCGGCAGTACTTTATCATTATTACATGCGTTTGAGTGATTCGCACAGCTGCAGCTCAGCGCCCTCGTCCTTGTCTGGTCTCGGGGCACTTTCCGCTCAAGTCAGTCAGTCAGTCAGTCGGCGGTACACACCAAGTACCAAAGCAACATGACATGGAAAGGTGAGACTCCAGATTTCGTTAGACGCAATCGACGGGAGCACGGCGCAGAGACAGCCCGTCAGCCGCGTGCGTATGATGCGCGCGAGCAGAGAAGGGAGGGAGGGAGGGGGGGTGGTCAAGGCTTGCCACAAAAGCTGGAGGAGCTTGGGATGAATCGAATCAGATGGCAGCGAAATACTGCTGCCTGTCAGACTGTTGTCTGGAGTTGACTACTACTTAGTGCACACAGAGCAGCTGCGCATCACCATCCAGGAGCCGGAATGGTGTTACCACTGCTTTCTGATGGCAATAAAGCTTTTGATGAGTACAAACAGTCTTTTTAGGCACCAGTCAATCAATTGCTTTGTCTGTCTTGTCCCTCGTATTTCGCAACGGTTTCAAGCTGCCATTGCCGGGACGCAGCACAAAGAGTCGCGGATGGCAGAGCGGTCAGATGGGGGGATGGGGGTGTGTGTCTAAGCTGTCCAGTGTGTGTACCGTAGGTACATACATGTAAGTGAGGTGGTGAAGTGCAGCAGCTGCATGCGTCCACCAGAGCAGCAGCCGTCACACAACGCAGGCAACGACAAACGAAGAGGCAAGACTCGAGATTGGTCCTGGTTACGAGACACCCTCATTTCCACTGGTTTCTTTTTCTTCCTGTCCGGTTCCCTCTCGTTGCTTCATTACGGCGCCTTTTCCAAACGGTCCATCGGCAGCCCGGGATTGCGGACTAGCGCCAGCATCCAATGGCGTGGCACCTGCATGGGCGCCAATCAAACGGGATCGCCCCAACCCGAATTGCTGGCCTTTTTTAGGTGCCTTAGCTTGGGGAAAGTTCCTATACTGGACGGGCTCAAAATCAAGATGCCTTGTCCAACTTGCAGTTCTTGCTTGCCTCGTCCAATGTGCCGCATCTGCCCGGTGCATCTACCAAGACAAAGAGCGGGCAGTAGACTTGATTTACATACTAGCTTCACGACACCTTTCTGGGGTAATAGGTACCTAGCCAGCAGTCAATCCAGCCAATGAACTCCTTTATCCACTCATCAATCCAACAAGCTGTCATAAGGTATAGGTAGCTCGAGGTACTCGCGAAGCTCGGGCTGAATACGGCAAAATGACGTTCTCCCCGCTCGGGGCGGCGGATCACGGCACCCGCAAATGGGCTGCCGCTCCAAAGTGGGCGTATTCCGCGGCTACGGCACTTTCCAGCATGGGGCCTGCCACACCACAAAGTCCGAGTACCTTGCAACCTTCATCTCTCCCGCAGTGCTGGGAGGTACAGGTACAGAGGCCGCCGTTACCCGTCCAGCGATTTCTGTCTTTGCTCTCTTTTGTTTGATCCTTTGTTAGCCGCTGCTGCCCCTCTCCATCTCATCGCTTTCGAGTCGAGCTGCTGGCTTGATGTTGATGCCGTGGTCACGCTGTCTTCATATCACAAACTCGATCGGTATACAAAGTACTGCTCTACCTTATGTTGCATTCTCACCCCCTTGGGAATCGAGGGGCGCTGACAGGTCGCGCACCTCGCCGTGGCCGCCAATAACCCGCTTTGCCGGGGTTCAGGGTCAGCTATATGTACATATGTTACATATAACGGCCGCGGATACGGGCCAGGGCTGGCTAATACTAGGTAATGTCACGGAACACCTTCATCTTCATTCATGCCGCTTGCCTTGTGCTTATGTCAAAGTAGGTCACAGTAAGATTTGACGGCGGCCGCGGCAGGCAGTTGCTGATTGACACTAATCCGCCATCACCATAACGTTCCATCACCTCTGTCGTTGATGACCGCAAGCATGAGCGGCATCGCCCGTATCGGGAGGCTTGCGGCGGAATGCTACTTCGGGTAGATAGACTTCCCTCTCATCCGGATGGCTATAACTGTCAGAATTGCATGCCAACTTACGTCGTAGCACGACTCTGCGTCACTTCAGCTGCCTCAAAGCACTGGCTGCCGGCGCTCATGCACTGCTGCACGCAAACATTTCCCTTTCGCGCTCTCCGCACCCCCAGCGTCTCATAATGCTGGTAGCTGAGGTGCCGTAATCTCGCTGTTGGGCATGGAGCCTCGAGTCCTCTTCTCCTCACGCAGCCGAGCCGCTAACACGGTAATGTCCTGGACAAGGCACACCTGAAGCTGCTATGATCGAGGTCAGCTCGGTACACCAAGCTGAGAGGAATCGAGTCCTTCAGCTTCATCCATTAGGGGATAGTAGTACATGTCGACGGGATGCCCTGGCTCGGCGCCTAATAGACTATCAGTTGCCTTTACACCTGCGTCTTTTGCAGAAGCACATGTCAGTCGCCTGACTGCTTGTGTCATGGCAGCGTGCAAGATAAGCGGGAGTCTGAGCAGTCCCACGGTCTGCAAGTAAAGCCGAAGATCAAGCCACTTGCACGGCCTCCTATGTAATTGCTGCATGGACGAGGACGAAAGCAAGGTGATTCAAATCAACTGTCATGAGAGGCAAACACTCTACTGGGCAGTTGGCCGGTGGCGGTCGCTTGTTTCAAGGTCCTCCCACCCCCTTCATCCTTGGAGAACAAGGAACGGAACAAGCCTGAAACAGCCAAAATGTCGACATCGAGTCAGTCGCATCAGCCTACCGACGAGATCGATCACTGCTGCATGGCCGCACTGACATTGGCGCATGAAAAGGCCTTTGTTTCGTGCGGAGGATTAGTAGTACAGTACATGTGCCTTGTACTACCTAGTACTCTGGTGCACGGATGGAGGCCAAAATAGAACTTGAAGCCGCTGCTGTGCGTTGGTCCAGCGTGGAGATTACATGCTGCTATTTTGAGAACGTCGAAGCTGGCTAGCTGGAGGCCAGATGTTGTTATTCGTAGGTACAAAGTAATTACTAACACGATGACATCCAGTTTCCGGATAAAGTCGTCTTGTTTCAGGACCAGCCATTGTCCTCGTCATCTCGCCACAAGACGCACAAAGCATTGCCTTCAGTTTGGTGTTGGTACGTACAGTATCCGTTCATCACGACTGCCAGATCTTGCAGCCATTTTCCCATACTAGCACCACGGAGTAGCTCGGCGCAAGATGCGGGGAGTTATCCGGCGCGTTCCCTCGTGGACTTGCCGCTTCGTCGACTGCTTCGCGGCTGGAAATACGGACAACTTGCACGGATTTAGCTGCCTGATAGCATCAATTCTGCGTCCCTGATATCAGTAAAATCCACGAATAATACAAGCCGTCTGCTGCGAAATGATGAAAGTGCCTCCACTATATGAGGAGAGCGAGGGCGTAGTGCTCTTACAAACAGTGGATTCCGGTCCCCGCGAATCCCCCCGCTATTGATACCGCTACGGCTGCGGTCGGTTTCTTCAACTCTGCAAGAACGAAGCATAGAATGTCCTTGTGTGAACCTTTTCTCATGCTCTTGATATTTCATATCCCATCATTGCATTGAATTAGTTTACAATCAACTTTCCTGTGAAAAGGTGGCGGCCATGGGCTCAACCACGGAACAGCTGCAAACCTGGTGGAAGGAGAGTTCGGTATATCAAATCTACCCGGCATCCTTCCAAGACACCACAGGTTCCGGAACCGGCGACCTCAAGGGCATCATTTCTCGCGTAGACTATCTCAAGGGCCTCGGCGTCGATATAGTATGGCTGTCGCCCATATTTGAGAGTCCCCAGAAAGACATGGTTCGTCTGATATTTCCTACCCTCAAGAGGCTTACCCTACATGTTCCTGAATTGCCATCTCGAGTTAATGTGCTCTAACCAACAGCTGCGTAGGGATATGACATCAGCGACTACAAGAAGATTGATCCCATCTACGGAGACATCAGCGATGTAGATACCCTAAAGGACAAGCTGCATGCACGAGGGATGAAGCTCGTCCTTGACCTGGTTGTGAATCACACGAGCGATCAGCACGAGTGGTTCAAGGAATCACAAAAGTCAAAGGACAACCCCTTCAGAGACTGGTACATCTGGCGTCCTCCCAAATACGATGCTCAGGGCAATCGACAGCCCCCAAACAACTGGGAGAGCCACTTCCAAGGTACGTCTATCATGATGACAGAAGCGTCACCCACTATGATGACGCGAAGTGATACACAGCTGGATCCTGACAATGCTACAAAACTCAAGGCAGCGCCTGGGAATACGACCCGCAAACAGACGAATACTACCTCCGCCTCTTCTGCAGAGAACAGCCGGACCTCAACTGGGAAAACCCAGCAGTGCGCCAAGCCGTCCACGATGTCATGCGCTTCTGGCTCGACAGAGGAATCGACGGCTTCCGAATGGACGTGATCAACTTCATCAGCAAGGACCAGCGCTTCCCGGACTCTGACAAACCGGTCTTGAAAGGCCACGAGTACTACGCCTGCGGACCCAGATGCCATGAATACTTGGCGGAACTGGGGGCTATCCTCAAGGAGTACGATGCGTTCAACGTGGGAGAGATGCCGTGTGTGCAGGACACGAATGAACTGATCAAGGCTGTCGGTGCGGACCGCGGCGAGCTCAACATGATTTTCCACTTTGAACAGTAGGTCCTTTCAAGAAGTCTTCGAGGAGCACCCCAGCACGATATATCCAAGCCATGAAACAGGTATGAAGCTAACCCCCAAAACCCAGCATGGATCTCGACTACGGCCCGAAAGGAAAGTTCTCCCCAGGGACATACAGCCTCGCCAAGCTCAAGACGGTCGTCAACAAGTGGCAAAAGTTCATGTACGAAAACAACGGCTGGAACGCCCTGTACCTGGAGAACCACGACCAGCCGCGCGTCATCAGCCGCTTCCTATACGACGACCCCGAGCACCGCGAGGCCAGCGCAAAGCTCATTGCCGTGTTCCATGTGTTCCAGGCGGGGACGCCGTTTATATACCAAGGGCAGGAGATTGGTATGACGAATGTGCCCAAGGAGTGGCCCATTGAGGAGTATAAAGATGTCGACTGCCTCAATCACTGGAAGTAAGTTGTTGGTAACGCATGAGCATCACAAAGAGCCCAGCCGAGTACATGTACTGATGCTGTCATGCTCTGCATAGCTTATACAAGGACACCGCCGACGAAGAGACCAAAAAGCTCGTCAAAGCAGAGTACCAAAAGAAATCCCGCGACAACGCCCGCACGCCGATGCAATGGGACTCGGCCCCGCAAGCAGGCTTCACCACCAGCAACACCCCCTGGATGCGCGTCAACGACAACTACAAGGCCGTCAACGCCGCCTCCCAGACGGGCAACCCGCGGTCCGTCTACCACACGTACCGCCGAGTGCTGCAGACGCGCAAAGAGCACAAGGACCTGTTCGTGTACGGCAGCTTCGAGCTCGTCGACGAGCCTCACGACAAGGTGTTTGCGTATAGGAGGAGGGCGGCAGATGGATCGGTGGCGGCGCTTGTGGTGTGCAATTTCTCGCTTGAGGAGGTGGAGTGGGAGACTGCTGCTGGCGACGTCCCGAAGGAGGTGCTTTTTAGCACGCATGAAAGATCGCTGGATGAGGTGAGTGGTGGGAAGATGTCGTTGGCTGGGCTTGAGGCGGTTGCGGTGCTTCTTTGAGATCCATGCCTGATGGTCTTGGTTCGACTGATGAGTTGGTCTGCTGCCATGGACTGACATAGACAATTCCCTTACGATCCTTTTGTTTCATCCAAATAGATGGGAATCATATAGAGAAGGTCAACGATCTTTAACGACCCTCGTAGACCTGAGAGTGCAAATATACACTTATCTAGTACCTGTTTCCTCGAGACGTTCAAGAGTGAAGCTACGAGTGTGGCTTATACCCTCCCTAACTGACGTTGCTACGGCTATGGAAACTCTAATTCCGTTCCCGTCTCTCTACCTTATTGCCCCGCACGGTATCCTTGCCTTGTAAAACCCGTGGCTGTCTGCTGTCTCTGTGAGCCCGAAGATACGCTCGCTTCACTTCCAGCGTTCGCGAACCATTTCTCACTGTTTCCCCCATTCAAACACCCTAGACGTACCATGTCTACAATGAGTACATACGAGGCCTTCAAAGCCAACTTCTCCGCCGCCGAAACTGCAGACGAGCACTTCCAACGATGCTGGGCCGAGCAGGCTTGCGGAGGGTGCCTCAACGGCAAAGGCTGCAGTTGGTGTCCATATGTGAGTTTCCCCCTGTACAAGAAAGGAAAAAAACTACAAGGTCACATATCTCTCCAACGAATGATGTTGATAAAACTGGGGCATAGACATGGTCATGCGTTCCAAATGAATCCGCAATCCCAATGCTGGCACCGGCCTTCCACAAGAACATCTGTCCGCATCCCGACGAGAGGTGGGAGCTCAGGACGAGGCCTCTCGGATGCGGAGTGTCCTCTGGCACGGCGCTGGCAATCGTGGCGACCGTGTTGGCAACGTTGACGGTCGTCTTGATCGTCGCGGCGGCGGTGCTGACGGTCCGGAGGATACGGAACTCGGGACAGAAGGTGATGGGTTGGGAATGGGCGTCTCGGTGGAAGAAGCGCGTCTGGTTCCAACGACGAGGCGGCAGAGCTGGTGATGCTGAGCGAGATCCGTTGCTATCCCCACAGCTGGAGGGCGCGCCTGAAAATATCTCATGAGGGCGCCGTGTGTCTTTTTACTTGGATGACGCTTCCCCCCCATCCTCATCACAAGAATGCAACTTTGAGTTTTCATCGAAAGTACGCGTAACGCACGCCCCAGCAGTTTCAGCCAGAGCTGACCGGCGGAATTATGGCCACCTCATCCGCCTCCTGAATCACAGGGCCCTCCTCGCCCTCATCCGGCACGTCTACATAGTCCAGGTTGACCGTCACCAGACACGAATCGAGGATCTTGGCCCGGAAGCCGGGATACCGCGTCTCCAGCTCGGCGAAGAGCTTTGAAAGGGGCAGCGGCGCGGGCAAGCTCTCCGCGTCTCGCCCGGTGAAGGAGCCGGCGCTGGCGAAGTAGAGGATGCTGAAGTGGCCGCGCGGGGGTTTGGGCGCGGATGATGTCATGACGGGCTTCTAGATGGAGGACTACGTGAAGAAAGAGAGAGAGAAGAATTGAGGCCAAGGGTGAGAGTGAAAGAAAGTATGATTATTGGAACTCTAGCTGCTGCTTTGTTTTCGGGTTTGTTAGCGTAGATGCTTCTCTACACCAAATGCCAACGACAAAATTTTGTGAGAGAAAATTCTAGGATCAGAGATCTTGGTGATAAAATATTACATCAAAGAAGTTCAGGTAATACATGCTGTTTATTTTTGACATCATCTAGAAAGTAGGATGATTGGCGAGCTGCAAAAAGAAAAAAGTTCTTGCACTTACAACATCCTGTATGGCGAACAATGTGTATCTTGTTCTGGAAGAAGAATCGTGGGTTGACGAAGAAGAGAGAGAAGGAAAAAAAAAGAGGTGCGGTTCAGAGAGGCTTTAAATAGTCATCGCCAGTGTCTCCACAAGGCGGCTCCAGAAACATTCAACCCAATGGAATCTAGCGGGCGCTACTAACAGTTGGAGCAATGCAAAATAAGGTAACCTCTTTTCAGGAGCTTGAATTGGTAGCTTTCAGCTTCCATGCAGAGAGAGCTTCTCATAATCTTGGGTATCATTTCCTCGCAGTGTCAAGTGGTAACAAACAAGTACTAGTAGTAGCACAAACTGCATCTATGACAACTTCTCTAGTCGCTGCTCCAGGTCCTTGACCCAGCCTTCCATGACCTCTACGTTCGTCTTCATGACCTTGTCGCCGTTGCTCACAGTTTCTTCCAGCTTCTCGATGCCTTCCTTCCACAGCTTGACTTCTGCTGTGATCTCTGCCTGCTGCTTCTCGATCTGGTCCAGTGTCTGGCTTGCCGTTGCGGCGTCGGCGTGGATCGCTCGGAGTGATCGCAGGCGGTCGAGAAGAGGAGGCAGTATAGGCGTCAGGTTCTCGATGGCAGGCAGGATCGCGTACAGGGCGTTGATCTTGGCCTCCTGTTCCGAAGTGTCCGCCGGCGGCGATCCGGCGTGCTTGCCCAGCTCCTCCCGCAGAGCCTTTGCCTTCTCGCGAGACTCGTTCAACTTGTCCTGCTCAGTGGCCAGTGCTCGTACCCGACGACTGATGGTGTCCAGGTTGGCAGTCGAGGCCTGCGACAGCGTCGAGATCTGCTTCTCCAGGGAGTCCAGCGTGGGAAGGATGGCCCGAGGGAGCCCGCCCTCGCCGGCCTCTGTTATGGACGAGGAGCTGATGCCGAGGCTTCTCTCCAAGATCAGCAGCCTGCGGTCGAAGTCCGCTGCCTTGGCGAGAGCATGGGTCTGCTCATACGTCGGCGCATAGGTGATGGTATACGTAGGCCCAGCTTCGAGCGATTCCGCGACGGGCTCGTCCGCGCCAGAAGCTGTCGGCTCGATCTTCTGAATGCTCGTGATGCCAGAGCGCCTGGATAGGTCATCCAGCGTCTGGCTTAGGGACTCCAGCCTCGTGTCGCCTTGAGCGCCATCAGCCTCGCCGGCTGCAGCACCCTTTCGCTTGGCGTATTCGTCCTTGGTTTCTTCCACCTCTCGCTTCAGACGAGCAATCTTGCGCTCCAGGCTTTCCACGTCGTCATCGTCCGAAAGGTCTCCCAGCTCTTCTGTCCCGTCCTGCAGTATCCGCTGGCGGCGGCTGGAGGCCTTGTACGATCGTCGCTTGCCGTCGACGCGATCTGAAAAGTCGGCTCCGCTGATGTCAATGGTGGCAGGGGAAAAGCGAGAGCGTGCTTCGTCAATGCGCAGTCTCGACCGCGAGATGTTCTGTGTCTCGTCGTCTTCTCCGTAGAACTCATCGTCGGAATGGGTCCGAGCCGCGGTTGTCTGTTGATTTCGTTAGTCGCTAGTCGATATTTACGAACGCTGGCTAGCCATAGTTGTTACCGGAACCGTCGAGTTGTCGTCTGTGAGCTCTGGGGTCTCGTAGATGTCTGGCGCGGAGTCCTGGGAGTGTCAGACGTGAAGCTGCGGTGTGTTTGACGCAGGGGGGCATACGAGATCTGGCAGCGCCGCATATTTGCGGTTGAGCGCCATTGCGAGTGTGGGATGGATCTGATTCGTAGCAGGCCTGCAGAGGCGTGGCCAGTCCAGAGCCGTGAGTGGTCTCTGTCGAGAGATCGAGCTTGCAAGATGAGAGCTTTCCAAGCTTGACAGTCAAGATCCGGGCTGTTGCTTCCAGGGGTCACCTCCCTGCAAGTACAGGCGCTGACAGCCTTGCAGCTGGTGCTATCGCGGGGCGCTAGGTAGACTAGGCCTTCAGGTTCCAATGTACTTTTGGAGGGAACCTTCAATGTTCTGCTCTGATAATTACTCGCTTGCAACAAGACCAAAATAGCACCGTATAATGACATAACGTTGTGATTCTCAAACGACCATATCTACCTGTTATATCAGCTGCTTGCTTCGTTCTGTGGGCAGCTGCCGTCTCCTGCCATTGCTGTCCAGGCAAAGGAACCCCGCAAAGGCGATATCCCAGCTTTATAGCGATGTGGCCGCCCACAGAAACTCACTCAGCCTGAACTGCCCAACTCGAACTAAAAGACGCCATCCCACCTCCGTGTCGTAACAACGCACGCGTCGTCCAAGACGCGCCCAGTGTAACATCCGCCGGCCACGACTCCAACTGCCGAGCAACGCAATTGGCTGCTGGGACTCTGCTCAATTCTACACAAGTACCGAGGCGGGCGGTCCGGCAGCGTCAAGTCAGGCCTGGAGGCATAGTAGCAATACTACCCTGGCCATTGGGCGTGTCCGGGCATAAAAAACAAAAACAGTCGGTGGCTTGTTTCGAGGCCACGTCCATCTTCGGAGCTGCCCTCTCTGGAGCACAGAGAGAGAGGGAAGCGGCATCATGGGTTCGCAGCCGACGAGACGAGTGGGCTTGAGCTCTCGCAACGTGCCGCAGCCTCTGCTCAAGTCGGTCAGGTCTAGGAACGGATCAACGACAGCAACGGCAGCGAAAACAACAACGGCACCCGAGCCGGAGTCCAAGGCTCGAAGTCGGCGCTCTTCGCTCAAGATTCCTGACCCTGTTCCTCACGACGATGACGACGATGACGAAGATATTACCGCACCGCCTCTCGCCTCTAGCGACCTTGAAAACAGCGACGACGAAGACGACGAGAATGCCGAACCCGCAGAAACCAAATCGGAACCCGACCAGCTCTTTGGCGACAGCTCGGATACAGACGGTCCTGCCCGAGGCGCCATCCCGTCCACAATTTTCAAATCTTTAGGCCGCGAAGGTGGAAGACAAGGCCGTCAAGCTACAGGTCGAGACACAAACACAGCGGAAGAATCCGAGGAGGAAGCGCAGCCAGGGACGAGGAAGAGGAAGAGGAAGTCGGACCCTTCCAACGACAAGAGCAACGTCAAAAAGAACGCCTTCATCGACCCGCCTGTACTGCCTTCACGCTCGGCCAGCCATCTCACCGACGACCTCGGCTTCATTAAGCAAGCCAAGGTGAAGGCCACCTTTGGCAAGAAGAACGCCACTTTCCAGGCGAACCGGAAACCCAGAGGTTCGCACAATGAATCCCATCCTTCAGGTTTCATGCCACAAATGACTGACATTGCCCCTTCTCAGACGAGTTGCCAAAACTCTTTAAAACTCCTGTTCCCCCGCTCCCTGGCCATTCGGTTCGAAAAAGCTCCCAGTTCATCGTGGCCAGTAGCCCTGAGCCTTCTCCCATCAGACGTCCCAGACGCTTAATAGAAGTCCCGCCCGAGAACAACTTTGACACCGAAGACGATGCCGATGCCCCGGCATTCAGCTTCGAATCCATCCCAGAGGAAGTCGACTTTTCTCCCAAGCTCGCTTCAAGATTCAAGAGAAAACCCAACCCCTTACTTTCTAGAAAAAAGCCGATAGGGGGGAGGAAGAAGGAGGGGGAGAAGGAGGAAGAGGAAGAGGAAGAGCCAAAGCTAAAGTCATCATCGCCGCCAGCACCCAGCTTCGTGATGCCCGCACAGCCCTCGGATTTCGTCTTCGCAGAAAACGCCAACGGTGACGCGGCCAACGACGGTAACCTGTCCGATTCCAGCAGCAGCAGCCTCAGCTCCCTCGGCTCCGTCTTCTCCAACAAGAGCAGCGAAAAGGACACCAGCGCACCATGCCCCTGGTGCGGCGCAACCGTCGACTCCAAGCAACTCGCCGACTTCTCAAAGGGCAAGCGCCTCAACGTGGAACGACAGCAACGGTTCTGCACCTCGCACAAGCAGAAGTCGGCCATAGCAACCTGGGAATCCAACTCGTACCCGCAAGTCGAATGGGCCACGCTCGAAGCCCGCTTCGCCAAGCACCGCGACCACCTCCTCGCCATCATCAACGGCGAGGCCTCGCACTACCGCACCGCCCTCGCGGACAAGGTCGCGCTCGGCCAGGAGCGCACCGCCAAGAAGCAGGGCAACATGATACCCGGCTACTACGGCCCGCGCGGCTTCAACGTCATGACGGACTACCTCGTCCGCGAGTTCAGCGACATGCTCATGAAGAAGGCCGCCCGCGACAAAGTCATCGCCGGGAGGGGCGTGCCCATGTTCATCGAGTCGGTGCTGGTGGCGGAGCTGGGCGTGCAGCTCATCATGGAGGACATGAGCGTCTCGCCGGAAAAGGCCAGGCGGATCCTCGAAGAGAGCAAGGACCTGGGAGGTTTGGTGCATCCGGAGGTGCGTTGATGGGGGTAATGAAATGGGCTGATTTTGATGATGGAGTGTGTTCTTTTCCTTTGTGGTATAAGAGGGAAGGAGGAGAAACGGTCCGTTGTAGCGAGTGTATGAATGATGTTATGAAATCGTTGAAGCGATCTTTGTCCGCCGTCAAGCTCGGTAATTCGTGGGAGCTCGTGTACAGATCCCGCCCTTGGTACATTAGGATAACTTGAGAGTAGTATAACTTGAGAGTAGTACTTTGGTTGTCAAACGAGATACCTAGCAGTTGATGATGGATGCCCCTGCAGCACGATGATAACAGCTAAGCAGCTTGAGATGGACTGGTGATTCATAGTATGATAATAGCCAAGACATAAGAATAGGCAGATCTGTTCGGTTAACCCTATTGCAATGATTCCAAACAGAAGCAATAACAAGATATAAGCCATCTTTCTTGAATCTGTGCGCCATAAACCAAAAGACTCGAGAGCATAAGATATATCCAGCACATTACTTTCCACCTTGAGTGTTAACAAGTATCAATATTGAGGCTGATGGATGCCCCATCCCATCAAGCGCTTTACTCAAGTTCCACCTGGCGAGACCGGCGGACCTGCTGCTTCAAGTGCCTCAAGGTTGCCCTCTTCCGCCTCGCGCCTTGACCCTGGCCTTGATCAGAGTCACCGTCACGAAGCGTCTCCAAGACCATCAGGTCTGCCAGAAACCGACGCAGCCGCAAGCCAGTTTTGTTTCGCACAAAGGCGTCGACTTCCTCGTCACAGGCTGCGGACGCAGCAATATGCAGGCCCCGGAGTACATCTCGATCGGTAACGCGGCCGTCGTCACCTTGACGGTCGTCTTCCGAGGTCGGAACGCTCTCTCGAATCGATGACGTTCTCACGGGGACATTCGGCGGTGCATTGGCCTGGTTGGAGACGCCGCGGCCACCACGGCAGCACACGCCAATATGATCAGGATCGAAACTTGGACGAGGCTGTGTAGGCTTGATGTCTCTGTTTAATTTCTCAGTCGGTAGACTCTGGTACTGTCTTTGATAGCTCTGGCCTCCCTTTGAACGGAGAGGGCGGACACGAAGATCGTCAGTCGTCTGCGCTCTTTTGCCATGCTGTCGCACGCAATAATGCTCGTGTGAGCTCCCTTTACCGTCGTAATCTCCGCCACGGTAGCCTTGGCCGGTTGCTGGTTCTCTATAGAGGCAGAATTCACATACTCCCCTATCTGCATCTCTTGGGCCAATGCTCTTGTGACGCGGGCTTCGCGGGATGGAATCGGCCCTGGGTCGAGCACCGTTTTCTCGACCACTGCGCTTAGATATTCTGAGAGGCGTGGGCTTGGGAGGTGGTGTTGGAGGCAAATCCCGGGACACCCTCGATGCGGTGTCTCCATTCGCAGTAGACCCGTCATCCTTGGCGAAGCAGGGAAACCAACGCCGTTTATGCTTCTTCTTCTTTTCTTTGGCGGGCCGCCGCTTCTGCTTCGGAACAGGTGCTTCGTCAATCAGCGCAAATCTCCATTCGTCCATGTCCTGTGAGGCGGCAAACGATATCTCGCTTCCTGAGCTCTCGCTGGAATATTTGTCCTTGGTGCCGTCGAAGCCCGGCACCTTTGAATGCTTGCCGCGAGAGGGATTGGTACGTCCTTGTCGTGGCTTTGATGAGATGAGCCTTGCGATAAACGCGGGAAACCCGCGTTTCTGATCCTTTGATGTTACTGCTAGTCCTGCTGCCTTGAATTCCGGACGAAAGGGCATCAGTTCAGATACTGTATGTAGCGATATACTAGACTTTGTTGGTGTTGATGGCGGATGCTCGCGTGTCCATGGATGCCTGGGTCTTGGAGGGTGCCCATGTCGTCTTTCCGCGCGATTAATCGACGGAAGGGGCTTGTCATGCATACGTGAATAATTTCCGTGTCGGCTGAGCGGCGCCTCTCTAGACGTTTGTGAACCTCGCTTTTCTTGATTGTTCTTTGCTATGGCGTTGAATAGTCTGAGCTGTTGGCAGACGCTTCGCGAAATGGCTTCCACAAGAGCAGAGTCGATGGAGGTGTGTTTTGAAGTGCTCGCAAAGTCGGCCGCACCATCGAGGAGCAAACTATGCGAGGACCTTGGGCTTCTATATGCGCACACGTGCGATCTCCGCCTGGCGTTGGGAGATGAGAAGTTGACATTCGCGAGGCTTGTTGGCAACCGGGGTTTTGGCACTGCTGGTGCAGGGCTTGGTAAAGGATTCGCAGTCGCAGTAATAGGGGCAGCTACGTGTCCAGGCACGCCCAAAGGTCTGATCACCGGAGGCAGTGGAAAAGAATCCAAATCGACGGACGGTTCAGAAGGCTCCCAAGCGTTGTCCATAGAGGATGCCTCATCAGCAGACTTCACAGTGGCTTTTTGGTATGAAGTCGTCCCGTCGTATGTCGAGCGAAGGTCCGGCTGAGCGTAATGAGTGGCGTCCAGAGGTGGAATGTGTGCCCCGCGAGACGGCACTTCTGCATAGTGCTGCTCAGAAGCCCGCCGAACATCACTGCTATACACCGACCCAGGAGACGTCGGTGGAGAGGATGGTCTGCCGATCGGAGTGGGCACCCGGCTGTTTCGTCTAGAGAGAATGACAACACGAGATTTTGGCCGCTGCCTTTGGAATGATGCCGTTGCAGCGCTGTCGCGGAATCGAAATCTGTTTCTATCAAGTAAATTAGAGGCGGCCTCGGGGATAGCTGCCAGTGTAGCCATTGAAATGAGAGTCCACGATAAAGAGAGCTTGACGCGCTGAAGCTACTGAAAAGTAAGTGAGGAGTAGTGAAGACGATAGTTGCTTGTTGCGATGGCTAAGAAGTTGCTTCGGTGGTGATCTAGGCATGGAACAGACGACATGTATCTGTGTTGTCATATTGACAAGGAGCTTTGAGAGGAGAAGGGCCATTGCGGCTGGAACACTAATGGAGACAGGAGCGACGAGATACGGATGAAGAAGGGCCCATGGACGGAGGAGCGAGCCGTAGAGCTGAGACTTGGTTGCTGTTGCCCGTGAATCCATCGCATATACCCGCGTAGTACATACTGCGGTGCTTGATGGCCGATGCCAGCGTGACGTAGTGCATGCGTATCTTGAAGTTGCCGAGGAGATGAAGGTTCAAGACAACGCTGCAGGCACGGAGGCACTGAGTAGGCGCGGGAGAGATGATTCGGCTACCTGATATCCTTGATACCAGGAGAGGAGTAGACGTCGAGCTGGCGATGGCCTTTGCGCAGCAGGAACTCGATGGCGGCAAAGTCGCGCTTCTCGATGGTTATATTGCGCGAGAACTCATCCCTGCAAGGAGATGATGAGCTTCAATATCCTCGAGAATGATGCGTCAAGATAAGCCGTATAAGATGGAGCTCCTCTTACCTCACAAACTTTTCAAAATGAGCTCGCGTGTCCTGTTCGTGATGTCAGTGAGACCGTGGAAGCAGAGAGACTCGAAGCTTTGCAGCTGCACACACCTGCGGCTTCTTCCTGCACTCGCGCAGGCACTGGCGGTACAGCGCCAGCACCTCCTTCTGCAAGCCTGACAGACGCATAATGAACGACGGTTGATTCCAGACACAATGGAGTCCTGTTCCAATGCTCCCGTCACACACACAGGCCCTGTTTACGCCGAGAATCTCCGCCGTTGACGAAAAGCTGCTGGTGAAAGGTGAAAGCTCCAGAAGCTGGCAAATCATCGGCTCATCGTTGGTGGAATATTTCCCGGCCAGTTCGACCCGCCAGCTGGGGAAAATCCGGAGAGCTTCAACGTGCTGCGTGGGGGTTCGGCGCCAAGCCGGAGACCGACAGAGAGAGTGCAGTGGAGGGTAAACGATGACCCGCGTCGATCTGGGGAGTTGCCGCGTTGCTACGGATGTCGATGAGCAGGGCGATGTCGGACAAAACAGCTTTGTTCCTTTAATAATACTAAGGTATTCTCCAGCAGCGTTGTGTTATTTTCTTCAGTTCAACTCCAGCTGTGTTGAGTGCTAGAGCGTTGTTGCGGGCAATACGAGTGTCCTTTATTCAGTCATCATGTCTGGCAGGTTTACCGTATGTACGATTTATAATACAGCTTCACACAAACCAAGACTAACACCGACAGCGTCTCATCCGCTTCCTGGCCAAAGACGGCCGCACATACTACGGCGATGCCATCCTGCCCCAAGGCGTCAGCGACGTTGCCAAAGTCCAGCGCGCTCGCATCATCGAGGGCGACGTCTTGGGCAAGTATCACGTAACGGACCAAGAAGTCGGCGTGCGGCTGCTGCTCTCGCCGCTGTCGCAGTCTCAAGTCGGGACGGTCCGATGCTTGGGGCTCAACTACGCCAAACACGCCAAAGAATCCAACCTGCCGGAGCCCAAGTATCCCGTGCTGTTCTACAAGCCCGTCACCTCTCTGTCCGGCCCCGTTGACCCCATCCCCGTCCCGTGGATGGCGCAGGAGGGCACTGGTCTGGACTACGAGTGCGAGCTCGTCATCGTCATTGGCAAGAGGTGCACAAATGTAACGGAGGCCGAGGCACTCGATTACGTGCTCGGATACTCCATTGGGAACGATGTCTCTCACCGGGACTGGCAAATCAAGCATGGGGGAGGCCAGTGGTCCCACGGCAAGGGCTTTGACGGCTGGGCGCCTTTTGGACCGGCCATTGTGACGGGTGATGCTGTCAAGGATCCCCAGAATCTGAAGATCTGGACCAAAGTGAACGGACAGACGGTTCAGGTATGTGACTTACACCGAAGGAAGCAAAGGTGATTGTGCGGCCAGGCTGACACTTGGACAAAGAACGGAAACACAGCAGACCAGATCTTTGGTGTGCGAAAGACGATATCTCTCCTCAGCCGCGGCGTGACTCTGATGCCTGGCGACGTCATCTTCACTGGTACTCCCGAGGGCGTGGGAATGGGTCGGAAGCCGCAAGTCTGGCTCAAGGACGGAGATGTCGTCGAGGTTGGCCTTGAGAATGTTGGCACGTGGTACGTAACTGAAGCTCTTCCCCTTGATCCTTGGGAACGTGATATCATCAGGGCGACGCTAACCATGGGCACCTTTGCCGTGCTTTGACATAGTACCAACAAGGTGGAGTTTGAGGCTCCCAAGGCTAAGATCTAGAGGGAGTCGTCTGGCGAGGCTATTCAGGTGTAAGGATGGCTTGCAAGGTGAAGCTCGGTGATGGAAGATGGTTTAGTCTATTACCTGTAGGTACCTTACTGACCTCATACGGATGACCGTGCGTTGATGATGGAGGTGTGGCTACACGATCACTGCCTGGCATGGACCATTAGAAGCTTGTTTAATATCGCCTATCAACACTTTTGGATGATCATATACCACAAGAGCCAAAGTTATGAATATAATACTAGGTAGTATGTGTGGCAGTGCTCTTTTGCCCAGAGAGCTCTCGGTTAGTGCCTCCAGGGCGCCCACGTGTAAGCCTTCAGTGGACGCCAGCCAACCGCCCGTGCGGCTGAGGCGCATTTCGTCCAGCTCTTGCGCAGCTCAACCTGGCACTTACACGTACGGGCACGATCAACCCACCATTCCGCAGCGGAATCATGCTCCATGCGATCACCTTTTGCGAGCCGGCCGTTTCTGCCGCTTTCCTAAATCAGCCTTATTGCTAGATTCAGGCTTCGTCGAAGCCCTGCAGCTTGTTCATGAACTGGCTGGGCGTCGAAGCGGCTACATGTAAACAGCAAGCGCGAAGCTTTCAAGACTTGGCATTGCTTTAGTAATTAGCAACATCACGGGCACTCTTCCATTCGCCTTGTGTTTCCAGGACAGCGATCCCGACGAAGGGAGACACCTTCTAGTCTATGTGCTCCGGCCAGTGGCTGAAGCAGCGCTAGCAGCTCAGCTGCGACGCCTCGCAACGAAGATTCGATGCTGCCTCTCCACTCTCTTGGATGTTTTCCACCAACTACCTTTGAACAACACACGGCGATGCTTCCCGAGGATGCAAAAGCGGAGGTGCGCGTCTTGACGTCCTACAGGCTGGGGCTTTGCTTAGAGAGATGCGTGTGCATGTGCTGGTTGCTCCTCCAGGCGAAGGGGGCGATTAGCTGGGCTCAAACGTGGTCGACGTGATGAGGGGCTGGGGCCCCGAGGAAGAGGCTGATTTGCTTGAGGTCAGGGTGCCTTGCTCGATTCACATGGATAGATAGGCAGTCCCTAGGTTCCGCGGCTCTTAATCAGGGTATCATGAGATGCATGGAGCACGATTTCATTTATAGCGTCCAGTCAGAGTGGTTGCAACTGGCTTGGAGCTGTTGAGTACTTTCTCTCAGATACATACCTTGACCAAGTTCATTCTTTGAGGAAGCTCCTTGGTGGTGAACATGCATATACATCTCTGCCGTTTTCTGCGGTGTGTAGGGGATTGTCTTTTCAAGTTACTCTCGGCTCCGCGCTCACGGCTGCTGCTCAAGGATCGCATCACCATGACTACATCCACCGTCGAGCTGCAAACTATCATGTCCGCTTCTCTCGGGCCAGAAGACTGCATCGACTTCTACGAGAACCCGTACACGGCTCTGGAGAAGCTTCAAGATGCTGGAAAAGTCAAGGAGATGGTTTCAAAGGTGATGAGAGAAACACCAGCCGATGGAAGCATCAACGACATCGACTGGCGTCAATACGAACCTCCCACGGCCCTCAGAAAGACGCCCAACGTCACATCGCAGATCCTCCTTAACATCATCTTCTCTTCGATCGAGAATGTCAAACGCCGAGTGGCTGAGGAGCAGCGTATAAAAGCGGAGGCCGCGGAGGAGGCTGCTCGTCGGACGGCGGAAGGGAAGCACAAGGCCAAGGGAAAGGAGCCGTATCTGCCCATTGTCATTGCATCCGAAGAACCGCCACTCGCCGAGCCATCAAGGACCAGTGCCAACGGCCCGGCACAGAGCTTGACCGCCCCGGGTGACCAGGGAGCACCAACCAAGGAGGAAAAGGTCGAGAAGCGTCGCAAGTTTGCTCTTCGCAGGCTGTTCCAGCGCAATCTGGACAGGGGTGAGAGCAGCGCGGCCGGGTGTGCTCGAGAAGCTCTTCGAAACAAAGTCGAGACCCAGATCCAGTCCGTTGATCCGAAATCGGCCGATCGCAAGGCGTTGGAGGCGATTGCTGCGCTCAGAAAGACCAGGCTGTTCAAGCCTGCGGATGCGAATGCCGTTGTGTAAGTTGGTTAGACGTTATTCAGAGTCTGTTCGTTGTCTGCTGGCTGACCATACCTCTTCTTCTTCTTCTTCTTGCCAGAGAATGCATTTCGTGCCTCGACGACGTCGCTGTGAAAGACACAGTCAAGGTTCCATGTCATAACTATTGCCGTGACTGTTTCGTTCGTTTGGTATCAGCAGCAGTTCAAAACGAGCAGCAGTGGCCGCCAAAGTGCTGCTTGAACCAGATCCCCTTCAAGACCGTTCTCAAGAACATCCCCGAAGAGCTCAAGAAGAGGTTCCGCGAAAGGTCGTCAGAATGGGGAATCCCCGTCAGCGAGCGGGTGTATTGTCACAACGCGGACTGCGGCGTCTGGATCAAACCCGGCCGCATCAGCCTCGTCAGGCGTCAGGCCCGCTGCGAGCATGGCCATGTCACCTGCATCATCTGTCGCGGCCAAGCACACGGCAACGACGAATGTCCCCAAGATCAAGACTTGCATCTGACCAAGTTGCTGGCAGAGGAAGAAGGTTGGAAGCACTGTTACTCTTGCCGTGCTTTGGTGGAACATAAAGAGGCCTGTCAACATATGACGTGCAGATGCGGTGCTCAATTCTGTTACGTCTGCGGCCTGCGGTGGAGGACATGCGGTTGTACGATGGAGCAGCTACACGCCATCAAGGATGCGGCCGAAGCCCGCAGGGCACAGAGGCTGGTGGATGAGCGGGCGGAGGCAGAGGAACTGCGCGAGATCCTCGCTCAGATTGAGGAGTTTGAGCGTCAGGAGGCTTGGAGGCTAGAGAGTGAACGGCTGGAGCAGGAAAGGCTGGAGTTGGAACGTTGGCAGGCTGAAGTCGAAGAGAGGCTCAGGGTAGAGCAGATTCGCCGCCAGGAGATTGGAATCAAGTACCAGCAGCTGCGCGAGATGCTGGAGGGACTTAACGAGCTCCAGCAGATCATGGCCGATTCGAAGCAAGACGAGAGCGCCCGAGATCTGGCCGTAGAAGCCGAATTGGCGAAGAAGCACCTCGAGGAGAAGCAGCAGGCCGAGCGCGAGAGTCTCGACTCGCTGTTGTCGATCAAGCTCAGAGCCAGGGAGGATCGATACGAGAAAGACTACGCTGCCCGAGCGGCCCTGGAGTATCAGCTGGTGGAGGATTACCTGGCGCAGCTCCGCAGCTTCTGGGCCGACAAAGCCGACGGGGGCGAGGAACGGGTAGTACAGGCAAGCATGCTGCCCTTGCGCCAGCGCATGGATCTGGCGCACCGGACGTGGCAGAGATGGAGGGACGACCAGTTGCAGCATTACCGGAGCAAGCTTGATGAGGAGCGGACTGTGAAGGAGGAGCTCATGTACAGCTCGAGGAAGAGAATGGACGCATTGCATGTGGACAAGGAGACGGAGCTGGCGAGGCGGATGGTGGCGGAGAAGAAGTGGATTGAAGAGGTGTTTCTGGAGAGGGAGCGGCTGCTTGTTGGGATGGAGCTTCAGGAGACGGAGGATGATGCGGATAGTTTGTTTGCTGCTTGAAAGAATGAGTAGAGGCGTAGTACCTGGAATGGGAATATGATCATGTAAAGTGCCAGCCTTGATGAAGCATCTTGGCGCCTCCTTGGTACCTGTGCTACGAAAAGTGTCGACTATTCAGGACTCTTCAACAGCTAGTCCATACACATCGTCGCCGCCTATTGTCCCTTGGGCCCCCATTCCAAAGACTATCGACTTCCTGTCAGAAGCATAAAAGTACATACTACTAGCTGCATAAGGGGGAGCCGGTTTTCGGGGCATTTGATGTGAAGTCCTCTCGCACCGCTCCCAACCCCAATCAGCTGGCGGTGGTTCGGGATGTTGACGCAATCCTCGTCTACATAGCCAATAGCAAAGAAACGGTCAACTACTGTTAGTCTTGCTGAGGATTTGTCAAGTCTAATGTGAGCAATACAACTACTCCTGCGCAAACGAGTCTGGGCACGGATAGGGAGATACACCCCCCTGTTTGGGTTCAATCGTACATGTGGGTGAGTTGACTGTGTATAAGCGTGGCTACCAACAACGGCAGTGCCTTGTCTCCTTTACGAGGGCTCTAGAAAGTCAATTTGAGAATGCGAGTAGTATCTCGGAAGTTTCTCAGGAAGTGTTCGTCTCCATCGAATAAGCCCTTCAACAGATAGACTTTGAGGGTGTGAGAAGGCGTTTCCGAGGCATGGTCGGTAGTTGCGAGAAGATTCAACGAGAGCTGCGTGTAAGCTATCAAGTCGTCTATCACTTCTGAGGACATTGCCGCAGTACTGTACTATTGGCTCTGTTGGATACGGAAGGGGGTGTAATTAAGGAAGTGACTACATGGATTCAGCATCCCCAAATCATAGATATAGAGTAACAAGCTTAACCGAATACACTCTGTTTACTAGTAATTGAAGTATATAGTAGCACGAGAAGAGTACAGGCAAGCATAGTAGCAGGACGACGCAGATGGTGACTATATTAATCCTTTATAGGAGATGACTTGCCCCTGTGCCTCACAGCATAATATATGTAGGCAATTTTGCGAGTGTCGGTGGCCTTCATGTTGGACACAATGGTGGTTCATGCCTTTCGGGATTGATGTCCGGAACAAACATCTATAGTCGCAAGACTGGGGCTGATCTAACCGTCTCTGCATCTCGTTCTCGGTTCCTTCCCATGATATCAATGCCATTTCCTCCTCTTGATAATACTACTGTATCACACCAATGTTGTCCATACATATAGCATCCAAGAACCATGGAAGTTGATGACGACGCCCTTGATGGCGCTCCAGTGCCGCCACAACGTGTCCGAGGCCACTAAAACGCGCCGCTTCCAGGCGTCTCACGCCATGAAGCAGGCGCTAAAACATGACTCCGGGTGCTAACGGTGTCAGCCCAGCCACTCAGAGGCCTCGACTCTCCCCGCATTGGGCATAGACGCGGGCCCGAATCTCCCCTTGTTTCCAGGTTCTCTTCTCTAACACGTACATCTCCAGATTCTCCTCGTCCAGCCTGTCGGGTTGGCGGCAATACTACTAGTAGTACCAACCTGCTTCCTGGACTTGGTACTAGTACTACTACCTGGTCAGCTCTTTTGAGGCGCTGCTCTACTCTTGATTTGCTCGCTTCCTTGGGACGGGAAGTGCCCGGCGTCTGATGGGATTTTGGGCCTCGATCTAGGGCGGCGGAAGCGGCCGGGCCAATGCTGCAGCCCGAGTCTGGCCAGGGCCGGCACTTCTTGGATCCGAGTCGGGGCAATTATTCAAGGCGCAAAGTGTATCAGCACAGAGGCGGCGGACCGTCGCGCGATGGGTTTGGCGCTTTGATGGGCATCGGATGCTCAAACAGGGTGTGAAACGGACGAGAAGGGGACTGGATATAGGTGAGGATGGTGGTGATGAGGTAGGTATCTTGGGACTCTGCGGTCGTGGCTCATCTGCAATCGGATATCTCCCCAGTGAAGCAATCGTGGGGAAAGAAAACAAGACCGAATACGACAAGTACTACTGCTGGCATCTGCACTTCAATGACATCAATGTCCTGGCAAGCATCGCATACCTTAGGATTCAATGCACCACAAGCGGGCGCTGGAAGAGCGGATGCAGACATGAGTCCATGCCCGCGGCTACCTGGAACACGGAGCATCAACGGGCCTCGACACGGAGCCTCTTCCTTCTCAATGCTGCCCTTTTGCTCTGGTTGGGGCCACGACAGGACACCTTTCCAGCACCAAGCAGGCAAGCGAGCGAACGAGATCCAGGAGACAACCGCTAGGCCCTCGGTGGCGGTGTTAGTCCTTACATGTGGCTTCTCGCAACTTTGCTTCCAACAGACAAGCCTTCGTCTTACCAAGTCCGGTGGGATACCGCTATGAAGCCCCTTGGACCCCCGTTTATGCAGCCGAAGCGGTCCCATCTGGGATCGCAGTCGTCTCAGCTGGTCGTGAGGGAGACTGCCGGCTTGGCTCCGAACGATTCAATGGTCAATGCGACATCCAATCTGGTACGCCATCCTCCGAACCGGGGCAAACGGCCCTCATTAGGAGCTCCCTACTGGCTTGGAGGACGGAGTCCTTGCAAGGGCATTGCTTGTCTTGTTCTCGACGAGTTGACACGACTATCGCTTTACACTTGTTCGAGGTAAGGTGCTTAGTCGTGGTGCCTGTTCTAGCTTATACGGGAATCGGAAAACGCACTGCAGCATTCAATGTTTCTATAAACAGATCTCGAGGCGTCAGCTTGCTGGTTAGGCAAGGCCAGGCTAATGCCTTTCCCAACTTCCAACCACACACCCCTCCCCAATCCCGTCCCCATGAAGCCCCCAATTACAGCCTATCCTCCCCAACCTTCAGTCTTGTCCGTACTCGTACTCCGAAGATGTGACGAAGCTCGTTCTCGTTCAAGCACGGAAACGGCGGAACCCGTCAGGGGCAGTGTAGCGCGAGCTCAGACTTGCAGCTTGGTTTAATGCCCGGCAAGCGTTTCGGGAACCTGGATGGACGAGGCGCGACCTTGGTCTCGATTGTCGGGCGCTATGCCGTGCTTCAGTCCCTCCTTGGGATAAGGCGGCCCGTGAGGAGTTGCTGACTATCCGCTGCTTGGACGATCAAGAACTGAGGACTTGTTGTTGGGATGCATATAAGAGCAGGACACCCTCATGTTTCTGGTTGAGGCTTGATATATCCCCCAAACCAAACAACCACAACCGACTCAAGTATCATCTCCGGCTACAAACAACATATTCCTCCATCTCGCCTTCCTCATCCTTTCAACAATTCTCTCCAAACGAAACGAGTTAAACAAACAACCGCCAAGATGCTCTTCTCAACTCTCGCCGTTGCTGCCTTGTCCGCTGTCGCCAGCGCAAAGACCATCCGCATCGACGTCGGAAAGAGCGGCTTCAACTTCTCGCCCAACGACATCAAGGCGGATAAGGGCGACATTCTAGGTATGTCACCAGCATGAACTATAGTGAATCAAGATTATGAACTAACAATATTTCTTCTAGAATTCCATTACTTTGCCATTAACCATTCCGTCGTTGCCGCCGACTTTGCGAAGCCGTGCCAGCCCAAGGCGTCGGGCGGCTTCTTCTCAGGCTTCTTTGCTACCGGGTCTGGCGAGAACGTGAGTCCCCCTATATAAGATATACACAATCTCTGGCGGATCTACAAGAAATACTGACACGCGCCGTCTGCAGAAAAACGTCTTCCAGGTCACGGTCAACGACACCAACCCCACGTGGTTCTACTGCTCCCAGCCCATCGGCAACCACTGCAGCGCCGGCATGGTCGGAGTCGTCAACGCCGGCACCGACAACACGCTGGCCGACTTCAAGTCCGCCGCCGAAAAGGTCAACTCCAACGAGTCACCCAGCGCCGGGCCCTTTGGCGGCCGCGTCTTGTCTGCCGCCGCTGCCAGCTCGGCCAGCGGCAGCGGCAGCAGCACTACCGGCACCAGCACCGGCACCGCTACCACTGGCGCCACTGCTGCTGCGACCACCACCAACGCTGCCAATTCCCTTGGCTCCGTCGGCGGCATGGCTCTGGCCGTTGTTGGTGCTGCCGTTGCTTTCGCCGTCTAGGTATGCTGGACTGAACTCCAGTGGATGGGTTGATTGGGTGAAGTTGTGAGTTATACGTCGACATGTACGATGAGTCAATGGTTGGTTTTCGGTGTTGGTTTCTTGTTGTTCATTTCTTCCCTCTCTTGTGCTTTCTTCTGCGAGAGGCAGCGTGCCGAGAAAAGCAAACAATAATGTCCTTTACCCCTGCTGCGAGACCTGGCCTCGCCTTCTGTTATTATACCAATTGGTCCAGGGAATATACATAGAGATGGGATTCGATATACGGATCATGTATGAGACTTGATGCTTCACATTCCCCTCAAGTGCCTAGTAGAGATGGTGGCTTAATCCAGTTTCCCAGCGATTGAAATGGTTCACAAGACCTTTGTTGAGACTTCGACATATTGTCCTAGAGAACTAATGTTGTGTTTCGATTTGTTTCAAAGACGTTGAATGAAACCGTTTCGCCTCGATGCAGCAGCCAAGCCTATATTAGTCTTGCTTTAAGCCCCGGACTGAGCGTTGATAGTGGGGCCGCAGTCCAGCCTCACCAGCATGCCGGAAAAAGCTTATTCATACACGTGCAACGACATGCCATCATTGTCTCCCATCAAAAAACTTGGACATGTGAATATCTCGAAAACTCACCCAACCAGCCATCATGGGTTCAATCGACAGAGACGAAGATGCACCACTACCCTCCTTGCAGCAGTACGTATCCTCCCCACGTCGAACCTCGACTCGACACGTTCCCGGCAGATGATGAGAAAAAAAAAAATATTCATGATTGCAGGGTATGTAAGTCTGATGCTCATGAGTGCTAACATGAAAACCCCAGTCCCCTCAAGATCTTTGATGCGGCGAGGAGGCAGGACCGGTTTCTATACGCCTGCGCGCCCATGGTGCGCTACAGCAAGGCAAGTTTCCCATCGTTACGCACAACTCCGGTTATCAAGTTGCTGTGTATAGGAATCACAAGCTGATGATGGGGGGACATGTTCACGAATTTGCGCAGCTCGCCTTTCGCCAGACCGTTCACAAATATGGCGTCGATCTATGCTGGACGCCAATGATTCTCGCCAAGGAGTTTAACAGGAACCAGTTCGCCAGAGACAGCGGTACGCCTTTTGCTCTCACCAAATCTATCACGAAGTTTTCCACGATGTAGCATGGAGACGCAGGGATAAATCTAGACCTGACCACAAAAACTGCCCAGACTTCACAATCTCAACAACCGGCATCCAACCCCCCACCATCGTCCAGTTCGGCGCAAACGTGCCCCTGGAACTCGCCCGCGCGGCGGCCCTCGTCGCGCCCTTTGCCTCGGGCGTCGACCTCAACTGCGGGTGCCCCCAGTCGTGGGCCTGCGCGGAGACGCTCGGCGCGGCGCTCATGAACAAGCGGGAGCTGGTGCACGACATGGTCGTCGAGACGAGGCAGCATCTCGCGCGGGACGGGTGGGCGGTCGGCTTGGAGAGGGATGTCGATAGTCCGAGGGGGAGGAGCGTGAGCGTCAAGATACGGGTTCACGATGATTTGAGGTGAGTTTTCTTCGAGAAAGAGGGCTCCTGATATGAGAAAGTTCTCATATACCAGCCATGAGAATTGAAAAAGCAATCTCACACAACTTTCGGTTCAAAAACTTTGTAACCCCGTCGAAAATTCACTCCCTTCTAATTTTAAAAAAACATGGTCCCAGGAGAACAATGGACTACCTCGACACCGTCATTGGACACCCCCAGAACCGCCTCGTCGACTGGATCACCATCCACCCTCGCACCCGCCACACCCCCTCCACCACACCCATCCGCACCGAAGCCCTCGAGATCCTCACCGAAAAGTACTCCCGCACGCTCCCCATCCTTCTCTCCGGCGACGTCTTTGATCTCGCCGCCCTCCCCATACGAGCAACAACCTCCTCCTCCTCCTCCTCCTCCTCTTCTTCTGACGTCCCCGATCTCGCCACTCTAACCCTCAAGGAAGACAACCCGCCAAACTCATCATCCACCCCATCTCCATCAAATCCAGCCCAACAACAACAACAACAACAGCCAAAGCCCAGCAACACAAACCTCGCCGGCTTCATGTCCGCCCGCGGCCTCCTCGCCAACCCGGCCCTCTTCGCCGGCCGCCCGCGCTGCCCCTGGGAGGCCGTCGAGACCTTCATGTGCAACGTCGCCCGCTGCCCGCTGCCCCTCAAGCTCGTCGTGCACCACGTCCAGGAGATGTGCGGGCCGGGCATGGGCGACGACAAGGCTGCGCTGCTGAGCAAGAAGGAGAGGGCGCGATTTTCCGAGATTACGAACATGGCGGATCTGATTGACTTCTTGGATGAAAAGATGGAGGAGCATACGGGGCGAAAGGGGGGCATGAGGAGGGACTTGTAGATATTAACCAAAAAAAACCTCTAAAGCAAGAAAAGCATGAAATAGGGGGATTTGAGGGGGAAAAAACGGAATAGGATAAAGGAGTTTATGATATAGTACCCCTTTTATATATTATAAACCGCTCAAGATGCCCTGTATGCCCACAGACCCCGAATCGTCCCGCTTCTGCACAAACGCCTTAAAGTCCGCCTTGCTCAGCTTCCCCCTGACGGAGCTCGACCCGGGCGCCAGCGTCCTGACCTTCTCCCGCAGCGCCTCCGGCCCGACGATGAAGAGCGACCCAATCTCCGTAAGCATCTCAATCGCCGTCTCGACGTCCTTGGCCAGCGGCCACGCCCGCAGCGTCGCCACGTACTTTGCAATGTCCTGCGTCACCATCAGCCCGCCCGTCGCGTTGACCTGGAAGCGCTTGAAGTGCTCAAACAGCTGCGCGTGCAGCACCTGGCCCAGCTCGCTGAAGAACTTGTCCGCGTTGTGCCCGTCGACGGCCTGCATCGCCTGCTGGCTCGCCCGCGCCAGGAACGTGCAGATGTGCAGGCACGTCGCCGTCTGCAGCGACTCCAGCTCGCCGTCCTTGGGCCGGAAGTCCTGCTTCTTCTGCGTGCCGAGCGACTTGATGACCCAGTTGACGATGACGTCGATGGAGATCTTCATGATGGCGTTGGTCTTCTTCTCGATGGTGTCGATGGCCATCTTCTTCTGCGCCTCCATGCTCTTGCGCACCGTCGTGTTGGATTCGGCGAGCCGGATGAGCACCGTGCTGATGAACCGTTCCATGAGGCCCGATATCGTCACGCCCGACCGGATCGGCGGCAGATACGACATATCGGGCTCCGTCTTTGAGTTCTCCAGAACGGTGGCTTGGTAGTGTGCTGCGTCCAGCGCAGTCTCGATGTAGACCTGGCCCATGTTTGTGAGCAGCAGGTTGAGCAGTATGTTGACGTCCTTTGGCGTGTCCAGCTGAGAGCCCAACTCGAGCACCCTCTGGACACTCTCCGCCAACCATTTCAGCATTCTCTTGGCGTTGGCCACTGACAGTATTCCGTCTTCGTCGGATACTTCAATCTCGTGGTCATCGTCCCTGTCCTGCAGGCCGGCAACCCGCAGCATCATCGCCTTTTGGGTGGCCGATAGGTCGGAGGACTCGAGACGCTCGAGGTAGGCGTCCTTGGCAGACTGTATGAGCTGCGTGCCTTGCTGGGCCAGAGATGCCATGAAGCTAGACGGTGCCTTCTTCCGCCTCGAATGGAATAGGTTGAACTTGAAGAGCAGCGAGCCGTACAATTCTTCCAAGCTCTTTCTTTCCCGGTCGATGTAGACGCTTCCCACGAGGAAGGGGACGAAGAGTTCGTCCAGCTGCTGGTCCAAGGCCTGTGCAATCTGCGCTGAGCAAGGCTCTGGATGCTCAGTCAAGCCGTGCATCTTCAAGTCTTCCACCAGGGAACCGATGTAACTCCTTGAAGAGTGCAGAGATCTGAGGAACGCCAGAGTAGAGACTGACTCGGCTTTGTCGAGGACCTTTTCCAGCCGTTGCTGTATGGACTGCTGGAATACGCGCTGGATGAACTTGATCAGCACCGTCTCGTAGTACGGGAACGCCCGCTTGATGATGAACGACTCCTCCTGCATCACGATCTTGACCTCGTCAATGAGTGACTGCAGGCTGGGCTCGATCCCAGGCGGCTCCGCATCCGGGTCAGCCAAAGCCTCCCACATCTCCCCGTCGGCTGCCATTTCGTCGCTCATCAGCTGATCCCTGTCGATGAAGAACTGATGCTGGTTCACAAAGATGGCAATGACACTGGCGCCTCCGTTGAAATCGTACAGCACTTTCGCGCATTCCCTCATGTCGTTGAAGTTCTGCCGCCTGTAGCTGTTGTTGAACTGCTGCAGCAGATCCTGCTCCAGCGTCTCGCAGAACTTCTCGAGAATCTCTCGCGTGTTTCGCGCCCTGTTGGTCAACGTGGCGAAACTGGCTATGCTAGCCCTGTTGCCGTTCCGTGTTCCCCAGGCCAGCGGGTCGAGCTGCTGGCTGATTCTCATGAGTTGACGGGCAATGACGGCACACCGCACCTTGTTCTCTGCGCCGCCTTGCCGCCTAATGTCTTCCAGCGACGACAGCAGTCCGGTCTCGCTGAGTTCCGTCCAGCAATTTATCAAGAAGATGGTGTCCTGTGCTCTTCTCCTCTTCTTGTCCAAGTCGTCCAGCTTCTCTCCAATCTGCACGGCGATGTTGCCTCCACTATCGGCCTTTCCGTCCGCACCGTTGGTGCTGTTTGGGTTTAATGATATATCCAGAGCTTCGAATGATTCCATGGTTTCGTCGAGCTTCCGGCCGAGGGTATCGAGCGTCTGGTCATGTTGGATTTCGGCTCGGCGCACTTGGGACAGGAGTTCGGACTCCTTCTCCTGAAGCTCGTCTCCGAGGACGGCAAGCTGAGACAAGGCATCTGGAAAAGGGTTTCTGTCAGCCAACGCTCTCCATTCTCCTTCTCTTCCGTCTCCTCGCCCCCCGGCGCCGCATTTCCCATACTTTCAAAGCTCCTGATCAGCGGCTTCGGGTCAAAGGTTGTGGATTGTGACGGCCCCGAGCGCCGGGCAGACGGCATGGCACTCTCCGCCAGACTGTCCACAAAGTCCCTGACTATGAAGTCCTTGTTGGAAAAGTCCTCGAGGGTGAAGTTGGGCCCCTTGGGGAAGATGCTCTTGGGCCCGCTGGACCGGTCCATGGTTGGCAAGCGGCAGGGCGAAGGCGCATCAGCGTGGCTACATGTATGTTGTCTGTCGATATGCCGCGATGCTTCGTACGAGGTGCATCTGCCGCGCTCAGTCGTGCGACAATCCCGCCGAGGCCCGAGTTGCCGCGTTGCGTCGTCGCGAAAACGCCCGTTCTGTCGCTTCAACTGCTGAATGTCCCCTAAGATGCAGCGCCTTACGTGACACCCCAGACTGGATGCTACAGAAGCTGTCCAGAGGCTATGATGCCTGAGCCCCGCCACGCCACAGCTTCCAGCGACCTTGCGACTGCGCCACACTGTAGCCGTGGCTGGTGCGACCACTCAGGAGAGAGGACACATGCAAATCCCGCCAAAATCAGGTTGCAGCTGCTTGGTGTTTGGTGCTAATTTGCTTCGCCGAGAGACAAGCAGCTCATCTGCTTCGCCTCTTCCCCCCCCAGCTTTCTCCATCCCCAGCAGATTTGCTGCATGGACACGTCGTCACTCTCTCGCCTCGATTCGCCATAGCGACTGCTGCCACAAGTTGAGTGCGCGCAGCTGGTGTCTTTTCCCCCAAGGCCGACGTATTACCTACCCAACTGCCTTACATCCTACCAACCGCGAACAACCTCATCACCACATCTCTGACGGCCTTTTCGCTCCGAAACCCTCCACTGCTCTCGGTCAGTCAGTCTTTCGAGACTGCCAAGATCCAGCATGCCCATGTCTATTCAGGATACAATGGCCTACAGGGCCGACGAGAGACATGGCCATGCTCTTCTTACCGAGGCCCAGCGACAGGCCATCTTCAAGGTACGAGCACTTTGCGACTGTTCCAGCTCAGCAGCAGCAGCATATCTGACCAGGCACAGGCTTCGCTTCCCGCCCCAATCGATGGACCAGCCACCGTGAACAGCAAGGGCGGACCGGTTCCGCGCAGATCCCGGCTTGGAGTCCGACGCTTTTTGAAGAATCAAGTCTTCGTCTTCGTTTTCGCCCTCATGCATGGCATCTTCTCCCTATACATCAAGTCACGGCAGACCTGGCACGGCGTGGCCTATCAGATCTCTTCGATACTATACTACCACCACGCGACGCCGCAGTACATCCGGCGGGACGTTGAGGGGCTGAGCAAGAAGCCCAAGCATCTCAGTGCGATCCTGAAGACCGAGGTCAACCACAGGGCGAAGACCGATGTTGACCGACTCATCGAAGAGACGGCCGAGCTTGCAACGTGGTGTGCTTGCGCAGAGATCCCAATGCTCTCCATCTACGAAAAGTCAGGTAGGAGCATCGCATTTCGGATAACGCTTACACGTATCAGAAGCTAACATGGCATGTACAGGAGTCCTGAAGAAGCACATGCCTCGTGTCTACGAAGCCGTCATACAAAAGTTCACCTTTTACTTTGGCACTGAACACCCAACCCTGTCTGTGACTTCCCCTCACAAGGACGACTTCCCCACGCGGATGCTCGAGGAGAGCAAGCACGGCCACCTACAGCTTCACCTCATCTCTTACCAGGACGGCCGAGAGTCCATCGTGGACCTCACCCGAACCCTTGCAGACATGTCACAGCGGGGCAAGATTTCCCCGCGAGACATCTCTCAAGAACTTGTCGATGCCGAACTCTCAGAGGGCATCCTCCCGGAACCGGACTTGCTGATCCTGTTCACCCCTTATGTCGAGCTGTCGGGCTATCCGCCGTGGCAGATTCGACTGACTGAGATCTTCTGCCTGCAAGACAACGAAACGTTTGGCTATCAGGTATTCCTGAGGGCTTTGAGGAAGTTCGCTTCCGCCCAGATGCGTCGCGGCAAATAGATCAACTCGAAGAAAAAGCCTCTACAGATATCCATTTCGTCTAGATTGGTGTATTATTATTATATTAATCTTTTGATGAGGGCTGCCACGGCATCATGGCACCGCTCGCTTTGTCCCAGCGATAGACGGGACCACTCCCGACATTATAGTTGTAATAATTTTCTGTCCCCCCTTTGACCATGGCCCTTCTGAAAGTAATGTTGATTCTGCCTCCGTCTTCTTGATTCTTTCCCGTGCGCTTCGGTATGGAATGGAGCCAGTTAGACTGCGTCTTCCCTCTCATGAGTATCATGTCGCCGCTGTTCAAGGGGAACTTTAGCGTAGGCGATTTAGAAGCTGACCTCTCGCCCTGATCTGGTGCGACCGGCTTGTGCTTCAAGAGAAAGTCTCGTCGTGCGCCCAACGAAAAGGAGGCGATGGCAGGATCCGGGCCAAGGAACCTCTCGTCATCGCTGTGGAACGAGATGCTATCCGCACCCGAAGAGTAGTAGTTGACCAGGCAGAAGTTGAACTTGCACCCCGTAGCCGCCTCGGTGGATTGACGAAGGTCATCGAGACACTTGGGGATAGGTCGAGGAGGGTATTTGTCGTAGCGTCTCTCTGACGGGACCTTTACGCCCGTGTTTGCGTCCACTACGACGCCTTCGTTGTCAAATTTCGACGTCTCGTCAAGACCAAAGACTGTGGTCCATCTATTTGTGGAATTATGCGTATTTAGCTGACGACCCGTTTGTTGCCCTGGAGCACCCCGAGCTGTTTTCTATGAAGAACTTGCCTTGGTGTGCGTATCTGCGTCGCAACCCCCCCGCGTCTTATCTGATACTCTACCTTGTAAAACGGGAGCTCTGCTCGCAAGAACTGGAAAAGTTGGCGCGCCAGATAATCCGGCACATAAGGTTCGAAGTAGAGAAGATCTAGGTCTGGTTCATTATTGATGGCCCGAGGAGGGCGAGCTGGGAGGGACGATAGCTCTCTGCTTATAGATGCGGGAAGTTGAGCAATTGGAAATGGGTATTCTGAATGATGGGTCTTGAGAATCTGCATAAGTTGTAAGTAAATCAACGGAGGGGAAAAAGAAAACACAATCATGTTTGGCACACGCAAAGCTCACGACTTCATCTTGCTCCTCTGGAATGCTTATGCCTTTGGCGACATCGCTACGGGACCGCTTTGGAGGAGGTCCAAAGAAGGCGTCAATGGTTCGTTTCTGTGACATCCTCTTCAGGTAGTACCGCGTACTTCTTATCAGATTCAACATGAGGAAAACAAGTATAGTAAAAAATAATTGAAGTTCGTTGTCAAAGATCCGAGGCGCGTTCACATGTCTCGTGACATCACCATCTCAGCCTTGTTCACCCCAGAGCTCGCGCCACAGCTTCCCAGCCCCACTCGACCCTGAGGATCTCCAAGATGTGGCGGTGCATCAATGTACGTACTCCGCACGCAAAATTTCAACCATCGCAGCCTTGCCAAACGCCCCCCGGTCACGAGTGAGTAACCTGTAAAGAAACGGCACATCTTTCTTGTCGACATGGAGGTAAGTGGTCAAATATTCTGACACCCAAATCATACAAAAACGAAGTATTAATCATGAGTCTCATGCGGAATGAATAATCAGGATTCGGATAAGCAAGTTCTGATGAATCTCTTCCGAGCCCCTGCCGCCGCCAGAGCTGCCAAAGTGCTCGATAGGTCGCTCTTCTCAAGAACGCTGCCAACGGCTGCGGCTTCAATAAGAGACAACAGGCTCATTTCAAAGTACCGCAAGCAGCTGGAGAAGACGAAAGAGGTCTTCTCGTTGGACAGGTTCGACGTCTGTGCCGCGGATCCGGATCCTGCTCTTGCCGCACAGGGGAAGAAGTGTCTTGTGTTGAAGCCGCATATCAAACCTGATGGTATGTTTTTTTGCAAGCCATATAGGGATGGTCTTTTTTCTCTTTTTTTCGTCCTTATAAGGAAACTGAAATGCTAATTTATATATCAAGTGCCGGAGACATGGAGCCCCGTGCTGCAGGAGGCTTCGAAGTTGGGGGACTTGAAGATTGTCCCTTATGATGTGCACATTGGCTACGATCTATGGAGTTACCGTACGAGACGCTTTCCATCATTCCTGGCGTGGTAGATGAAGACAGATACTAACTCGGGTGAACAGTTGATGTCATGAGATCAATACTACCGGAAGACTTACACGGAGAGATCCCCGTTGGCTTCAACACCGCAGGCCATGTCGGTGAGTCAACTCCCCCCTTTCTTGATATCGCCTCGCTGAACTAAGCTCACAACAAATCATCAAAAGCCCATCTCAACATACGAGGACAATACCTTCCCTACAAGCACATCATCGCCCAGGTCATCATGGACAAGAACCCCACCATCCGGACCGTCATCAACAAGGTGGACAACGTCGGCACAGAAAGCGAGTACCGGACCTTCAGCTACGAAGTCCTGGCCGGACCCGACGACATGCTCGTCGAAGTCAGCGAGGCCGGCTGCACATTCAACTTCGATTACTCAAAAGTCTACTGGAATACGAAGCTCGGCACGGAGCACCAGCGGATCGTCAGCTTGTTCAAGCCTGGCGAGGTCGTTGTCGATGTCATGGCCGGCATCGGGCCGTTTGCCGCTCCTGCGGGCAAGAAGGGCGTCTTTGTCTGGGCCAACGACAAGAACCCCGAGAGTTACAAGTATCTTACCGATGTGATCAAGCGGAACAAGGTAAGGGCAAAAGCTGTTCCTCCCCCTCCTCGCTTTCTCCCCTGTCGTTTACTAAAACCAAACGCACGACGCAAAAGGTCTCAGAGTTTGTCAAGCCCTTCAACTACGACGGACACGACTTCATCAAGAAGGGAACCGACCTGGTCCTGGAAGCATCCCGGCGAGGCGACTGCGCCCTCGTCCCCCAGAAAGCATCAAGGAGCGCTCCGGGCCCCCGTCCGGAACCCATCCGGATCCCCGTCCCGCCCACCGTCTCACACTTTGTGATGAACCTTCCCGCCTCCGCCATTGAGTTCCTGCACAACTTCCGCGGCCTGTACGAGGGCCACGAGGAGCTCTTCGCCCCCCACACCGAGACCAAGCTCCCGCTCGTCCACGTCCACTGCTTCGCCGTCAAGGCGGACGACGCGACTCCCCTGGACGACATCTGCCAGCGCATTCACAAGGAGATTGGGGTGCTCCTTACGCCGGGCAACGATGTGGAAAAGGACGGCCAGGTGCTCATCCACGAGGTCAGGGACGTTGCTCCCGCAAAGCGGATGTTTTGCGCGAGCTTCCGTCTTCCGCCAGAAGTCGCTTTTGCTCCGCGATCTTAGGACCGATCTCCCCCCCCCCCCCCCCCCCACCCCCCCCTCCCCCCCCCCCCCCCCCCCCCAAATTGCATCCGATTGCCCCAAGCTGTCCGAGTTCTCTGGAACGCAACCGGCCCTACAGTACGTGGAGGGGCGCCAAAACGCCGCCGTACAAAACTGCTTCGGCTGAACAAGAGAGGAAGACGTACCTCGTACTCGATACACACGAGCTCATCTCTCAATGCCCTCGCACGGAGTACCTGTGGTTCTACTACTATAGATCGACAGCCGCAGAAGGATGAGAACAAAGGAGGGAGGGGGAAAGCGGATATGAACCTTATCTTGCGAACGAGGTTGCGGGTATAGGAGGGCGCCGCCATGACGACAAAAGCGTGAGGCCGCACTGCCGTAACGAGTCTAAACAAACAAGCCCCGTCTCCTGTTTTTCTTTGCATCAGGAGCTTGTTTTTCTTGTTTGTGGAAAGATAAGCTGGCTGGTTCCAGTTGTTGTTTCTTTTTCCATGTGTCAGTCGAAATCCATGATAATGCAAGATTCTTCTTCTCTTCACCCTGCATGTCCGATAACCGGTCGAGAACCAGTTGTTTTCTTTCTCCCCAGGGTTTGTGAGTGACGAAGCGGCTCGTTGCCAAACAGCAACCAAGGAGCTAGTAGTACAAAGCCCATGTCATCCTCTTCTCTCCTGGATGCAGCGGAAAGCATAATCTTTGCAAAATTACTTGACAGCGTAAGGATGCTTCATTTTGAGCGCTTTCTTTGCCTTTGCACTGGCTTCCATCATTTTCTATTGTCCGAGTTCTGCACTAAGGGGGGTCGACGGGAGACGATTTCCTGGCACCTCCATCGTCTTTCTTCACCGACAAGTCGCATTGTTGCCGAGGTTAGAATGTAAGGTAGAGCTCCTATTTACCAGCTGCTTTGTCGCCCTTTTCTGGATCCCACTTATCAGGGCTATGCATGGCGCGATGATTTCTCTTCTTGGGACGAGTCAAGGAAGCTTGTTTACTTGGAGAAGATGCTTCCGGCTGTCGCGGCCGTCGTCAGGGCACGGAGGCTTACTAGTACTACTTACTTCAGCCATGCGAAGAGGAAGCTCTTCGATCGAGTGATAGATGCTAAAAATAAGAATAATGAAAAATGAGCAAAGAATTGGGTCAAAAGCGAAATGCCAGTGACTAGACCTTCGTCATGGACTCAATGGAACGAGCAAGCTCTACCTCTTGCACGAATTGCCGCGGCTCGAGACTCAGCTCAAACTCACGACAATCATCCGGGTCTCTTCTCTCCCCGCCACCACTTCGCGTTGAACTTGAAAATGAAGAAAGCCATTGATATCAAGGAATCGACATAGATAGCAGCCTGTTACTCTACTCGACAGCAAGAACGCCATCATCCATCGTTCTTGTCCGCATCGTAATCTCAAGCCCCTCCGCAAGCCACTCACCCGCACAGTTATCTCCATCTTGTCTCTCTCCCTCTCCCTCTCCGCATGCCATTGCTCTCCATGCTCCCCCACCGAAAGCAAACACCCACAAAAACAGCGTCTTTCGCCACCCGCTTGTGTTTAGTTCGATGCACTTCTGCAAGCAATAAAGAGCTTCAAGGGGGACAGAGCACGTTTGCGTGAAATAAAGATACGCCGCTACTCGTACGGAATCAATTGCTCGATGAGAGAGAGAAAAGCGTGAAACGAAATAGGGATCGAAAAAATGCGGTATAATCTCATTTAAGTCATCCGTTTCCTTCTGCGAGGACAAGGAGGCGCGATTCTGGGCTTGAGCACATCACAGCTCAGGAAGCCAATTCGTCGGATCGGCTAATGAAGCATCTGCTATTGCACCATACCTCGTCGTACGACTGAGTGCTCCGTATGATCATTAAGATCCGGAGACTGTCGCAGTACCTGTACTCCTCACCAAAGAAAGAAGAGGAGAAAGAAGGAGCAAAGATCTTTCGACCACGAGTCAACGACACGGTAGCAAGAAAAGCAAAAAGCTTGCTTCTGCGCTCTCCATCAGGATTGGTGGCATCTCCTAAACTTCCCACCCCCGGAGGCTCCCCGGCGCGTACGTGCAGCTTGCATACGAAGTACGAACGGCGAGTCAATCAATAATCTGTATGCAGTCTTAGATGAAGGAAAATCGGCACGGAACAACATCCTGAGGAGACTTGAATCTTGAGGAAGAAACGGGACCGATGTCCAAGGAAGCGAAAGCAGGTTTTGCTGCCGCATTTCGTCGTATCCCTCCCTTCGAGCACGGATCAAGCAGGAGAGAGATAACAAGCAAAGGAAAAGCCACCCTTGCAGAGTAGTAATTCTTTTGTAGTAATCCTTTCCCCCTTCTCCCCTCGCTTGGCGGTTATCTGTCTGACGGCGCAAAGGTCCATTCTGCACAACATGCAGCGCAGCCGGGGTTCGAGATAAGGTGCCGTGCCTAGCTTGCAATAACGAGAAGCAAGATAGGGAACAAAACACCCCGGATTTGCAAATAGTACGAGTGCTGCACACCGCAGTTAATATATCTCTGCTCTGACCGGCTGCACAATGCAAGGGCTAGTGTGTTCTCGTGTAGCACACATCTACAGCCAGGAGGTTGCATTGTATCATAGCCTCAGTCGACGTTTGCAGCTGCCTTGTCTCGTGGACAGGCGACATGCAGGGAAGAACCGGCCATCAAGGCTTTGTCCCACCACCAAGGACGGGATACTACTTACCTATTCCGTAGGTACCTAGGTAGGCACTTCGTAAAATGATACGTGATATGCTATCAAGACATTTGATACCGACAGAGCCAACGCAGACCCAGGGGAAGCCGAAAGTCTATCGTCAGTTAAGGTAGTAGACCATCACTCCACTCCGTCTCAACCAGCTTTTCACACAAAGGTAAGTACGGAACGGGGATGCGGCCG